CCATTGAGTTCAGTTGGTACAATTCCATTTGTCCGAAAAAAAAAAAAGCTCTGGTTGTCCTAGAAACGTAACGGAACATACAGCAAGATTATTGGTGAGAAAGGTTGGCGACAAGCCCTGAGTTACACTTAAAGAACTTAAGGGAGGACTAGAAGTAAGTGGAGTAAAAATGAGTACGCATACAATTAGTTGTTCACTTCATCGATATGACATCTTTTCAAGGACTCCAAGAGAAAAAAAACACTTTTGAAGTGAAAACACATTCTTGCTAGACTGGATTTTGCAAACAAGCATTGTATCAAACCTGCAGCATTTTGAGAAAATGTACTTTGGTTAGATGGAATGAAAATTGAACTTTTTGGCAGAAATGCTGAATATTCACCAAAGAATACTATCCCAACAATAAAATTTGGAGGTGGACCAATCATGATCTGGGGTTGCATTAGCGTCCAAGGTGTAGGGAACACTGAAATAATAGAAGAGAGGATGAATGGAGCATATTATAGGGATATTTTGGAGATAAATTTACCTCAGAGTGCACATTTGCTGGGCTTGAAACTAGGTTGGGTCTTTCAATAAGATAACAATCTTAAACATACTGCAATGTTTACAAAATCATGGTTAAGTTCAAATAGAATAGACATTCTAAAATGGTCAAGTCAATCTCCAGATCCGATTGAAAATTTATGGCGAGAGCTGAAACTGAGAATTCAAAGAAGGAACCCACTAAACCTGCATGAACTAAGGGAATTTTGTCATGAAGATTAGAAAAATATTATCCAAGAAACATGCAAGAAATTCATAGGGGACTACTCTAAATGCTTACATGCTGTAATTAGCAATAACGGTTATGCTATGAAATATTAATAGATGATTTAATAAATGTATTGTAAACTTTTGCATTATTAAATATTGGTTTTTCTTTGTGGGATATTTTTATTAATTATTTTTTAAATCTGATTGTTTGACTAAAGGCTTAAACTTATGTATTATTAACACTAAAAGTTTCATTAATCTGTGTTAGAAATACGTAAAGAAACATGTTTTGTAATGTGTTGTAAACACGGCATTGTATATATATATATATATATATATATATATATATATTATAAAATAGTCATTCAAAGAATAAATGAATAAAGTTAATGTAATTAATGGCGAATTCACCATTAATTACATTAACTTTATTGATTTATTCTTTGAATGATTATTTTATAATATTAATTAAGCCACATTAATTCTTAAATATACATACATACATACATACATACATACATTTATATATATGAGTGTAAATGGTATTTCAACAGATAAAAGACAGAAAAAGAGACTTGAATAAAATCAGAGATACCTTCAAAACAAGAGTTTCATTAAGAGAAGCCACATTTTCTTTCTGGATTTTCAATTCTTCTTGTAACAAGTGCAATGAAGCTTTCACTGAATTCATCTCTTGTTCATGCTTGCTGCCATTCTTTAGTTTTTGTTGATTTGTCTGGTTAAGCAATTCAGATAGTTCATCTTTACTTGCTTGCAACAAACCCTGCGTTTCTTTCAAACGTTCCAGCTATTAAGAAATACAAATATATCATTTCATCCATATTATTTGAAACATTTCGTGCTTTTCTTAAACAAAATGTTTTACATTTCTTAAATTTGAACTTAAATTCTTGATTTCAGTAATAATTAATATGTAAATAAGACATAAGGAAAATAACTTATATTGGATCAATTCAGATTTTTTAATCTGAAACCCAGAAAACTGTTCCATCTTATTTAAAATTAAAAATATTCTCATATACTTGTATTTTTATTGGTCATTGCAGCATATGTAACAGCATTTCCCCTAGCGAGGATTGATTTGAACCTTTTAAAACCCTTTATTCTACATTCAACACCATCACTTGATAAGACACCAGAAGTGTTGAAATAAAATGGCTATTTTTGTAGTGATTTTATAACATATTTATGTTATAATTTTCGAATAAATTATATATATATATATATATGTGTGTGTGTATATATTATTAAAAATTTGCTCTATTAGATAGTGTTTATAGATAATGTGGACATAGGAATCAATTCTGCATGGTGACTATCAGTTTCACGCTTCAATGTGATTTTCAGACTAAGATCTAGTTCCAATGTTCCAACAATTATTATGAAATTGTCAGTATAAGCAAATAAATTCATTATAATTAATTATAATGAATTTATTTGCTTATACTGACAATTTAATCTGTATTAAGTTTAAAAATATAACTTACACGGGCAAAGATATATATATATATATATATATATATGTGTGAAAAAGTGTGTATAAATAAATATAAATAAATATATATATATATATATATTTATATATTATATGTGCTTGGTACTTATTAAATATATATATGTGTGTGTGTGTGTGTGTGTGTGTGTGTATATAAATATAAATATATATATATATATATATATATATATATATATTTATTTATATATTATATGTCTTTATTATTAAATATATACAAATTCATCTGTATTCTTTTTCTTTCCATCACCTTTGTCCCTGTGTGTGTATGTGTGTATATATATATATATATATATATATATATATATACACACACACACACACAATTCAAATGATATTATAATGGATACTTGTATTTGAAATAGATGTCCAATTTTTATTTTCTCTTAAACAGTGTGTATTACAGTTATCAGTCTGCATATTTGAGAAATCTTAAAGACAATATACAAGCTGATAGATGTAATACACACAGTTTAAAGTAAAACTAAAAATGGGGCATCTATTTCAAATATGAGTATCCACATTTGAAGTAATAAAATCGAATTAAAAATGAATCCATTAATACTTTAAAAATTACTTTGTTTAGATTTCAGATATGAAACTGAGCTGATATGGACTCTTAAGAAAAATATCTTAGTGGGAGAGAGTGCTTTCCTTAAAAGGGAAAATAGAATCATGCTGATCTGTGACGTACTTTGTGGCCTGATTGGTAAAGCATACCAGATCAAATGATAGTTTCTCTTACAAGTTCAATGCAGATTCAATTCCTGTTGGAAAGCACATTTTCTTTATTAAGATTTCTCAAATACACCGGCCAATAGATGTAATAGACATTATAAAATGAATCCATTAATTCTTCAGAATTCAAAAGTGGTTTATTGAAACTTATAAACATACAATGGAAATTCAGTTGATTATCCGAATGTGAAGATCTTGTGAATATTTAATTCAGCAATTTTGTTCAGAGTGTAAATTTGCTAAAAGTGGTGGAGTTTATTGATTTAGTACTGTGTGTAAGTCTGTGAAGAGAAAATGGTTGGTTGGGCACTATAAACAATGTTGAAATAATTTTAATCCCCATGATAAGTAAAATCAAATATTGGCACCAGCTGAAATACCCATTATGGTTTGCAGATTTTTATAGAATCATATGAACTGCAAGCTGGAATTAACATCATTAATTTGGTGCATCAAATGTTATCTCTGGCAAAATTAAAGAAACACAAGAACTTGAGCAACAACAACTGGATAATTTCCTCATAAAACAATAATCACCACTTCAATGAACTTTATATTAACCTTGCATCTTTGATAAAAATCAATACACTTTTTGTGCACATACATAAATATATTCTTTATAATTAGGTCATGATTCCATAACATGATTCTATTTGTAAAATATCACAAATCCTTAAGCAATATTTTGTGTTTTTACTCATTTTATTGATCAAATGAAAGGAAACATTTTGAACCTGTTTTTTTTGTTTGGTTTTCTTTTACACATTTGGTATTGATTCCTTTTTATGATCAGATTAGTTATCCAAACAATTAATCATCTTACCATTATACATTAATTATCATCTGCAATATCATTCAGAAAATTGATATTCTATTGTATACATATCATAGAGAAGTCCTTTCTTAGTATAAGTAGGATAAGTATTTTGAAGAATATTATATTTCAAGACGTAGCACAAAGAAATGACTAAATTGCTAAAAATGAGAATTTTGATTATGATCAACATGCTGCAGTTTTGCCTTTAACTTTTGTGACTAAAAATGTAATTTTTATCTAAAATAAGGATATATGACATTGAGAAAAAGAGATAAGGATATATGACATTGAGAAAAAGAGATAAGGATATATGACATTGGGAAAAAGAGATAAGGATATATGACATTGGGAAAAAGAGATAAGGATATATGACATTGGGAAAAAGAGATAAGGATATATGACATTGGGGAAAAGAGATAAGGATATATGACATTGGGGAAAAGAGATAAGGATATATGACATTGGGAAAAAGAGATAAGGATATATGACATTGAGAAAAAGAGATAAGGATTTATGACATTGAGAAAAAGATATAAGGATATATGACATTGGGAAAAAGAGATAAGGTTATATGTACAGCAAAAGGCTGAAAACTTCATGATAAACCCACTTCACCAAATCAGTCTTTTAATGATCAATCAGCAAAATATTGATTTTGAAAAGTGGCCTGGTCAATAACTTTTCAAAATTCTTTTGTAAATTTTTAAAATATCTTTTTTTTGGCTATAAAATCAATGTTTGAAGTTGAATAATTTTAATAAACAGTAAAATTTATCATTTACTCTTTATTAATATGATAAAAACAAAATATTAAGTATAAACTATTAACTGCACATGTGAACTTCATTCATTGCAATTCTGCAGCTTTTCTTGCCACATTGAATGGGTAAAAATAATTTTATCCAGTTTTGTCTGATAATTCCAGATTGTAAGTTCCATTTTTAATTAACTTAGAAGGAAATTATTTCAAACTAAAACTTTTTATTTTAAATAAAATATCAGTTTGGTATGTATAATAAGTAGTAATAGTTACTGCTTAAAATATTAAATTTAATTTTTTTTCTCATTAATGCAAAGAAAGTTCAACACTAAAACTTTATATGACAATTGTAGAACTTTGTGACACTTTCTCTAAATCTGTAAATGAAGTAAACAATGGGAATTTGAAAATTCGAGTCAGTGTTATTTATGATGTGTTTGTTAAAACTTTTAAAATGCGATTGTCTTTTCTGATCTGGTTGGTTAAAATAAAATGACCAATCTGTTTTTACGATCTGAATGAATGAAAATTTATTTTTGTATTATATTTACACTACAATATAAGAAAAAAAAATCATATTGTTGCTAATAATATCAAATGTACAAGATAATTTCTAGTTAAATATAAATCTGCAATATCTGGTCAGTGGCAAATGTTTAAAAACTTTCCAGTTAAATGGGAATACTTTTTGCTGGGTCACTAAAGAAACATGCATCATTTTCTGCAGCCAACTATTACAATTACAAATAGAAATGTAATGCTATTGATATTAATTCCCTATTTGTTATAAATTCTTTTATTTACTTATTTAACATTATTAATTGAAATAGTTTTCATGCTGTATTTTCAATAAATCTTTTGAAATCCTAAAAGTTTGAACCAACCTCCATTGCATGAGCCTGTTGCTCCATTTTCACTTCTTGCTGAAGTTGTTTTATTTCAGCAGACATTTTTGTTTCACTTTGAACTTTTTCAACACGTAAAGCATTGATCTCTTCCACCAACTGAGCAATATTCATCTCTTTTGTCTGGAATAGAAAAAAAACAATCTTTTCTAGAGTGAAATATGTACTCTGTCCCATAATAGATGTGACATTTAGTGTATGAAATTGATATGCAAATGTCACAAATATTATGGAACAGAGGAAGCAATTTTAAAACTTAATGTTTACTTCTATTCCTAATAGATGATTAAAAATTTCCAACTAACTTTTTTCTTTTTTTCTCACTCAGCCAGTTTCTCTATATTCTTTGATTCATCGTTTAAGTGTTCCAAAAACAGGTTTGTAGCTTAAAATTTGTCTTGAACAATATTTCATTGGTGACCTTGTAGTATCCCAAATTATCATAGTCATAATGAGAGAACTTTGCTTCTATAATAAAAATACTAAATAGATAACAAATTCAATAAAAGCAAATAAAAAAAAATCCAAACTTAAAATAAAAGTAAACATTTCATCTGGTATTTTAACTGACAATTTATTTCATTTTAAAGTTGGGAATACACTAATTTTTTTAATTTTGAAATCTGTATGTATATTCTTCCCTGAAACTATGACTGAGTATACAAATAAGAGTGAGAAAAATGTTGATAATGTGAAAAAGAAGAACTGAAAAAAAGAGTATTTTGTGAATTTGTGTGACTATTGAATTCACAATGATTTTCTCATGCAGGGTATTTTGGCAAAACATTACATCACCCAAGCCTCTTCCCACATTTCAGATTTGTCACCCTGTGACTTCTGGTTTTTCTCAAAGTTAAAATCATCATTGAAAGGGAGGAGATTTTGAATGTGGACGAGATTAAAGAGAATGCAACATGGCATCATGATGGTGATGCTGAAAGAAGAGAACTTTGCAGACTTTGAAAAGTAGAAGTCAAACTGGGATAAGCATGTGATTTCCTCAGGGGAGAACTTTGAAGAGGACAAAGGCATCATTTCCTTAGGTAGGCTATTTCTTTTCATTAATATTAAATGACTGGATCCTTTTTGGACACACCTTGTATAAGATGCAGAATACTGAGAAAGTGTCAAAGTCAAATCAAATCATGAATTACAAAAATGATGTGATTAACTTACATTTGTTGTTGTAGCCATGTTGTCAAGTTGTTGTACCAATTTGTCATGTTCATGTCTTAACTGCTCAAGTTGATGACGAGCTAAAATAAAATCATTTGTCTGACTTTGAAGACGTTCTCTGGTCAGTCGTAATTCTTGTGTGATTTCTGTTTTGTTTCTTTGTGATTCTTTTTCCCTTTCTTTCATATTCTGGACTGTCTAAAAATTGCAATAAAAATATAAAAATTTTCTCAAAATGAAACGACATGTATATTAAATTCTGGCTGACCAGACCTATCCTGATATTTTTTTTATTGATATTTTCTTTGCTTTTTGTATTTTTTTTTTTTACCATGACCTGTTATGAATAACAATGGATATACCAATTATTATATAGACACCAGTTACAGAAAAAATATTTTTTTTTCTATTTTCCTAAATAGTTTCAATTCATATTCTCTTTATTTTATTTTGATTCATATTTTCTTTTGTGTCATTTTTTTGTCTCTATTTTGGCTGATGTCTTTGGCCTTCCTTAGTCATATAAATTCATCTGATAGAATTTTTTTTCTCTCACTTGTGGAGAGTTCTAAATCGGCATATCAAAGATTCCTACAATCTGCAGTAATTAATGCCATAAAAATCTAGTTACATGTACTAAAAAGATCAACAAATATATCAAATACATTTTGTCTCCTTTTTTAGGACTACTAACTCTTCACAGTCTATTTGTCAAGTAAAAAAAAATGAGACTACTATGCCTAGAGTGTGTAAGTAACAAGGAAGTTTTAAGGATAATCTAAACCTAAAGGTTATACTTAGAATCTGAAAGAAGCAATTGAAATTTCTGAGACACATCATGAGGAAAGGTTTAGAACATTTGATACTTACAGGACATAAGGTAAAAGGGACAGAGAGAATCAATAAGTAACTTATCTAATGACTTTGTGTAAATGAATGGCAGACCAGGGAATGGGAGGGATGGTAAGGGGTCAAAAATTACTTAGAGTTACAAAATATAAGAATTTGTGAAGAGCTATGATAAAGCATGTCCTTAAGGGCAAATACAAGAAAAATCTACAGCCTCGAGTTGTATCTCTCAATGAGCATATATAGTAGGTGAGTTTCAGGTTTAGCTTCATTGGAAGGTCAGTGACTTTAATCATAGTACAGATGTGGATCATTCTAAGAACACACAAGAACAGGTATTGAAAGTGACAGTGTAAGGGTCTTGTTCCCCCCACCTCCCAAATCTATGATATGCACCCCGCACTCTACTACATCTCGATTTTTATAACGTAGTATTCATATAAAATACAAATTTTATTGTAACCTAATTATGTGCAATAATGGATCATATGTAATATAAGTGAACAACTAGAAAAATTGAAAATAAATACAATGTATCTAAACCATTTCATCTAAAATTAACAAATGTTTTGCAGCAATTTTTTTATCATCAATTTTTCTCAAATTGAATAATTTAATGCATTCAACATTATGAATAAAAGATATTAAATTTTATATTTTGTTTTTTTAAGACTTAACATGAGTGTAATATTAGCAATAACTCCAAGTAGAAGCTTAAAAATTTTTATTTGACTAATTCAGCTTTAGTGCTGAAAACATTTATTTTATTATAGTGGATTATTGCAAGCAAGAGGGGAGATAGGAGATGCTTATTATATTACCACAATGAGCAAAACAAAGTCACAAATTTGGGGGAAAAAATGACCCCAGAATGACATCAAAATCTGAAAAAATTTTTCACCCTTTCGCTGCCAATTATTTTGGGAAAAACGTTTTATTTTCAGATGAATATTTTTATGTGTTAACTTAGTAACTAAGAAACTGTAGCACCTTGAAGTACCTGACTGGTGGCTAACACCTCTACCAGATGTATGAGTTGACAATTGAACTCATTTCAAGCTCAGAAGGGCATAAAAAGAATCAAGATATACACATCTATGCCAGGGAAGGGATTAATAGTCATTTGTGCTTAGTTTAATTTGTAATGTATAATAAAAAGCAAATGTTGATGAGATAGTGTAGGTCACTATCAGGTTTGACACCCCAGTTCAGGGGTAGTATACACCAGCCCTGGTGATATGTATGAGAAAAGACGCACATACACTTTTCAGAGCAAAAGTCAACACATACACATGAGGAAGGCTGTAGAGTACTACAGCTCAAAAACAAAAAAATAAGGAAATTAATCTGACTTAATCTAAAATACATTCATATAGGAAATATTTAAGAAAAAAAATGAACTTAAATGTTTTCTCATAAAAATATATGAAAAGAAAAGCAAGTATTATACCTTCGTTAAATTCTGCAGTGAAGCCTTTTTTTCTGTCAGTTCCAACTGCAATTTATGGCAAGTTTGGTCTGCATGTTCCAAGAGATTGGATTTGTCTTGAAGTTCAACAAATGTTGTTTCATATTGTTCCTTGTAGTTCCAAATCTGAAAAATTTGGAAAAATGAAGAAAAAATATTATGGAAATAAACATTTTGATATGCAAAAGAAAACAACTTAAAAAAACAAAACAAAAAAAAACATTACAAAGCACAAAGTAATATACCCAGTTAAATAAAATCTTTAAATCACTTGTGTTAAACACAAATTAAAAAATAGGAATCAATCAAAACATATGTTTTCCTTTTTCTATTTGACAGAAATAAACTTGAAAGAACTTTTTCAACAGAAAAATGACTTGTAATTTGCTAAGTTATGTAATTTTGCTAAGTCCTTTCCTTTGTTCTCCTGTACCACACAGTCATTTTGTTTGTGAAGTTTGCAAATTTCATAAATTGGTATTACTAGCAAATTTGTCATAATTAAATTATTTCAGTAGCTTTAAAGATTTTGGTAGTTGTCTATTTCATTTATGACATGTTATATTATTATAATTTTTAATATGAGTGTAACTCAAAAATTGTCCACACTTTTGCCATAATATATATTTAGGCAAAAGTGTGAATAAGTTTTTGCTTTTCCTTACATTTATTAAATTCTCAAATGGCCAAAGCAGTTAGAGCATTAGACCATGAATATCAGGTTTGAATCTCACCAGGGTTGATTTGACAAGGGAGTGACTTCTTGGTAATATCAACCTTGGGAGATGATTCCAGTATAGTGTACTATTGAGAAATGCCTGAAAACCACACCATCGGTTGACCCAAGCCTTGTAAATAAAAACAAAACTGTTCAGAAGCCATCAATGGTTGTACTAACAGAGGTAAGTAACAGGTTAGTAAATATAAAAATGTCATTTACCTGTTCCGTTCTTTCTTTGATATCATTTTCTGCACTTTTTAAACGATTTTCCAAATCAGTCACACGACCTTCCATTTCTTTTTGGTATTCAGACATTGTAGTAACTAGCTGTGAAACCTTAGAAAAAAATATATTTTCAAATATAACTTTGTATTTATATGTGTGTTATAGGACAGATAATTGTTCTTCCCCAGAGATCACCTCAAATGAGAATCAATTTCATTTAACTCAAATTCTTAAAATTATTGTTTTTAATTTTTTATAATTTATTTTTTTTATCTTTGATAGCTAAAAGTTTGACTTGGCAATGAACCAAGGGAAAAAACTCTAAATTTATACTTGCCAACTGCAGATGACAAAAATTTTTACCATAATGAAAAGTTAAAAATAAATAAAGGAAAAAGATAATTCTTTTTTTATTAGGTAATAAAATAATCAATCCAGAAAACAGAACAGATCTGCAACTGTTATCCTCTTGAGAAGGCACTTCTAAATTTCAAATCCATATTCATTAGATGAAAATAAAAATTGATAATAAACTCATTTCCTCAGACTAGTGATCTCCCTATCTCTTTTTGATATTCACACATTACTAGTTATGAACACTTGGGGGGGAAAAAAAAAAAAGAAGCAAAGTCTGGTGAGTAACAAAAAATGTACAACATCTAAAACATTATGATTATAACAATTAAGATAAGGACATTAGTAAATAACAAGTAAATAATATTGTAAATTTCTCATCTCAAAAATTCTAACAAATACTTCTAATAAATTTGTGCTATTTACATTATTTACATTGCTCAGACTGTTGTCCTCATCTTTGTTGCCATATTCATGACGTTTTGGCTGTTGTACCCTCTGGCCTTCATCAGGTGATTGAAATTTCAAAGCAAACCCTTTATTCCATTTACTAGGTAGATTGTTCTAGTTCCATGTGCCATACCACTTCAGGATATCTTAGTATTAGTTATTTCCCTTTAACTCAACTCTTCAAGTTTCTGTTCACCTCTTCCATTATTACAACAAATGAATTGTAAAAATACATTTCAAATTTCATCATACTTTTGTGATTCCTTGCGAATCCTCATCACCACTTTTGTGATGTTGGATGGCTTTGCTTGTCACTTTTGCTAAGTCAAGTGAAAGCTCGTTATCACTTCCAGAAATGCTAGTCATATTCGAGACTTTGTAGATGCCAGTATTAATAGTAACGCCTTCCAATAATATCCGCACTAGTAATACTTGTTCAAGTAGTAATTGCCAAATAGTATAATGATTAGAAGAGAATCATAATCCATATAGTAGCAGAGTAGAGAGAGTGAATGTATAGCAATAGAAGATAGACAAGAAGAGTGAACAGTCATCATTACACTATTTTGTATTTATTCACTCCCTTTATAATCACATGATCTACTTAATAATGGAATTGACCATGTTGCTCACTGGCGATCTAGTTTCAAACCACAGTGTCGGCAATGACACTTACTCTTATACAACACATACAAAAGCATAAAGTGTAAGATTATTTTTACAAAAATGGTTTTCCTTCCAAATATTAGAACTTTATATACAAAAATATTTCTACTTACTTTAGTAGTTCTGTTGTCAAGCTCACCTCGTTGCTCTTCTAAGTTATTCTGCAAATCCTCAATGTTATCATTTTTTGTGGAAATTTCATTTTGTAATTTTCTAAAATTATAAAATACATGAAAAAATGCTTATGATATTATTATACTGCTCATCTTAATTTAAAATGTTCCTTGTATTTTTATAATTTGTATACTGGCAGGCAGGGGTATGGGGAATTTGATCAGAGTTGTGATTATTGATCTGAGAAAACCTTCCTACTAGTCAAGTTCACCTTGTTGATTTGTATTACTAAAAAGCCCAGCAATTTATTTTTCTTCCTAGTCTTTGACAAGGTTGGTTAGTGTAATTAAAAATCCAATCCATCTTCTTATCAAATAATAACTGAAACACATAAGACCATGTGTCTACTCTGTTGTTTAACTTTTGCTTTTACTTTCTCCTTAAAGAATCTAACTAAAGAAAGCCCTTCTTGGAGGTATTAATGGCTTGGCTTTGTCACTTGGCTTATCTCTTTCCTCCCTTTTCTACACAAGTACTTGGATTTTTGCAGCAGGTGGGTGGCTCATTAACAGCTGACTATTGACCTGACCAAAAGTAAAAATTGAGAATTCTTCTGCATCAGTGATCGTAGTTATCAAAGAATCAAATGAGATATAAACATGTAATCAGTTCAATCAGTCATTTACTAACAACTCAAAGTCATTTATTTAAATTAATTTACTAACAATTTCATTATTTTACATGATAAAAGCAAAACACTGTAACTATACAAAACAGTCTTGATAGATTTTGCAACAAGCACAAAAACATGAATATCTAGAATTGATAGATTTTATAATTTATATTTTTACAAAAGATTCTCGTCTAACATAGCATTGACTTATTTAAAAATAAGACAAAGAAATGGATTTATTAAATGTTGTCATCAGAAAGACAGTAAACAAAATCTGTCACATTTAAAAAAGTTCATAAATGTCAATATTTTGTCAACAAAAGGCAAATTGAGTGACATTCTTTACTGCTGTCTTTTGAATTTCCAAAATAAAAATGAAATGTTTTCATTATTGATGTCAACTTTCAGCATTTAAAATTCTTCTTATTTAAAACACAATTCTTGTGTTATGATGGGCCTTGTTTGAAAAATCTTATGCTAGACATATAAATATTATCAGTGTGACATAAAGAAAACAAAATAAATTATAGTGTGATATTACCAAGCCAACCTTAATATTGGAAAATAGAAATTTTATTTTATGACAATAGAATACAAAAAATCAAATATAAGCCTGAAATCCCCAATTGATAATGTTGTAGTGTTTATCTGGGATAATTTCAATTAAGAAGAGTAATATCACATGGACAACACATTGCAAGAATAGAAGTTGTGAAATTTTGATTCAATAGTGATATATTGCAAAGTGCAAACAATTCAAGTTACTTTTGACTCATCATCTTAGAAAGAAATTCCTATTAACTGCTCTACTGTAATGCAGTTCTGCACATCACTGCATCAGCCGTGACAACATCCAAAGTCAGCTGTATACTAATACACACCAGCACTCACTACGTTCCACAGATTCATATTGATTATGATCATGGAAGCTGTCAACAAAGAAATAACAACAAATGCTTTTCAAGACACTTGTTGAGTCAGGAAGTAGCAAAAAAAAAAAAAATGATTTCTCACTTAATCAGTAATGTATGTTAAGAGAAGCAAAGTTTTTCTGATTTCTCACAAAGTTCCAGCCACAGAAAACAGAACCCTACATACTCACTGCCAGGCCGTTTCACTGACTGTTCATTATATGGATACAGACTGGTGGAACCAGCACTCCTTTCTGTCTACTTATGTTTCACCAACCGGAAAGGGGGATCACCCAAACAGGATTTGGATGGTTAGTCTTTCAAAGGACCTTACTTCTATGGCTATCTAAAAACACTAATAAAACCTTATGTTTGACAATTCAAAGTGGGCTGGAGATAAGATTCTTAAGAAACTCTGATCATTAAATTGACTTAAAAGGAAAAAAAAATCTATCTATTCATCTCCTAAGGATGCATGAGAAATTGTATTGCTACACAAACGACACTTGATAAATATTAGAGCTGCAATGACAGAGACCAAGACGTCCAGTCAGGTTCATTATATTCACTTACACACAAATACCTTTTAGAAAGCTATGTATCTATCTCCTTCTCCCCAATCTATGGGTTAAATTGTTGGACTTTTATATGGAAAAATCATTACTATTCTAAAAAAATTGTTAATGCAATGTTCAGTAGCAGGAAAAAAATTCTACTTACAATTCTAAATATGTTTTGGCTTTAAGTAATCCATAAGAGGGTGATAAGCCATAAAAACAAATAAAAAAAAAAAAGAAAAAAAGGCTAATACAACCTATATATATATATATATATATATATATATATATATATATATATATATATATATATATATACATGGAGAGAATGGTGGTGTAGGAATGATAATAGTTATGGTGGTGGTAATGATGATCATATGGTACTGATGATTGGTAACTGATTAATTAAAGAATTGGCTGTTAAATTGTAAAAATTGATGCTGTAGAAGTGATAAAGATATGACTACAGGTGGTTAGAGGTTCATCAGGCTGTGATACTTATAATAGAACCAAAGATGAAACCAAAGACATAATGGTTCATTCAGTCTTATGATAGTTGTAGTCATATTTGATAATCTATGACAAGGATATTGTGTTATTTTGCTACATCCTTGTATTAAAAAATCACACCCTATTGGTAATATCCCATAGTTATTTTTCTAAAAAGCATATGAACTGAAATTTCAGAATAATTAAGAAAGAAATTCTTAGGAAGAGATATTCTGTTTAGTGATTCTTTGTGATGGCTATAAAATACACATGTACTAATTGGAAACTTAATCACACCTACAGAAAAATTTGACTGAAAACACAACTCACTTAATGGCTTCTCCTAAATCTTTACAGATTTCTTCTTTGGCTTTTAAACTTTGGTCCAAATCAGAAATGTGATGTTCTAATTTTTCTTTCAACACTTTCTGTTCATCAACTTTTACCTGTACATAAAACAAAAAAAGATAAAATGTAATTAAAAACAAAGCAGAAATTTGTTTTTCAAGCTTGATTGACAAAAGAAAAAACAAAAAATCATTATTGTTAAAACAACAGGTTTCTTTATTATTCTTTATTTTTGGGTTTCTTTATTATTCAAGTTGTGTCTGCTTAATTTTCTAGTTTTCCTTCAGTTCATCTTTGGGAGTTCTTTTCTTATCAGAACGATCAGAGTGAATTTTCTGAGCTGACAAACCTTCATAATCACCATTAAACTCATCCAACTCTTTCCTCGAGGGAACAGGTGGAGAAATCTCCCTTTAAGACAAGTACCCAAATGGAAAACTATACACAACCCTTGCTACAGAAGACTTATACCAGTCCTATAAGTTTCACACTCAGATTTCTCATTCGCCCCATGGGTACAAGCAGAGAAATCTCTCTCTACAAAATGTCTATTCAAGGCAAGAATTTTGTTAAGTGGGAAACCCAACACTTTTTTTCCAAAAAATACCATCTATAAAAGCTGTTAAATAGTTATTTCAAGCCTTAGATTTTGTTCATTCCACTCTCACTGATGAGCACTCACACACATAACGGGATAAAATTCCTACATTAAATTAACTTTTTAGCTTAGTCTTTAGCAACCAAATACATAGATCATTATTACTGTATTGACAAAGATCCTCAATGGGTGCCTTAATACTTCTAATTTGGTAGCTTAGTGTTGTGTCGTGGCACAATAGTAAAAATAAGAAAATCAAGTCGAAGTTGGTTTAAAGAATAAGTGTATTTAACATCACAGATACAAAGGTAGGAAACGAGTACTACTCAGCTAGGCAGTTGTAGTACTGCCGCTGCTTACACCGGGTAGGTATTAATGGCACTATATATAGTAAGAACCGGTGTAATTCTCTTGTGTTAGAGGCTGGTGCAACACCTCCCTTTGAAAATTAATAACGTCTGGGAATTAATAACGTCTGGGAATTAATAACGTTTTTGTTTTGGGTTCACCCTAATCAACTCTGTTGATTTCCGTTTTCTTTCTGACCTCCTATTCTCAGGAGCTTTCTCTGGTATGGGCACCTGAAAATTATCAAACACTGTGTACATGATGTCCTCCTCGGGCGATCTGGTAACCTCACTGTTCGAGTATCTTTTCCGGATTTGGTTAGTGTGACGTTTGTGCACGAAATCTGGTCCCTTAATCATATAGACCATGTTGCCTATTTGTTTTTCAATAGTGCCAGACTCCCAAAAGGTCCTATTATTTCTATGCATCTTGTAGAAAACTCTTTCGCCAACTTTATACCGTTTTTTTGTTATTGGTTTTATGAGGTTTGGCCTATCCTGGTTTGGTAACAACTTGTGGAAAATTGATCTAACCTTGCGTCCGAACATGACCTCAGCAGGTGTCTTCGACGTTTCGATGTTTGCATTCGGAGTGTCCCTGTAAACTTGTAAGAACTGTTGGATTGACTTATCCGTCGGTGATCCACTAGCCTTTCTCAGGGCTCTCTTGAACGTAGCCACGAATCTCTCCGCTTGCCCATTGCTTCTTGGATGGTATGGTGGAATGGTTATATGCTCGATTAGATAATCCTCGCAGAGATGTTTAAATTCGGTAGACGTGAATTGCATTCCATTGTCTGTGACAATGCAGTCTATAACTCCAAACCTAGCGAATAGTTCATACAGAAAGTTAATAGCTGCCTCGGATGTGGGGTTCTTGCATTTCAGTACTTCCGCCACTTAGATAGACTGTCTATAACAATGAGATAGTAGAAACCATCTAACGGTCCAGCAAAATCCAAGTGAATTTCGACCAAGGTCGGTCCGGTTTTGCCCATTTAACCCGAATTGAGTCGGAGGAGCTTTCATAGCTAATGCGCATCCTCTACACTCCCTGACTTTTTTTCTTCTATATCCTTATCCATGTTTGGCCAGAAAACAAAAGAGTGCATAAGGCTTTTCATTCTTGATATGCCTGGATGTCCTACATGGAATTCCTTTGAGCATTCTTTTCTGTAATGTCGTAGGAATTACGACCCTGTCGCTATATAAACAGGACGTTATCACAAATTGAATAAATTTCCTCATCCAGTTGGTTACTGTTGATTTTTTCTTTCGTGCTTATAATAAATTCGTCCACCTCTGCCTTACTCTTAATCTCATCAAGTGTTACTGGAAGTTCTCTTATCGTGTCACATAAAGTATTTTTTTACTTCAACTTCCGCTTGAATGGCTAAGCTATTACCATATCCTCCAATGGTTCTGTGTGCTTAGGTATTAACCTTGATAAGCCATCTGCATGACCAAGTTTTTTAGATGGTACATACTCCATTTGAAAATTATAATTCAGAAGAATGGTACCCCATCTTTGAGTCTATTCACCGTATGTTGTGGTAGTCCCTTTTTCGATCCAAAAATTGTTAGTAAAGGTTTGTGATCTGTTTGTAACAGAAATTGTCTACCGTGCAAGAAACGATGAAATTTCTTTACTGTAATATAATGCTTAGCACCTCTTTCTCAATTTGCGAGTAGTTCTTTTCAGCTGGTAAAAGTGAACGGGATGCATGGGCTATGGGTTTTATTTTTCCATCATCCATTTTGTGTAGTATGCATGCTCCTATGCCATAGGCACTGGCATCACTTGCAACTATAATATCACGCTTGGGATTATAATGTGCCAGAAACAAGTCAGACGTTAATATATCTTTAATTTCCTGAAATGCTTCTTTCGCACTCTTGCGTCCCAGACCCATTTTTTGGTCCTTCCTTAACAATTCATTTAAGGGTGATCTTAGTTTATGCATATTTGGCACGAATACATTGTAATAATTCGCCAACCCTAAGAAACTTTGTAGAGACGCAATATTTTCTGGAGCAGGCATGTCCTTATTGCACTCGATCTATACCATGTTCATCGATAATTTGCCCCAAGTATTTTATTTTTTCCATGAAAAAGGTACATTTTTTCCTGTTTCAGTTTAAATCCATAATCCTGGATCCTTTTGAATACTTGGTTTACATGAGCTTTGTGTTGTTCTTTGCTAGCGCTGTTCATTAACACATCGTCCAGGTACCCTACCGCAAGTCCAGCCCACTTAACATCATGTCCATTGTTTGCTGAAAAATCGCAGGGGCAACTTTTGACCCCAAAAGGAAGTCTGTTAAACTTGTGTAATCCCTTATGGGTATTGATGCATAGCAGCTTTGAACACTCCTGATCGACTGGGATTTGTAAATACGCATCACTGAGGTCGATTTTAGAAAAATATTTCCCTCCACTCAGTTTCACGAATATTTCTTCAGGGCTCAGAAGGGGATAATGGTGATCCTTTAATGCATTGTTTAAACCTGTTGAGAAATCGGCACAAACCCTAATCTCCTTGCTCTTCTTTTTGATGTAAACTGTTGGCGTAGCCCACTCACTGTGATCAATTTTTTCGAGGACACCCATGTTTTCAGTCTTTCTAATTCACCGTCTATTTGTTCTATAGCGGCGTATGGAACCTTTCTTTTTTTTTGAACACTGGCTGTTCATTTTCTTTTGACTTCAAATTTTGCTACCGCTTTTATACACCTTCCAAGACCGCCTGTAAATATGTCTGGAAAATTCTCTTTTAACTCCTCTTAAGTTTTTCTGCCTCCATATTCACATCCTCAACTTTTTGACAAAAGAGCTTAAAGGCAGATCCCATAGTCTAAATTTTTCGAACAGATCAGTTCCAAAAGAGGTTATTTGATTTTCGCATGACAAAAATTTTCGCTTTTTTCAGTCTTGGTCTTATTCTGAAAAGAAATATTCGTCAATAATTCTCCTTCGAAAGTGATTTTTTCACCACTGACGCTTCTCTCCATTTTATGTGATTTAATCATAGTGGGTCTCCCAAGCTTCTTCAATGTCTGTATATTAATGATGGAAATATCAGACCCACTACCAAGCTGTAGTCTTACTTTCTTTTTAAACATTTTGACCTGTACAAATTTCCGGATATTTCATTCCTCAGGTTCAATTTTCGTTAGTTTAATGGATGTCTTCTTTCTACCAGATTTTTCCCTACAATGTGATGCCTTATTGTTTAAATTTGTAGGGACACTCATTGTACCAATGTTTATCTCCACACCTCCAACACGGTCCAGGTGGATCTTTTCCCTGTTTTTTCCTCTGGTTATTTTTTGAAGTTAAATTTTTCTTCTGATGGACCTTTTTAATGTGCGACACTCTGCTTTCCTCTATGTCGCGACTGTCCTGTTTCAACGCAACAAACCGCTTCCACTAAGCTTTGTAGTTTTAAATTCGGCTCATTTTCGAGTTTATTTAAAACACGACGCCTGATCTCAGCGTCTTTACCTAAAACCAGCACTTGCAAAAATATTAAACATTTAAAATTAACTGATGATAATTCCTCCAGTTTAAAATAGTCGCAATGCTTGTTTACAATACTTGCATAAGTAGTGTAATCATCTTCCTCTCTTCTAGTGACATTCATACACTTATATCTCCTGTGAAAAAGAGAAGTTTTTGTAGAAAACAGTTCTATTAGTAGAGTAACTGTCTCTTGAAAGTTCAACTCACTGGTCTTTTTTGGAAGGATAAAATTCACGAACTTTGTATGCTCGGCAGTTCCCAATTTTCTTAGCAGAAACCTAACTTTTTTTAGCGCCTGTCCATATACCACAATCCGATACAAAAAATATCCTCATATCTTCTATAGAAATGAGCAAACGTGACATCGCCTTCTGGATTATAATTGAAACTTTCAATAGCGCCCACACAGCCATCTAGGGAGAATGCGTTATGATTCTCGCTTGTATTAGCTAACCGTGTTGCCTCCAGAAGTTTCCTCTGTTCCTCCTGTGTTTTCATAAAGATTTGTTCGATGCGCTTCTGTTGTTCCAACAACTCTTTTTTTAATTTCTCCTCACTTTCGTTGTCGTTGAAGTTGTTGCTTTTTGCAACGCGAGACTTTGTTCCGTTTGAAATTTGAACAATTGAAGAAGAGACTCTCTTAATTCTGCGTCCATGGTATGAATTCAATTTACGCACCCTACAGTTTACAATTTTGTTTAAACAAATCAGTTTTCCCAAGGCTTGCTTACTAAAAAATTAGTTTTGCTCAACTAATACACAAACAAGAAATATGTATTTCGTAAAAAACAAAAAAATCCGTCGCTTTAAGGAGTGTCGACTAATGGGAAAAGTCACAAAATTTTTTCCAACCTCTTTGTGGTTTTGCACAAATATGACTCAAATTTTTAACAGTCTTTTGTTAAGCACCAATGACTTACGTGAATATATATTTTTCACCGACAAATCATTTAACTTTGAAGAGGAGAAAAAAAAAATCTTACCGTGACAAAAAAACTCTGGTTTCTTGTAAAGAACCAAAAAAAACAGTGAACCTCTTTTTTTAGCAAATTTTTGGTTGTTTCTAATAATTTTTTTTTACGTCGCCAAATTACTATTGTAGTAATTAATTTGCTATTAATCCTTGCGTATCCACATATCTGCTCGAAATGACAAAAGGTGTTTTTGTCAAAAATCTTGCGAATCCTTGTATTTCAATCACTTTAAGTGATTGTCTGCAGTGATATCGTTTCGATTCGACGTCGCCAATCTGTTGTGTCGTGGCACAATAGTAAAAATAAGAAAAATCAAGTCGGTTGGTTTAAAGAACAAGTGTATTTAACATCACAGATACAAAAGGTAGGAAACGGGTACTACTCAGCTAGGCAGTTGTAGTACTGTTGTTGCTTACACCGGTAGGTATTACTGGCACTATATATAGTGAGAACCGGTGTAATTCCCTTGTGTTAGAGGCCGGTGCAACACTTAGTAAGAACCTAATCTTTCAGTTTACCACCTCTAATATCAGTCATTAATGGAGTCACTATCTTCAGTAGTAATGTTCTTTATTCGTGGATAGATGCAACAAGATGCAAAGACATGTGTATTTTATTTCATGTTTGAATTTATTGTTTGCAAAGATTAATTACAAATTTGTTTTTCATGGTGTCAAAGGCCAAGTGTCAATTTATGTCTTTTTTGGGATAAAAAATGGTAAAAAAAAAACAAACATAAAATGACCAAATAATTTGTTCTATGAGTGTAGAAGTGAACAAAAGATGCCACTATTTACATTATTTGGACTGTCATCCTCATCTGCATTGCCATATTCACAATGTTTCGGTCATTGTATGCTCCAGCCTTCTTCAGCTGATTGAAATTTCAAACTGAACCCATTATTTTGTTCACCGGAGTAGATTGTTCTAGTTCCATATGCCATGCTTCTTCCGGATGTCTCAGTTATTTCCCTTTAACTCAACTCTCCAAGTTTTTGGATCCACCACTGCTGTAGCCTGGTATTGAACTCACTGGATCTAACCAACGCCTTTATCCACTGGGCCATGTGTCCTTGAGATAGTTGAGTTAAAGGGAAATAACTGAGACATCCAGAAGTGGCATGACACATTGAACTAGAACAATCTACCCCGGTGGATGAAATAAAGGGTTTGGTTTGAGATTCTAATCACCTGAAGAAGGCTGGAGCATACAATGGTTGAAACATTGTGAATATGGCAATGAAGATGAGGATAACAGTCTGAATGTAAATAATCATTATACCTCATCTCAGGGATATAGACAGAGAAAGATGTCACTTAATAATTATTATTTTTTTTTTTTTTTTTAATCATTTCACCCCAAGCAAGGCAATAAAGCTACTAAGATGCAGGGGTTACTGAGTATTAGAGAATATGAGAAAAACTACTATTAGGGAGAGAGGACAATAAAAGAAGAATTAAAAAAACAGCACATAACGATTGAGATTGCATTTAAATTTTTAAAGATCAAAGTTGATGGGAAAGCAAGAAGCTGAAAGATAATTTCACAAGCGGGAAGTGTGATAGAAGAAACTGTTAGCATAGAACTTACAGTTACATCTAGCAGGCATTTCAATTTTAAAATGATGAAACCTCACTACCACTCTACTACTGCACTTAAATTCATTAAATCTAGATACCATAGCACAAAGTTCATCAGAACAATTACCATGCAAATATTTATAGAAAAGGCACAGGGAAGCTATGTTACGGTGGTAGGAAAGGGACTGAAGCCAAGATGCCAGGTCAGGACCTGTAGCATTGCAGATTCTTTGTATTTTATCAAGAATCTGTAAATACCATATGTGATAGCAATATTTAAAGCAAGGGTGAATGGTAGACTTAAAAATATGTAAGAGATTTTGGTGAGAAAAAATGTCTAGCATGTCATAGTGAACCAACTTTCTTAGCTGCAGACTTAGCAATTAATTCAATACACTCTTTGCACTTCATGTCAGCTGAAAAACATTAGTCTGAGAATGCACAATGAGTCAATATAGTCAATATGAGTGGTTAGCATCAGCCATGATGAAGGAAGGTAAAAAACTGGGTTTCTCTCAGATGATTAAAAGAGAACAGTTTCATTTTTGAGGAGTTATAATTAACAATTATTTTATTTAAGAAAATACATTAATTACCTTGAGGAATGCAACAGACTTATTTAACTCTCTGTTTTCCTTGCTGAATGTATTGATTTCTTCACTTTGAACTTTCACATGATGTTCTAATTCACACACTAAATGGAAATTAAAAAAGAAAAGTATCATTAGAAATTTATTTTAAAACTATTTAAACAATATACAAGCAATTTTAGAAAATACTTTGAAAAAATTATTTAGTTTTTTTTAAATAATGTAAAAATATATCAAAAGAGGCTTCAATATGGAAATGTAATACATGGAACAGAAAGGAAAGAGTTAGTTTTATCTCAATTTCAAATGTTCTAAGCAGCATCCACTTTAACCAAAGGTTAATGGGATTTTCAGGGATCAAAACTGGAAATAGGTGCTGGTCTATATTTTTTACAAAAAAAATATTTTGATTTAAAAGGAAGGTATTTTTAGCTGCTTTACTTGTAAAAAAATTTATTGGAAATGATTTACTGAAGAAACTCATAAGAAACATGAATTTCAAGGATGAGGAGTTATGTTATTTACATTCAAACTAATGTCCTCATTTTTGTTGTTATTATAACATTTCAACCTTTGTTCCCTCAGGCCTTCTTCAGATATCTATCAAACCAGGTAACCTTCTGGGAATTTGAAACTGAACCATTTATTTAATCTACAGAGGTAGAAATAATTTACAAAAAGAACATCTTTCAAATAATAATATTAGCAATAAAAATTAAAAATAGTTATGAATAGACTTGAAACAGCATATGGGCAGATATGGTCCTCCAGTATGAAGAATATATAAAATCTAATAGATTTCTACCTGCGTTCTTGTGATGCTGTAGTTCTTCATTACTTTGTTGGTATTGTTCCTTCATAAAGCCAAGGCTGGCAGTTTTACGGAGTCCTTCTTCTTGCTCTTGCTGTAGTCTGCTATTAATTTCAGCCAATTGTTTAGCAACAGACATTTTTGAAGCTTGTAATTCACTGCATTTTTTAAATAAATTCAAATTTTAAAATACTTTGATGATAAAAAGCAAATTGACTGCAGATAATTAAAAAGAACAATGATTTTAATGAAATTATTTACTTTATATAGATATTCTCAGATAGATAAAATTCATTGATAATGATAACAGTAATTAATATTTAAATAACCTGATCTATTTCATGTACCTAGAACTTATAACAATTGGGAGTAAATATAGACATTCTGAAAATGAAAAGGAAATTTCATTTTACCTATATATACTCAAATATTCATTGCAGAAGCTTTTTTGTCTAAAAATTGAAACAAAATTCAAAATGTTCTGATGAATCAAAACTGCAATTTGAACACGTCATCCATTTTCAGAAAACTCTCCCTGGAGTCTGATTTCATCCATCTGTGCACATCTGAAGCCTCGTAAATCTACAGCAGAAAACTCTCAATTCCACAGAAGTTTATATGACATGTGCCAAATAAGCGTGTTTTCAATGCAGAACATCACTTACTACATGTATCAAATAAGTGTATTTTCAACACACAATCTCATTACCACAGAACTTTACCGATGCAGAGACTTTAAATATACAAACAATTCCTCACATAATGCTACAAAATTGTAAAGAAAACAATGCCACTTTTTGTCTTATTTAAATCCTTTACAAATTCAAAGTTCATTCAAAACTCTTTATCTTTGTTAATCCTAATTGGTATTGTTGTCTATATACAAAACATCAAAAGGTTGTTTATTGTAATGTTAATACATCCCATTGGAGGGATTCATTTTTCAACTTTCCTTGTATCTCTTGGAATGTGAATATTTATCAGAACCAGAATTACCATGTGCAATCAAAGGATAAGTACTTCTTTGATCAATTAAAAAAAATGGGTAGAATCTTCCATATTGTGGCTGAAAGGATGACATACAAAGCCACATTTTGAATATGACCTTGTTTCATTTTCCTTTTTATGAAGAAACTCAGTAGAGCAAAAAGACAAAGAGATTTACTCACTGAATGGTTTCAGTAAGTTCTTTGATTTGCATTTCTCCTTGTTCTGCTATTTTCTGGAAATGGTCAGATTTTTGTTTCAGTGATTGGACAAGTTCCATTTGTTGGCTGCGCTCAACTAAAAGATGCTGTTCCAGTTTTGACATCTGACAAAAGAAAAACAAATTTATCTTAGAAAAAAACATGGAGGCTGGCTACTGGATATTTGTGAAGTAGAAGGAATGAAAAACAAAGTGACATGATGATTAACTGGTTATGAATTATGCCTGTGTTTAACATCTGTAAATAAATTCCTAATGAACTTGTAGTTTTGCTTTACTATTGATGAGAGACCCTCAGGCAAAGGGTAAAGAAATGATGTGACAAATACAGAAATTGTCACTTCTCTAATAACAATAAAATAATAACTAGTCAGATATACTCACATCAGAGGCACATACACAGACTAGTAATGAAGGAGAGTAAAATAATGAAATTAAATGATGCACTGATGAATACATAATGAGATGACAGTAAATATATAACACAAATAAATTTGTTAAAGTCAAAAATAACTGCTAAGGTTTAGAAATAAATCACAACAAGCAAAAGAGTATTACAACAATTGTGTCTTTTCCATTGATAATTTTATAACTTATCTGGTTAATATATTTAAGCAATGAGAAAATATTCTAACAATATCCATTATTAGTAAGAAATTTGTAAGAAATATATTAAATTTATTCTATGTCATAGTAAAGGTTATGTTATGATATGAACATGTGTTTTTATGTTACTAAGCATATATGGTGGCAGAACAAAGAATAAACAACAAGAATTTAAAGTAATAAACAATTGTATTAACATAAAATACAATAAAGAAAAATCAGATTGTGTCTCATATGAAAAAAATGAGTGGAATTATAAAGGCATCTGGTGAGATGTATAGAAAGAGAGAGAGGATAAATTGTGCTTTACTGGGGTGACAGCATTGGCAAGCTGGCCTGATGTCTTTGGAGATGGGAGATTTTTGACAAGCATGTGAACTTAGGTTGAGATGTCATTCAACTGCTGGCTGTCTCTTTGATGGACTTTTTGAGGCTCAAACTGGCTCAGTTTTCATTTTGTTTCTTTATGCAGAAGTGGGTGCTACTAGGTGGAAATTCTGGATTGTATTGCTTTTTATTCTTTGAGTGTGTGAGTAAAAACGGAAGGTTTGTGCAAAGCCTTGTACAACTGAGAGATTTTTAGTTGAGTTTTGGGTGTTTGGAGTATTCACATCCAGCTAGTAGTGGAAATTAGTGTAGCATGAATCAGAAGATCTGATTTTCAAAAGAATGTAATGGTTATAACCTTTTCAGATAAAAACAAGAAACAATTGAAAAGTTAATTCAAAACAATGCCATTTTTAATGGCATTTCCTTTGATGGAAACAATTATGGCTCTCCAAGCCATTTTTGTTTTTAATATTTGTGAATTGTCATGATGGTTCTTGGAGTAGTGGAATAGTTTCCCATTGCCTTTTCTACAGTTGTCTTCTAAAGAGACAGCTGAAATTTCCAGAAACCATAATGAGGAAAGAGGGCTTGGAGAATCTGACACTCACAGGACATATTGAAGCCAAGAGGAACAAAGGAAAGCAGAGAGTAACCTACCTATAGAGTTTGTGTAAATGGATGACAGAACAGGGATTGGGAGAGATAATGAAAAGATAAAACAAAGATACAAAGGACAGGAAGTTGTGGAGAACCATGTCAGTCATGTTCTGAAGCTATAGAGACTAGTCTGCCCTGCTTAAAAGAAAAGCTATAGATTCATGTCTTTACCAACAGTATTAGTGTAAAGGGAATGCATTAACATTGGTTGATTCTATTTTATGCACTGATAACAAATCACTCATAAAACAAATCTAATTTGTATCTTACTTCTTTCTGGGTGTTGGCTTGACTGTCTTCCAGATGAGAAATGTGTTTGTTGCTCTGATCAAGCATAAGTTCATTCTGCTGTAGTGTTTGCTGAAGACCAATACATTCTTGTTCCTTGTCTTTGAAAGCCTGCTTCAACACTTTCAACTGGCCAAGTAGAGATTTCTCCTAATTTCAATAACAACAGAAATTGCAATGTCATTTTTGTATCACTAGTGGAAAAAATACAAAAACAATTTTTTCAAATAAAAGAAAAACAAAAAAAAACAGTATGAAGATTGTTATATAACATTTGCTTCCTCCCCAGCCCTTTAAAGGCCAGTATCAACCTTGTTATTGTATTTGAGTGAGACAGGGCACAAGAGGAGGGTCATGGGTATCCCTGATGATTTTGTGGTAAATGTAACCACTTTCAAAACATACAAACGTAAAGCACCATATTAAAATTGACCTTGTAAACACAATAATAACTCAATGTTATCTCATTTTAACAGATATATTTACCAAAATTATACAAAAATATCTTGACATACTAAAGAGTAAATTTATTCAATAAAATCTACTCCTTCATGAGGCAGTCGATACTAAATGCATTTGTGTTTAGTTCAGAGTTATTAAAATGAATTTTCAAAGAATTCATTTAGATTGGAATTAAAAATATTCTCTAAACAAAATATTGAATTACAAAGACAAGAAACTGTTAGCATAGAACTTACGGTTATATCTAGCTATTTCAACTGTAAGATGATGAGACCTAGATGCCAATCTGCATTTAAATTTGTAAAGTAAAGATACCAAAGAGGAAAGATCATCAGAACAATTATCATGAAAATATTTATAAAAAAGGCAGAGGGAAGCTATGTTATGGTGCTTGGGATTAGGTTGAAGCTGGTTAGGGCCAATAACATTCTAGATTTTTCTTTAGATTTTATCAAGAATCTCTAGATATATAGAGGAAGCACCATACCAGATATGGCAGCAATATCCAATGCATGGATGAATGGTAAACTTTTAAATGTGTAAGATAGATCCTGATAAGAAAAATTGTCTAGCACAACAGAGTGAACTGACTTTTCTCTTAGCAAATCTAGCAATTGATTCATTATAATCTTTCTACTTCTTTCAAAATGATTATTTCTTGAAAGCAACCTACTTTTGAAGCTTCTAGAGTTAATAAATAGATGTGGTTTTAAAGACTAATTTAAGGGTCAATTAACAATTTTGTTTAAAAAACATTAATGATGTATTTAATCATATTTTTCAAATATCCCAAAATTGTAATTAACATGTTATGTGAATTCTTTATGAGATTATTATTATTAAGAAGTGTCATTAATATACCCAATATTGTTCAAACCTCTTCTTTGTAAACATTATTTTATTAATATAATATTTTGATTGATTCATACAATGCCTCTTATGGAGAATGAAGCTCGGATAATTAACAAGGCAGTGTTGAGGAAGAGGAAAGTATATATTGGCCTGTTGGCCAATTTTCAACAATGTGGGTTTTTTAGCTTAGCAAAATATGCATTGGACCTCTCTCTCCCAAAATGTACCATATATTTCCGCATATAAGGCGACCTTTAGATAAGATGAGGTCAAAAAAATATAGCAAATTTTCATGAATTCACCCTATACCTGTAATATAAGACAACCGCTTATTGATTATATAAAGATGACATTATTGGAAATGTTGTTACTTACTATATCAAAATTAATGAAAAATTAATTCAAAATAAACAAAATAACAAAACTGATTCTATATCATATTTTCCTACACATGTCCCCAAAAAGGAAACCATTTTGTTTACGCTCCATCACATGATCTCTTGTGAATACCGATTCTGATTCTTCTTCTTTTTTTCCTAAATTGTTTTATTATTTAACACAAAAATGATAGTGAATTTTTTAATGAGAAATGAATATTACGCTATCCTAATTGTTAATACTGCCATACTGTATTAACACTACTAAGACAATTATTGAAAGTTTAGTGAAAGATAAAAGTTGCTATGAACACAATAATAACTCAATGTTATCTCATTTTAACAGATATATTTACCAAAATTATACAAAAATATCTTGAAATACTAAAGAGTAAATTTATTCAATAAAATCACCATTGGCTTCAACCATGGCCTCCAGATGACTTTGGAATCTCCTGCAACTCTTCTGGATAGTCTCCTTGTTCAAGTTGGTGAATGCTGCCATAATCCTTGCCTTCAGTTTATTTTGGGGTTACAAGGAGTTTTGTTGGTCTCTCACTCAACTGTGCCCTACACATAATAATCAAGGGGGTTGTAGTCTGTGGAGTTAGGTGGCCAGATGTAAGGGGTGATATGCTTGTGTAGCATGGTGTAGAGTCCTGTTGCCACACATAGAGTTTTCCAGCTGCCACCCTCTTGACCCAGGGCAGTACTACCTTCTTAAGGCATTTGATGTAGGCCTCCGTATTGAGTTTGAGGTCCTCACCAACAAATTCAGGAATTCTTTTCTTATCAGAATGATCAGAGTGAGTTTTCCAAGCAGCCGTACCTTCATAATCACTCTGCGCTGTTGTCAGATTGACACACAAATGCTCTGAAATGTTCATATTGGAGCTTCTGGTACAAGTGCTAAGCAGTACAGCATGCTGTTTCCAAATTTCTGGCAGAGTGAATTGTGTCATAGTGCACTTTTTCTCACAGATACTGCCCAACTGACCCTACTAAATTGTGCAATCGACAAAATCAAAAACAAACAATGCATGAAATGAAAATATAAAATGGTGAAAATTTACTCATCGCACCCTGTATAAGGTAGAAATGGTTTTATTTATTACCAGTTTATTTGATAATGTGAATCTTTTCATGTAGGTTATTGCTTATCATACCGAGGCCAAGGTTGACAAAGATCACTCAGAATTTAAGGTTTCTTTTTTTAGAATTGTAGTATGAGATGACCCCCAGTTTTTAAGGGTGATTTCTGGGATTTAAAGATTGTCCTATATGCAGAAATATATGGTAATTTTGAAATTACCTGAATACTTGGTGTACCTGTAAAAATGGATTCATTAACAATTTTGGTTTTCTTCTAGCAGAGAAAAGTTTCTTGCTTTTTCTGGGAATGAAGATTAAAGAATGGATTACCAAAAACAACAGCAAATTTACAATTTTAGTTGTCTGAAAAATATTAGGTAGGGATTGATCTATAAGTTTTTCATTAACTGAATAATTGAATGTAGAAACATTTCTATAGTTTAGGTTGAATGTACAAATTCTTATTTATGTTGTTGTGATCTTTTTTCTTTATTTTATGGAGAATGAAATATGACTTCATAAATTAATTTAACAGAAATCATAGAACAATAGAAAACTAACTTTCACACTTTCTCACTAGTCTTTTGAACAGGTGGAGAGGTTTATCCCTTGTTTCCTGTTTAAGATTTAGTCTCCAATTCCTTCTAAAGTCTACTTCAACTCTATACTTCTAATATATCTGCCTAAAACTCTGAACTTTTATTTACTATTTATTTACATTTTTTTCAATAAGAATAGATAGGGTTGATGACTGTTCTGTTCAGACTCCTCCCTGGTCTTTTGAACAGGAGTAGAGGTCCATCACATGCTTCCTAATTAGGAGTGGGCTTCCAGTTTCTTCTAAAATCTACTCCAACTCTATACTCTTAACATCTCTGCTTAAACTCTGAAAGTCTATTTAATATTTATTTTTTTCAATAGGATTAGATAGGTTTACCTCCTCCATGGCCTTTTGAACAGGTGTAAAGGTTCATACCTTCTTTCCTGTTTAGGATTAGCTTTCCAGTTCCTTCTAAAATCTTTTTCATTCTCTTTCACTTCCAGTAGTCGCTTGCATGTTAATGGCATTATTGCCTTGTGTGGGTTGAATTGATTAAAAAACAAAACAAAAAAAATATCATTTATTATATGAATATCACTAGCATAATTTTATCCAAATGTTGTTTGTAATCTCCGACAGTCTTATCTTAGAACCTAATTTGCCTGAATGATTCAAAAAAGTTACTTTAGTGCTTTACTTCTCATATTCCCCCCCAAACATTTCTTTTTTCTTCTTTTTGACAATATCTTCCATTTTTTTCACACTTTCTTCAATTTTCTTTATTTATTCCTCATTCCTTTTGTTGTCTTTATACATTTTAAGAAAAATATATATGAAAAAAGAAATTAAAACTACATTTCAGATTAGTGCAACATAAGTTCTATGCTAACAGTTTCTTCTCTCACACTTTTTACTTGTGGAAATCTCTTCCAATTTCTTGCTTTCCAGTCAATTTTGATCTTCAAAAATTTAAATGCAATGTCAATTGTTATCTTCTGTCTTCTTAATTCCTGTTCTCTTATTGTTCTCTCTCCTTTATAATGTTTTCTTTTTCTCATATTCTCTCACACACCCTTGCATCTTAGTGGCTTTATTGTCTTACTTGGACTGAAATCATATAAATGAAAAATAACATCAAAATGACAGACGAATTACCAAAAGCCACTCCTTCTGTTCCGAGGGATAGCTGTAAAGACTTAATGTATATTTTTGCCAATACTTTCAAGATAAGTCTGAATGTGCTCAACTAAAAACAGAGAAAATATCTTTATGTTAACATATGTAACATATGCTCAGCTATCACAGACCTGGATGTATTGATGCACCTCTGCAAATTATTGAATTACCTTTTACAAATACGAGTGGGCACATTTTGACTTCTCATTTCCAACCCCTGAGAGTGATGTGTGTGTGTGGCATCTGTTGGTCTCAAGAAATCTTGGCTCTATTCCCAAGGTGTTATGCTTCTGTTGCTGATAGCAGTGCGACATCTGTTATGGCTATACAGGCTCACATGAGAATGACAGTCTCATCTGCAACAGATGCATGTGGAGACACTCTCCCCTGATGTCTCTTTGTTTTCTTTCCATTGAGCTTGCTTCTACTCAGCAGCAAACCTTCATTTCTCTTCTTCTCACTCTAGCTCTTGGTGTGAATTGTCTCCAGTGTGACTGATCATTGGCAATGTCTTCCCACCTCTCAATGTCCATCAGCCTCATGTCCCTTTTGCAAACGTCTTTAATGCAAAGATGAGGTTGCCCTCTTGCCAGTAGCCAGTTCCCTGTACAGAAGGACCTTTGAAATCTTCCCATCCGGCATACAGTGTACATGTCCAAGCCAGCAGAGTTAACGCTGTTGGAGAATGGTGTATAGGCCAGGTAACTGGGCACAGGTAAGAACTACAGCATTGGTAACCTGGTCAAATCAATTGATGCCCAGAATATGTCTCAGACAGTGAAGATGAAAAACACTGAGCCATCTCTCCTGTCTAGAGTAGAGGCTCCAAGACACGCAACCATAGAACAGTGCACTGACAATGCATGCCTTATAGACTGCAACTTTGGTGTTCATAGTAAGCTTTCTGTTCTTCCAGACCTGAGGTCAGTCTGGTAAACATGGTTGCAGTTCATCTGTCTGTTGATGTCAGTGTAGTTCCACCTATATAGTCAGTATCATACTGATATTTAAAACAGTAATTAATTTCACTAATATGATGGAAAAGAGTGGATTCAGGATCTGAATGTAATTTGTCTGTGCTCTTGATTAGGTTGCAGTGTACTAATCTGAAACTATTTTGGATATATTTTCATATATCATATTTTTCTAAAAAATGAATAAACAAAAAGAAGGAATAAAAAAGGAAAGTGATGAATGTTAAAAAAATAAAATGCTGAGATAGTTGCAAAAAGGAAGTAAAAAGTGTTTGGGAAAAAATAAAAAGAATAAACTTACCTACTGGATGAAAACAGATTTGGATGTATCACACATGTAAAATATGCCTAAAATGAAGATGGTGGCTTTACAAGTTGTATATTTTAAAAAAAGCTAGAATTCTGAGTTGGATACTTTTGCAAGACTCTCTTTCCACCTATGCAAATTTGACCTGTCACTCAATCTATAAAAAGTGTATAAAGAGGCAACAGAGAGTGTGACTGCTGTAGCAAACAGGAGACACATGTTGTTGGGTTGTTTGACTTATGTTACTCTGTTTGTTGAAGGAAACAAATTAGGGAACTTTATTAGAAGCCAGAAGAAACTGACTACAAAACTAATTATTACTTAAAGTTTGATTTCTTGCATTTATTTTATCAACATTGTAAATATAATTCTAATAAAGGAAATACAATTTTTCTCCTTGTTAAAAACAGAATTACCTTTTCTCCATACTGAGCAATTTGATCTGAGTATAACTTCTTGTTCTCTTTCATATCCTTCACATTGCGACTAATCTCTGCCTTTAAATAATCTATAGATGTCTCCATTTGATTTATACGACTCTTGCTTTCTGAAGTCTGGAAATTTAACTGTAATTTCACATCATCTAGTTCCTCTGTCTTTTGGGACAATTTCTGAAAATTAAAAATTTAAATTAAAAGAAAATACATAAAACACATGACAATTTCTGGTACATATATGTTATGCCTTTCATCATGGCATTTACACTTGTTTCAAAGAAAAGTACACAAACATGTTCATAAAGTATTTACAAAACAGAAGCTAATAAGGATTCCTTCAACTTAAGATATTTGCTACTGCAACTTCAGAATTAGAAATCCCACATTTAGAAATCAATAACCTGAAAGATTTCAGTTTAATACAAACCTGCAAAATTTGATTTAACTCCAATTCCATGTCTTTGAGTTTTTCTGTTTTTGTACTGACTTCTTGTGACAAAGCATCTATTTCTTTAGATAAGTCGCTGTTCAACTCTCTTTGATTCAAAGAATTTTCTTGAAGCTAGAAAAATAAGTTCAGATTAATTTCATTTTATTTACAGAAAAAACCAAAAACCAAATGAAAATATATTAACCCATTCACTGTTCCATAACCCAGGTCCCACAAGTGTCATATTAAAATGATATTATCATTTGTATTAGTAATGTCATTGGAGACACTTACCTAATTTTTAAAATATTACTCAGTTTTTTGTCCCTTTGTTTCTTCTTGTTTTATTTATGATGCTTTTTAATATCAAAGCAAATTGACAAAAATACCAGAAAATTGGTAATTAATTATCAGTTTTGACATTCGAACAACCAGCTAAATAATGCATTAAATAACCATGCAAATTAAAAATAAGGATCATCAGTGGCTCCAAGCAGCTCACTAAACAATGTTGAAATTTTTTGTGATTATTTGAATATATTATCCCAGTTAGGACGTCACATAAGGTATTAAAATGGTTAATAAAAAAGAAAATCTTTATATTCTATTAAAAATGACAACATTTATTTTTCTTTTATAACACTTAATAAATATTTTCCAAACATAATATTTGCAGAGTAAGTGGCTTTGGTTAAATGTAAATGGCAGACAGAATTGACAAAGTTTGCAATAAACAAGAAAAGAAAAGAACTGGGAAAAAAATAATATTGAGCAAGTGAAGAATATGTGCAAGACAATGCAACAGTAATAAAGCAAAAAGTTCACAAACTAATAATTGGTGTTGACCACAAGAGTGAATTTGGATAAATGAACTTAGCATTTTGACTTTAAGACAAGACAGACTGGAACTGAGTCGGATGAGACTGAGAACTGGTCTATCTTATGACGTGGAAGAAATCCCAGCATGCATGTGTTTGGTTCTGCCTATAAATTGGGGAGGGTGAAGTATTTTGTAGTTATATTCCCAGAAACATTGGAACCAGCAGGATTTTTAAAAATCTTTACTTTTGATTCACAAAGAAATAAAAATAAAATATATCAGCCCAATTAATAATATAAATATTTTTTGTATAGAGAAAGGAAGTAATGCACAATGCTTTCTCCATGTCTAATATATAAATTTTGTCCAGATGTCAAAACACTGAAAATTAATTAAAATTATGACATCAAATAAATTCCATAAATTTTCTTATATCTTACCCATCTGTGGTTTTTGCTTAATGGAGATAATTAATTTGCATATTCAGCTATAAAAAAAATCAGATTTTTAAAAATAACTCTTTTGTTATTCATTTCCAATTTGGTCTTTTGTAATCTTTGTAAATAAGCAAATTGTTTTGTTTTATAATTGCTTGTCTATTCAAATGAAGACATATTCTGCCTTGAAAATGATCAGAGACTGGGTTGATAAAGAGAAGTAAGCAATGCTGGCATTTTTAATAGTACATTTTGAAAATCTAACAAATATTATAAATTATAATATTTTAACATGCTATATATGGAATAAATGAAGACAAATATTTAACAAAACCACTAAGCCACAAGGGGTTACTGAGAGTGAAAGAATCTGAGAAAAATCAATATATAGGATAGAGGATAATAGAAGAGAATTCAAGGAAACATGACAATGATTGACATTACATTTAAATCTTTGAAGATCATAGGAAAGTGAGTGAGAATTCTACAAACAAGTGCAAGAGAAAAAAAATATTAAAAATTAGTTACATCTTGCCATTTCAGCAGTAAAATGATGAGACCTAGCTGTCAATCTAGTACTGCACTTAAATTTGTGAAGTCAAAATACCAAAGAGAAAAGTCCATCAGAACAGTTACCATGAAAATATTTATAGAAATGTCAAAGGGAAGCTACATTATGAAAGTGGGAAAGGGAGATGCCAATTCAATTAATGGTAACATTCAAAGTATGAAATATACAGCATCTATTTCATTAGCAGCAGTTTGATTTTTTATGGCTTATCAACCTTTTGCAGATTATTTAAAGCCAGAAAATATTTTAGATTGTAAGAGCTTTTTGGAGATAATGATTTACTGATACAATTCCTACTAATTAACCCATAGCTGAGGGAAGAAGAGGTGGATTCATGCTTTTCCTAATGGTATTTGTATGTAAGTAAAGATAACAAACCCAACTGGAATTGGAAATCAGTGAGCCAAGTTCCAATTTCAACTGAAATTGGAACTTGGCTCACTGATTTCGAATTCCAAGCCATTATTCATTACACTACGTATGCATCCAACTTTACAGCACTTAGTATTCACAAATGGTCACCCATCTAGGTACTGACCAGGTTCAGCATTGCTTAACTTTGGTGATTGTACGAGAACTGTCATTTCAACATGATATGGCTGTAGCCCCATTAACAGTAGGAGTAGTTTCCCGTCATACAAAAATGTTTCTGACAATCTTACCATAATAATACAAATGTGCACAAAATCCCATTTTTAACAGATTTCCAAAAATAAGCAACAATTTTAATTTCAGCAAATTATAATTTTTATATAATCACATCCATCATTTTTCTATATTTGTTTTCAGTTATAAAAATTTCCAGATTTAATCTTGCATAGACAAAGAAAAAAAGTGTTTTTCTGTTAACATTTTGCTAAATTCTTATGCAAGTGAAAATAATAACTGTTGAATGTACAAAATGAAGCAGTGGATTTTTATACCAAGAGACAAATAATAAAATCTTACACTTTCAATTTGTTTCTTCCGATCTTGAAGCTTCTCTGAATGAAATTGGATGAGTTTCTCTTTATCTTTTGTCATTTTCTCCATTGATAGCTTGAGTCTGTTGCATTCAATTGTAGACTGATCAAGTTGGACTTCATATGCCTTGATTTGTTCTTCAATTCCTTTGTACTTGGTTAAATGACTGCTAAAGTCTACCACTTTCTCTTCAAGTTGTTGTTCAAGGCTTGTCACCTCACAAGACTTATTACGTAGCTGGAAAATATAACAGAATAACAAATTAAGCATGGCTGACCATATATGGAGGGAAAAGGGAGATCATTACCCCCTGGGGGTTGAGGTTGAAATAATAGACAGAGAACATCACTGAAAAATATGTAAACTTAAGGAATCAGCACATATGCTAAGCTACAAAAATCTCCTAAGCTGGCCAAGCATAGACATGAATATGGGAACCAGTAACACAGAATGTTAGAGAAGAACAATCACAAAAACAAACTGTAATATGAGCTTTGGTAAAAACTGAGACATTAGGTTTATAAGTCCCAAAAGTTCATACAAGAACACATGGCCCAATGGATAAAAGCATTGGTTGAAGTAATTCATTGACTTGATTCAAAGAATAATGAGTTCAATACCAGGTGGAGAGTTGAGTTACTAAAGAACTGCAACTGAAATATCCAAGAGATGGAACTAGAACAATCTACCTTGGTGGACAAAATAAAGGGTTTTATTTTGAAATTCCAATCACCAGACAATGGCCGAAATGTGAATATGATATCAAAGATGAGGACAACAGTCCAAGCATTGTAAATAGTTGTGGCGGACATGAGACAGAACCTGGGACCAGCACAACTGGTCGCGACTTGCCTTGTCCCCGCCAAAAAAAGAGCCCGTATTTGCTTAGCATGTAAAGCTACTGCAGTTGAAATGAGGGAGAGAAAAAAAAGCACTTACCGCTCTGCCGTAATCCATCCTCGGCCAGATAACTTAAAAGAATGAGAGGGACTGGCATCGCATTTTTATGCAATAACGATGCAATGCATTATGGGGCGTGGGCGCAATGAATTATGGGATCACGTGAAGACGCAAGGGATTATGGGTATATGAACAATTATAAAAAGAACTACTTTTTTCCAAGTCGGGAGTTATTGAGAGACGTTCACGGTTGACGGCAAAACGGGCAGTTAGTGTGATTTGGAACAACTCAAGAAGGAACGACTCAAGTTTGAAATACCAGCTGGGAGAGCTTGAATTTACTCGCTGGTTACTATTTTCTTCATTCGCCACAAGCTATTTCAGCTTATTGATTCTTCAAAATGGAAGGCAAGGTCTTTGACGTCCGTTTGATTCCAGAATTCAGCGGCGCCCCAACGGATATGCCCATTGTTGAATGGATAGAAAATGTAATTGGTCTGCAAACTTTGTGCCATGGACAAGATCGAGTGCATCTTGCCTCTCGACTTCGGTGGTGCCCTTGCTGTGTATAGACAACTCAGTGGAGAGCAGCGGCAGACGCGAGCAAATTAAACGGGCCCTTATGACTGCATAATGCCGACTGACAGATTTAATGCGTTTTCGACCAATTTATGGGACGGCGTCTTCGCCAAGGGGAAACTGTGGATGAATTCCTGGCTGAAATGCATCGTTTGGCGCGACTAATAGGGGAACCGCTACCTGATCGGTGGATGGCATGTGCATTCGTGTCAGGACTGCCACATCATGTTAGGCAGCTTCTCAAAGCTTCTTCCAGGATGGACGACATGAATCTAGAACAGATTCTGACCGAGCAAGGGCTATTATGACGGATGACGAAGGATGCCAGGTATTGGCTGCGCATCCGTGAAGCTACCAGACTCAAGCTGAGGTTCCCCTGCCAAATCTGTTAGCAGAACGATTACCTGCTACAAGTGCTCTGGACCCAACCATATGGCGAAGAATTGTACACAAGGACGTCAGGAGAGGTCGAACAGAACGCAGAGGTCTGGCGCGACAAGCGGTGTTTTTTTCGATGCAATGGCATTGGACACATTTCCTCAGAATGCCAGGGAAACGCCCAAGGGGAGAAGGCATCAGCGCCAGCCTTCTCACCGAGCAAGTAAAAACCGGAAGTTACCCACCGTTACAAGTATTTGTAGATGGAGTAGAGTGTACAGCTCTAGTGGATTCGGGATGCTCACAGACGCTGGTGAGCAAGACTGTGTGTCGCTGCTGGAAGCAGGAAGAGGTGGGAGTGTTGACTGCCGGCGGGAAGACCCTGAAGTGCCGTGGATACGGTAAAATTAAGTTGGGCGTCGAGCGGATTCAGCCCGTGACTGTTGAGGTTCTGGTCGTGGAAGGGCAGTTGCTGGGATTCGATCTTCTTCTTATTATTGATGCAATCAAAGTGCTCGAGGTGTTTACTTAACCGAATCAATATACCGCGTTTGAAACCTGAACACATGTGCCGCCATTGTTATCAACAAACCTGACTTTAGAGTGACGTTTAATCCGAAAGCAAAAAATGTGGACTGCATTGTGGAAGTGGGCGAGTGGTCATTCACCCTAGCAAGTTGGTCAATAAAGTACAGGAGTACACAGTACCTGGCCACGTCCGGGATGCATACGATGAAGAACTAGCACGGTGGCAGCGGGACGGATGGCTACTGCCATATCCGAAAAAAAGAGCTTGGCCACCAAGGGATTAATTCCCTTAATGGCGGTCGTACAAGAACACAAACAGAAGGTCCGGCGGTACTTTACTATCGGGAGTTGAACGGCTTTGTAGACGCATTCACGGCTGACGCAGGGTGTGTGCGCAGAAATTACGAGAATGGCGACGACAAGGAGCTGACGTGTCGCTGTTGGATTTGAAAATGCGTGCCTACAGATTCACATTGACAAATCGCTATGGCCGTTTCAAACAGTGGTCATTAAGGGCAAGCGGTTTTGCCTTACGCGTTAGGGTTTTGGCCTGAATGTGGCACCACTTGTAAATAGTATAAACAAATTAAGCCTTTGTTTTCAATCTTTATTTCAGCTAACCTAGAAAAGCTGATTTTTAATTAAAAGATGAAGAGTGTAATAATAAAGGGACACAAATCTCTTATAATTACAAAGACATTTCGTGCAAATGAAGAAACTCAAATCTGATTTCTCTGTATTCATCAAAAATAAGATTCCAAAATTGTATCACAGTCAATGAAACCATTATAAAATATTAAGCAGAAGGCCAAAAACGGTTATGGCTGGCATGACCAAAGATGTAGAATAACTGGTCATGATTTATTGCAATTGAAAAAGTACCCCAAAAATGGAATTGACAAAAGTTTCCAATAAACAATAAGAAAAGAAAGAAAAAGAACAGGACAAAATAATATAAAGGAAACAATACTTATGCAAGACAAAACTAAGCAAAACAACAGTAAAAGTTAACAAAATAAAAATGGTATTAACATGCAAAAGGAATACAGTCAAGTGATTGTAGTGTTCTGACTTCAAAAGAAGAATGAACAAGAAATATAGTGGTTGAGAATGAGAAGTGGTTCATAAATTTGGAGGAGTTGGTGTTTTTAGCAATTATTGCAAACAGGATTGGAACCAAGAAAAGGACCCCTCTATTATACAAGGGTCGACTGGAAAGTTGATAGGCTGACCAAGATATAAATGTAAATAGGCACACCAGTTGGAAGATTAAAAGACATGCAAGTGTACCAGAATTCAACAGCTGGCCAACCAGATTTTGCCCCATGACATGTTTCAAGGAAACATTACAAATTACATAACCAAGTGCATCCCTACATGCAAGCCACCAATCTGCCACTGGGTGGCATGCCACAACCCTACACACAAGCCGCTAGTGGCCTGCTGATGGCAATGCCAGTGGTCTTCTGGTGGCAGCCACAAGTGGGCCTATAGTGGTAATATCGCCAAACATGCCAGCGGATTGACAGCAGGCCACCAGCAGCAAATGCTATTGGCATTCTACCCAGTGGCAGATTGGTGGCTTACATGTAGGATAGCATTTACTACCGGTGGCCCACTGTCAGACTGACGGAGTGTTCATCTCAGCAATGTTACCACTGGTGGACCGCTAGAGGCCTGCCAGTTGCTGCCACCAAAGGACGACAGTCACTGTCATCGGTAGCCCACCAGCAGACATGCCTGTGTCCTTTTTCAATGAGACAAGCAATAAACAAAGAAATGGGACTCACTCTTTTGAGGAATGTTGTTGTTGTTGTTGGTGGTAGAGGGCTTCTTGTGGAAATTATATTCTCTGAGTAAACCCAAATCCCTATTTAATTCTTTAATATGTGATTTTATTTTGTAAATATATTTCAGCTCCAGTCTTTTTTGTTGGCTGTTAAATGAAAATGCTAAAAGCATGTATCTGAAGTCATCAATGCTATGGAACGGTTGGTTGAAGTGTTCAGAAATAGGAAATTGTTTTTGTTGTCGTTGAAACTTTCTTGCTTAAATGGTAATTAACAGACAATTTAAAATAAAAAAAAACTTTGTTTCATGTTTGATCTCTCTTTGTTCCAGATATTCTACTCTACTGAGGCCATTATAAAACGAATAAAAAAGAACAATATAACTTAATTTTGCACTGTTTGACATTGACCTCTGGTGTTTATTACATTTAGCAATATGACTTACTCTGGGTGCCACTCACAGCAGGAAAGAAAGGAACTTGAAGCATCAAAACATTGTATGTTTTCTTGTTCACCACTTGTATTAATGATTCTGATTGTACAAAAATGGCCTAAAAGAGAAATAAGTGCATCTTTCTTACATTACAATTCTATCCCAGCTGCTAAGTCTTCCCAACTCTCTCAAATTAGCTAATTGTGCACTAAGAACAGAAGTAGATAATGTCATATTGATATGACGGTGTGTTGAAAAGTTCTTGGGCTAACCTACTTCACCAAATAAGTATTTCAATGATCAATCATCAAAATACTAGTATGTGTATCAAGACAATAACTTTTCTGTACCCCCTCATAAATAGTCAAGGTGGCGGGTCACACAATAGATTTTTTATACTATGCCTACATCTACTAATTAATTCTAATTTTTTATTTAGCTTTCTGTTATCGCTGCTCAAATTTAATATTGCAAACTTCTCTTCAAGGTGCAGTCTACACCTAGTATTTTTACACATACTGCATTTTTAAGAATTCTCCAAGTCATTTTTGGCGACTTACCTACTTCTCTTTTAATATTCCAATAATACGCTGACAGCACCATTGCATTTTCATATTTACTATGTTTGAAACTTAATTTATGATTACAATATCTTTTTTCCATTTATTTTCATTACATGTCTCTATATATTTTCTCTTCCTTAACATTTTCTACCATTATTTGTGTTAAATAAACTATATTTTCAGTCAAATAATTCCCTCCCATAAGACAGGCACTTTTTAATCTGCAATTGCACCTCAGTTTATTTTGTTCACATTCACTACTGTTGAGCAACTTTCTGTTATGGTTATCAATAATCTTTTTCATATTTTTTTCACAACAATAACTGAATGTAATATTATTTTTATTGAATAGCTTCCTCATTTTTTCTGAAGTAGTGAAGTGGTTCCTGATTAATTTAAAAAATATATCCTCCTATAATGGATTTTACTGATTTACTATATGGGAGCTTGAACCATATTATATTTCTACTCCTATTCTTTTTATTCTTTTGTTGTTGTTTACTAAATTTGAGTTTCATTTTTTGTCCACATTTTAAGGCTTCTTTGTATATTCATTTAGCTCCTTCAAAGATTTCCTCATTTTTTGAGTTAGTAAATAATCTACTGATTTACACAAATGTTTAGTAATGATTGCAGGATAGTCAGAATCACTTGATTATATATATATATATATACTGTGTACTTAGACAGCAAATAAAATATTCTTTAACAGAAATATTATTAAAGACAACATATATTTTGTGTCAATTTTATTGACCAACTTTTCCAAATTATGAATAATCCTTTTCAGACAATTGTCTGAAGTTTATTTACAAGATTTTGTCACTTTTAAGCCATTATTTTAAATTGGACCTCAAAGTTGTTGAAGCTGTTTGCAGAATTTAGGAAATAGAAGGAAATAAAAATAAAAATTATCTGATCCTACCGACCAAAACTGCTTTAAGCACTTTTCTGAGGGAGTGATTTATCTCCTGTAATAAAAGCCTAGAATTGGATGATCATCAGTTGAAGATTATGATTCTTTTTTAAATACAAAGTAGAGGGGAACCTAATCAACAGCACAGAAAAACTTTCAAAAGGGGCTACAATCATCAAAAGGTAACATATGTAGAGCATCAGATAAGCTTTAAAAACATTGAGGAGCTATCAATAGGTTTCTCATGATTAAAATACTTTTCATGTACCCTAATATTTTATACCATCTTCATTGCTAGTAAAAAAAGCACAATTTATCTAGGAAACTCCATTCTATTTATTTTTATTTAGGTATTCCCCAAAACCCTGCTAAAATTTCTTTTTCTTTATTTTCTTTAAACATAATTCCAGATAAAATTAGTATACAGTATTCAAGTGCATCTTATAATATAAGCAAAATTTGCCAAGATAAAGATTTATGGTTTTGCAGTATGTGATTCAGACCAGGAAATACCAGATGGTCTGAATGAAATCTAATGTCAATAAGGAACTTTTGTCCTAAAAGGAGTTGATCTGTGGTGACCCAAATATGTATTGGACTCACTCCAAATGATATCAAGATAGACTTTGCACTCAGTGGCACACCAGAGAAGCCAGTGCATCAGAGATGACCTAAAAGGTGACCTCCTAGCAGATTCCACCTTCTTGGTTATCAATGGCTACCCCTGACATGTAAACAAATGGTTGACACAGCTGAGTTTAGGATCTGTACACCTAGGACAACCAGATGACAAGATATATAAGCACTCCATCCAAAAAAGAAATGAGAGTGTTTCTCACATCTCACATCATTACAAGAAGATCCATGTTTGGAGAAAGCACCCAAAGTCACACATGTATGAGAGATTTAGTCTTGTGTTCCTATTGGTCTTTGAAACAATAATATTATGTTTACTTACCTTTCGTTCAAGTTGGCAAACTTCTGAGCATTTCTTGTTAATTTCCTCCTGTAGTTCTATCAAGTGTGTATTACGTTGTCCAATGCAAAAATCCAACTTTTCTGTCTTTGCCTCACTTTCAGCCAACTGAAACTTCAGTGTTTCAATATTTGCTTGGAAGTTGCTTGTCTGCTGTTTGAGGAATTCATTGTTTGTCATCAGATCTTTCACTTTTTGTTCATCTATAAAAAAAAAGCAAATGATAAAAAAGTTTCTGTCTGAACTTCTGGGATGAGGAGTTATCATTATTTACATGATTTACATTCAGACTATTGTCCATAAAAAAAAGCTATAGACACAATGAAAATAACTACATATTTCAAGCTTTGACTCCAAAAAAGCCAATGGCCCAGACAAAATTCCGGTGGTTGTCCTTAAGAATATCAACCAAGAATTATCCCCAATCCCAGCAAAGATATTTGACTGCTGCTTGAAGGAGAAATCTTTCCCAAGTATGTAGAAGATGGCAAGCGTATGCCTGGTCTTCAAGAATGTGAGCGACTGATCCTCTCCCTCCCAGTATAGACCCATTAGTCTCTTCAGTATCATCAGTAAACTTTTTGAGGCCTTAATCAATAAAAAGGTCATCGATCACCTGGATAGGAACAACCTCTTGTGCAGCAAGCAGTATGGGCTTCAATCAGCCTAATCCACTGCTGACGTCCTAACTATCATTACACACAGAATTAGTGAGGCCCTTGACAATACACATACTGCAAGGACTATAGGCCTTCAACAAGGTGTGGCAAAAAGGTTTGCTACACAAGCTTTCTAGCTATGGAATCACTCAAAGGGTTTTCTCTATTATAAAATCCTTCCTAACTCCTGAAGTAAGTTATTAATGGCCAGTCCTACAAGGCCCTGGCAATCAACACAGGCATCCACAAGGGTCACTTCTTGGACCAACCCTCTTTTCTGATCTACCTGTAAACGTATATGCTGATGATACAACAATGTACGGAAACACCTCTAAAATGCTTGACAATCAGAGATTGGCAGCTGACCTCTCTTCTGATCTAACACTAACTTCCCAGAGGGGAACAAAAAATTGGCTGGTTACATTCAACGCTTCTAAAACCAAACTGGTTACATTTCATCATTGCCGATCAGACCCCGGACTACCACCAGTCACAATGAACAGATGTCCTCTCAAGGAGGCCTCATTCCTTGAGAGGATATTGGGCCTCAAATTCAAAGCTGACCTTAAGTGGAACTCCTATATATGATCCATTGCTAGAAATGCAGGTAAAATGATCGGATTTCTCTACTGCTCCAGTAAGTACCTGACTCCTCATGCTATCCTCTACCTTTATAAGAGCCAGATCAGGTCCAAAATAGAGTAACTGTTGCCAAATTTTGGGCAGGAGCTGCCCAGATCTCACTTCCCAATCTTGATAAAGTTCAAAAGAATCTCCAAGTCCTTGTTGGAGAAGAATTATTTTCTGCACTCCAACCACTCTCTCACAGACGGGATGTAGTGAGTCTCTCAGTGATCTATTACTATGACCATGGAAAGTGCACAGAAGAACTGCATCTCCTGATTCCACTATGTCTGACCTTCACAGCTAGGACCTGCCATACCACTTACATAGTAGCAAACCACCCACATTCCGTCTGTATTTCAACAATGCGAAGCAAGTTCCACTCAAACAGCTTCTTCCTGTGAACCACTGTCCTGTGGAACAAACTCCCAAGAGGATGTTTCCCCGATCACTACAATCTTAGCCTGTTCAAGTCTAGTGTTAACTGTTATCTTCCCCTTCTATTGATATAAACTACCACTTAACATAACCCTCCACCTTGAGTGGCCCTCAGGCCTTGTACAGGGTGAACCTTACTGAAAAAAAAAAAAAAAAGGTAAAAAAGAAAAGTGAAATGCAAAAGATCAGAATATAGAATTTGATGAATAAAAAGTATAATCTCATGGAAGTAAACTCCTGACTCTGATCTTAGATTATAGACAAGTATAAATCTCACTTATTATAAAACGCAGATTGTGTGTGTGTGTGTGTCTGTAACGTTTATATATTGGATCAGATTTCCTACATTTTTCAACCGATTTCAACAAAACTTCACAGGACTACATAAAATTACCTTGTGGTGGTTCTAACAGCGCCAAAAATGGGAAAAATATAATTGTTTTTGCACAAAATCAATTTGAAAACACGATTAAGAGACATCGTGAAAATGGAAGGGGGACAACTCATATCGGGTTGTTTGTGTGTGTGGGTTCCTTTAAATATCCTATATTAAATTTCCTATATTTTTCAGCCGATAAAACAAAAATTCACTTGGGGGGGGGGGCAGGTAGTGTTTCTTATTCTCTTGCACACTTTTTTCTTTATTTTTAATATTCAGAATGCTTTAAAAATTCCATTTACAAGACAATTATTTATAATAAACTTCTATTCAATCGGGAGACTCATAACGATGGAAAAACTAATTAAGACATGCATGTCCGTCAACCTTAAACAATAATCTAATGATCTCTACTGATTGTACGAATACAAACATCGGATAAATTCTTTATCTTTAGGGAAAGATAATGAAATCTAAACATACACAAGTCCTAACTAAAAATAATAACCGAAACTACTTTAAATACACATGGTGTCCAATTTTTTTTATGTATTCAATAAGTAAAAATCATAAATTGTAAAAAGATTATTATTACAGAAAGGCTACTAAATGAATAAGATTTGTTAGATCATAATTAATAAACCCAAATAAAGTTAATATTTTTTGTATTAGAAACAACGAGTGGAAAATATATTCAAATCAGAATTCTAATTATGAATCACCACAAGCAAAATATGCAATTTTTTTTACTGTATTTAATAAGTAAAAATCATAAATTGTAAAACTAAAAGATTACAGAAAGGCTACCTACATTTTTCAACCGATTTCAACAAAACTTCACTTTTTTTTGGCATGTAGTGTTTCTTATTGTCTTGCACACTTTTTTCTTTATTTTTACATTCAGAATGCTTTAAAAATTCCATTTATAAGACAATTATTTATAATAAAATTCTATTCAATTGGGAGACTCATAACAATTGAAAACAATGTTTTTGTTTGAGTTTGACCAATTCGTAAAAAAAAAAAAAAAAAAACTAATTAAGACATGCGTGTCCGTCAACCTTAAACAATAATCTTTGTCAATTTTATTTTTCAGTCTTTATGATGGTGGATACTAGATCTATCTCTTACTGTTATATCCCCGGGCAACGCCGGGCTCTACTGCTAGTAAATAAATAAATATGTTTAACATAAAAGCAAAAATAGAGAATTTCATATTAAAACATTTTCAGAATAGTTTTTGATATCAAATGTAGTGTGAAAGAAAATATTTAAGAAGATATCTGTGGGAAAATGAAATAAAATTGATACACAAAGTAATAATAATGAATAATAAAAAAAAAAAAAGAAAGAAATTTCCCTATGATGCTAAAAGTAAAAGAACTGGAAATATGATAACACCACTTGGCTTCATAAATTTCTGTTAGGCAGCACTGGTTAAGTCTTATAGACTTAACCACTGCAAACATTTTCCGGCCTCATTCTCTTTCTTCTTTGCTCCAATGTTTAGCACCAAATGGTAATTACATTCCTACTAGCAAACATCTCGTTCCTCAGTCTGCTAATGACTGAACTCTCTTTTCACTTTCTAATATATGCTATTTGCATGTGTCTTCCAAAACCTCCACCTATGAAATAAATCAACCTTTTCTTTGCTCATTCCAACTCTGCACAAGACTGACTTGAGCCCAACCATTATAATGATGTTTATCCTTACTTATCCTAACAAAGAAAAAGAAAACGGACAAAACCTGCACTAACCCTTCAACAATTAAGTAAGTACAAACTTTTCTATGGTCGTTCCAACTTTGAGCAAGGCTAACTTGAGCTCCACCATTATAAAGATGTTTATCCCTACTTATCCTAAAAAGAAAATGGACATACTATAATCATGTCTAGGAGGACAACTCTGAATTCAAAACCATAGCCCTGGCAAAGCATATACTATGCAGATAATGAAAGGATCATGCAGTTTACAATGACACTGTGGTCATTTTTGATTGATTGATGAAATATGTAACTTACTACTGAGGCATCTTTTTGTCATTTGCTGCAATTCATCTTGCAGACTTTGCATTTCTTCTCTTTGGTGTAATTCTTCTTCCAAAGATTCAATGGTGCCTTTCATTTTTTGAATCAAAGAATCTTTCGAGACAAATTTTTCTCTGAAAATAAAATACATGAAAAATAAAACAGCAGAAAAGTGAAAAGCTAGTCAACAGAAATCAATGTTCAAAGTCGTTTGAAATACAATTGTAGTTGGAACAGAAGAAAAAGAATGGTCAATCTTCTGAAGCCCATAAGATCAATGGAGGCACCCCCAATTTTTTTCCTTAGCCTTACTCTTTTTCTGTTTTACTTTAATAATCTCAGATCATTAATAAATATATATTCAGATGATACCCCACAGTTCATGGAAGCACCATTATAAATCTAGATGACCAGAACCTGAAAGCTGATCTCTGCTCTGAACTTGCTCATACAGCTCAATGGAGAAGGAACTGGCTTGTAACATTCAATACTTTTAAAATCAAGCTAGTAATGCTTCATCTTCAAAGATACAGGTCGAGTTTTCTGCAGTCATGATGAACAATTGTACTTTCAATTTTATTCCTTGCCTGGAATGTTGGTTGGGACTCAAAGTCACTCCAGACCTCAAGTGGAGCTCATATTTGATTTCATCACTAAAGAAAAATGGCCAGTTCTTTGTACCACTTCAAAAAGTATCTAACTTCCTCTGCCATGTTCTCTCTTTACAAGGGACAGATTAGACCAAAAATGATTTTTTTTCTTCCATATCTGGGCTGGAGCTACTGGATTCTTACTTTCCAGCCTTAACAGAATTCAAAAGCATTTACACGGCCTTGTGGATGACAAATTATTTTCCGCCGTACAACTGATTTCCCATTATTGTTGAAATATTTTTTGCTTCACCTCTTTACAGTGACTTTATTTTATTATCCATGATATTTCACCCTCGTTTGTTGGTTGTTTATATTTTTTATGTTTGTTATTGTGTATTGTTCTTACACATATTTTAAAATGTTCATATTTACACCAATAATGTTTTTTAAAATAGGATATAGAATCTCAACAAAGTTTTTAAGAAATTTGACAAATGGAAAATGTTTCATTGAAAATAGATTTGATTACACGTTTCGCCATTCAAGGCTTCATCAGATACAAAAATAAAAAGAAAGAAATGTCTGTCTGTGTATTTGTGTTTATGCTTAAATAATGAATCATTGTACTTTTTCCTATAACTGGCATTTCTTGTGATTAAAGAAGAAAGAAAATGAATGACTTTTAAAAAAGGTGTTAATATTTAGTCTGTATCTTTTCTTTATAATTCTTAGTACATATCAAAATTTGTTAATATATTTTCCCAGCTTTTTTGTATCAATCAAATCTATTTTCAATGAAACATTTTCCATTTGTCAAATTTGTTAAAAACTTTATCAGGAATCTATATCCTATTTTAAAAACATATATTGTTGAGACAGAAAACACATGAACAGAATAAAAAAAACATAAATCTTTTACTTTCAACTCATTCTGAAGAATTGGATACAAAAAAGCTGGGAAAATATATTAGCATATTCTTTCTTCTTTAATCATGACAAATGGCAGCTTTGGGGAAAAAGTACAATGATTGTATTGAATTAAAAATAAATCCGCATCTCATTTTCAGAATGGCTCAAATGCAAGAGAATCACATCGCCTTTTCTGAAATGAATCCGAAGCAAATCCTCATCCAATCCTAAATCATTTGGTTCAACATTCCAACGTATATCACATGATGAAGGCCAAAGTGTACAATGGCCAAAACATTGAGAATCTGACAGTAAATATGAGAACAACAATCCAAACAATGTAAATAGTGTAAATAGTTTGGATTACCATCAATTGGGGTTTCTGTGCTTGACATTGCCACTGACACTTTCACTTATTAGCCATTTGCAAGATTATATGTAAGCAAAATAAATCATACAAACTTATAAATGACAATATTTCTGTCTACTATGTAAATTTATCTGGCATTTGTAGGAATCTCAAATTCTTTCATGTAATTTTTTCAAATGCAAAGAAATGTTAAACTATATTTATTTTGGGCTGGAAGAAAGAGAAGAAAAGAAACTTTGTCTTTACTGTAATGGATGCAAAATATTAATACACTAGAAATTAATAAAAGAAAAAATATGAAATGAAAATAATATTAGATTATGGATTATTGGATTTGATGTTATGGGTTTCTAGCAACTCTCTATAATTCTTGCCCATATTTCTGAGACGAGGTAGTGTAACTATTTACATTGTTGTCCTCATTTTTATTGTCATATTCATGATGTTTCAGACATTGTACAGTCAGGCCTTCTTCAGGTGACATTGGAATTTCGAACCAAACACTTTATGTATCCCCAAGGACACATGGCCCAGTGAATAAAAGCGTTGGTTGAAATAATCCAATGACTTGGCCCAAAGAGTTGTGAGTTCAATACTTGGCCACAGCAGAGGTGAACAAAAACTTGGAGAGTTGAGTTACTAAAGTGAAATCTACCCTGGTGGACGAAATAAAGGGTTCGAGTTGAAAATCTCTACAGATATCACTTGAAGAAGGCCAGAGTGTACAATGGCTAAAATGTTGTGAATATGACAATAAAGATGAGGTCAATAGTCTGAACAATGTAAATAGTGTAAATAGTCTATAATTCTTGTATTCTAAAATTTATACTTACCGAAAGTCTGCAAGTAGTGAATAACAAGCATTAGGAATGGAAATTTTCATGAGTGTTTCAAAGTCTGACACCAAAGTAAATTTAGATGCATGCCCCTTGTTTTCATTCTTCCAACTAAGATTGCCACTATCAAGGGATATCTGAAAATAGAAAAAACTTTTATCTGTAGGCTAACCTTTGTGCAATAACCAATAATGTACATGAAAAGACTTACTATCAAATAAACTGATAATAAAAGTAATAAAACCATTTCTACCTTATATATTACTGGGATAACTTCATAATAAATTGTCTATTTGAATAATAATTCCATATCAAGGAAGTCAACTTGTATCCATTCAAGCTCAGCTGAGAAGATGTAAATATTGAGCAACCCTTATCTTTTGCAAAACTTTCAATAATTGTCATGTTAGTGTTAATTACGGCAGTAATAACATTTAGGACAACGTAATATTTATTTCTCATTAAAAATTCATTATCATTTTGGTGTTAAATAACACAATTTAGGATTATATACAACCTTTATTTTTCAAATAAAAATCCTTTTACGATAATTGCATTTAAAACTTTTAGGATATTATAAAACTATGAAGTCTAAGTAAACGTACACCGGGCTGTTTGTAATTGTTTAGATATAAGAGAGGAAGAAGAAGAAAAAGAGATCACATGATGAAATATAAACAAGACAAAGGTTTCTCTTTTAGGGATCATGTGTAGGAAAAATATTATATAGAATCGATTTTGAATTAATTTTGATACAATAAGTAACAATATTTTCAATAACATCATCTTTATATAATCAATAAACAATCGTCTTATACTACAGGTATAAGATAAATTCATGAAAATTTCCTATATTCTTTTAACCTTGTCTTATCTAAAGATCACCTTATACATAGAAATATACGGTAAATAAAAAATTTATTACTTTAGAAATTACTATCATTATACTGAGAATTCTTTCATTTAGTAACAATATTTGAATTAAAAATAATTGCTTACGTTTTTACTTGCATGTGGTACATCGTCTTGGTGACCTCCATTTTCCAGAAGATGTAAATATTGTACAAAAGCAGTTTTGATATCTTCTCTCTCAATTTCAAATTGTTTTAATTGCTGAGTTTGTTTTTCCAATTGGCAATGAAGTTGCAGATTTTCTTGTTCAAGGTTTTCCATTTCAGAAGCTACTTCATTGAAAACAACTAAACAAGAAACCAACACATATGTAAAAAATATATTTCAATATTTAATTTTGTAGTCGTGCAGAACCATCAAAAATAATTAAAACCAAATCTTCAACTACATTATCTACATTTATATGCCAATAATGTTTCTCTTCTACAATTTATCTTATAATCATCACATATTCAAGTCCTTCCAGCTTCTTCCTTTAATGTTTTCTAGTAAAACATTTTATTCATTGCTCAATTGCTGACAATACATTTTAGCCTTCAAGAAATAAAATTCAGTCATCTTTGACTCATTCCATTTGGACAGCTTTTTCCTAAGAGTCACTGCTTTGTGAAACAGGTTCCTGAGGGGATGTTTCCCTGAGCATTACAATCTTAACCTCTTCAACCATTATCTATCTGCCCTACATATACTCATAATCTATAAATCTTACATCCAAAAAAAAATCCATTCAGTAACCTGCTACCTTGGGCCTTGTAAAAAAAATCTTGCTTACTTTCTCTATATTCTTTCCCATAATTCTTTGCCTGTTATATCTATATATAAAGTCAATATTTTTTTTAGATGTTTTTAGTACACTAGAATTTTTTTTTGCAATATGCTGATGTGTGTTGAACTCCTTGCAGTATGTAGTATTGTTGAAGTTATCAATTTACAGACTACATGTTTCATTCAATTTCACAAACCAATTGATGAAATTTGAATTAAATTGTTTGGAAAAATACTTTGACAAACTATATCACAGTTCAATAATTTTTTTAATTTAATTTTGTAGGATTTCATAGTAAACAATATTTTTTAAGAAAATTTCTTTTTTTCATTTTTCCTTTTCAACAGCAATTAATAAATTCTTAGGATTTCTTACTCTTGAACACAACTGGCCATGTGTAAATATTTCTTTCTGAAGCCAAATTCCAACATTTTGAGGCATTTAGCCTATGATTTGTTTATAGTTCTGGAAATTGGATTCTTGCATATATAAAAACTTAAAGAAAAGATATGCAAAAAACAATATTGCATTTTTATTGAATAAGTATTTTAATCATTAAATTGTTTTTAAAACAGCGATAGTATTTTGTATGTTTAATAAAAAAACATTTATTTTTCCAAAAAAATAAATGAAAATTTTTTGTACTAAACTATGCACTCTAGTAAAACCAATTGTACCTCCTTACCTGTTTGTAATTCACCCCAAAATTTGATTTTGGTTAGTCAATGTATGGCTATTTTAGAGGGTGTGATGAACAGACTAACACAAGTCACAGAATTTTATATATAGATTGACCATGTATAAACAAGCTCTTGCTTATTACTAACCAACATCTACAGCTGTCTATATTTTGCTTTGAAAAGATTATTTTTATTTTGACAAGTTTTTAGATGACAGGAATGTAATAATCAAAATATGCTTTGATAATTATCATATGACCTGATACTTTGATTTCTCAATGACCAAAAACAGAATTTGGTTATTATCATGTGATGTTAATCTTTAATCAAATTCTTCAATACCTAAGAAAGGAATATAAAAATGAAATATAGAATAACAGATCACTTAAGATATCATATCTTTTTTGTTGTCTAAGGCTATTGCCGCACAAAAACAGAAATTAGCCCTTGCAACACAGATGTCAATTTCAATTTCATTCAAAATTATGTATGTTCATCGATATGCACACATGTATATTTTAATTCAATAGACCTAAAAATATTTCTACAAAATAAGAAACAAACTTTAAAAAATAATTCTATTGATTAACAAATAATTTCTGTAAAGTTAAATAAAATCTTATAATTATCTAAATTTTTAGGGTTAAAAAAGGCTTTTTTCTTATCTCCAAGTTTGTTTTTATTGCTCAGCCCAGTGTAAAGGGTTGTCAAGCTTGAGCAGGAGAGGAATGTCTCATTTCAAACTCAGTCAAATTGTGTGTGTGTGTGTGTGTGTGCACACATCAAATGGCACAAGCACATGTAAGTCACTCACACACAACACAAACATATGCTTATACATTACAAATGTATGCAAAAATTACATACAGTCAGTATTTGACAGACAAAGAAGCAGCTCCTCTTTGATAATATAAATTGCTTCTTATAAAATCTAATAAAAAACATCTAATGAAAAATTTGAATGAAAATATGTCAAATTTAAAGAAAAATTTATGTCAAATATAATGTCAAATCTATGTCAAATATAATGTCAAATTTAAGGAAAAATTTGAAAAGCGGTGTCTCTTCTTTGATCATATAGATTGCTTCTTATAAAAATAAGGAAGAAGGGAAGAAAAATAATAGACAATTCAGAAGTAGCAAATTTTTAGGTATCTAAAAATAAACTGATTCAAAAGAATTACCTGACTTTTTCGCAGATGCCAATTTGGTTTTCAAAATAGTGTTTTCTTCTTCTAGACGATTTCGTTCTTCTAATATTTGAGAGTTTTCAACATGAAACCAGCTGAAATTAAGAAAAATAAAAGTCAACAGATTAGCAGATTTCATCAATTTGCTAAATTATTATACAAGCAATTCCCTTATCTTTACCTTTCTTTGTTTCCATTCTTGGAAATGTAACTAAGAATTCATTATTTTGTCTCAAATAATAAACTAATAAAATCTTTATTGATACAAAGAAAAATGATCTTATCAAGATCTCAGGTTTAAATGTACACACACACATTATATATATATTTATATATATATATATATATATATATGTGTGTGTGTGTGTGTGTGTGTGTGTATGTATGTATGTATGTATATTTAGACAGCATATCTTTATTCAAGAATGTTTGGTTGAATAATCCAGATATATTATGTCTATAATTTTTAATCCTCTCAAATTCACAGATGAATTTCTTAATGTTGTTATTAAATTTATTAAGGAACGCGCCATAGTTTTTTTTATTTCTTTTATTTACCCAAGTACTTTCAATCTCATCCAAGATCATTTTCAGGGATGAATTGCTAAGACAAAAAAATTAATATAATTGATAGTTGTGAATTTCTTTTTGGAAATACACATAAAACACGCTCTGTTAATTCAAAGATTAACATTATCTAAGAGATGTAACTTAATTTATATTTGTAATTTTTAAAAAATTACAATTTAAGTATTTTAAAACATTGCTGTTATAACTGTAATTTTTTAAGAAATTACAATTTAGGAATTTTTTTTTAAATTTGCAAATATAAATTAAGTTACCTCCCAAAGATAACGTTTATTTTTTTTTTAATTAAGAATGTGTGTTTTATGTGCATTAACAAAAAGAGGAAAAAATGAAATCAAATTCTTACGTGGCCTCATCAGACACTTTATTCAATTTTGCTTGCAAGGAACTTATGTTTTGTAGTAATTCATGTCTTTCAGCATCAGTAGCAAGCATCTTAGCTTCAATCTAAAACAAAGAAATGGAATCTTTATTTCAAAAAATACACAAAACTATTAAATATTTTTTACTGATATACATTGTAAATGAGTTTATAAAATTAGTTAAACCATCGTATCTGGTAATGATTATAAAAATCTGATATTAATTATAAATATCTAAAAAGGTCTAGTATTAATTAAAGGTTTATAAAAAAACAAAAAAATCTGGTATTAATTATAAGCTTAAAAAATCCAGTATTAATTATAGGTTTCTACCCACTGTCTCAAAAATGGGGATGGTAGTAGTTGGCACTTACACATTTTTTTTTAAAATCAACTGGAAGAAAAAGCTTAACCAGCAATCATTGTAAAACATATTCAGGATATAAAAAGGCCTCAAAAAATCAAAAAAATAGCAAGAAAAAAAAAGCATCATTCCATGGTCCAGATGACCAAGATCCAGCCAGTCATCATCATCATCATCAGCAGCAGCAGCAATGATATGCAAAAAATCTTCCTTTTCAGGACAACACTCTTCTCACCCTCTACATGAGCATGCAGCTATATTTTTTTGCTTAGTACATTGTAACCTTATTTTTGTTGATGTAATTTTTAAAATAAACTTGGTAATATATTTTTTTTTTATTCAAGTCTTCGTTTTGTTTGTTGCTGTTGTGTCATTCAATATTTGTATGCAGGACACCATACCACCCACAACAGTAACAAAGTGATCCCTTATATGGTAGGCATTCATGACTTACAATAGTTTTACAATGGCAATGTACAGTTCATAAATTTACTAAAGCAAAATTAATTATTTTGAGAAAAGCATTGCAAATGATTTTACTTTAGTAATGCATTGCTAATTTCAATATAAACATTATAGATTATTTTATTGTAAAAAGGTATAAATGTTTATACTACAGAAAAAAATTATATATAGTGAAAACCTTTTTTTATTAGTAAAAATATTTTTAAAAAAACTTCTTTTTTCCCTTACCAGTTGATTTTTTTCTTTACTGCTTAGCTGATATTCATCAAACTGTTTGCGAATATCTTCTTTCTCTCTGACAAAAGACATGCATAAAGCAATTTTAGAAACAGATCACTAGGGGTGAATTTGTATGTGCATATGGAAGTTTAATTAGTTTGGTAATTTTTGTTGCAATTACACAGAATGAAAGACATTAGATAACACATTACATTTAAATGCTGTCAGAGAGGACCAATTCCCAGCCTACAGGCTATTTATATTAATTGGCTAGTGTTGTGTCATTGAAAGAAAGCATTTGTCTTAAAAGAATATTATGAAAAATATCGCAAAAGCTGTTTGAAATAGAAGAAAATACACTCTGAATGATCATGTTATGTGTGTATATATATATATATATATATATATATATATATATGCATTCTCGTGCAGAGTACAAACCTGTGTGCCCTTAGAGGAAATCGTCATTAGATCTAACATGCTTTGAACCTCTCAACTACAGAGTGCATCAATGACCAAGCAAGTTGAAACATGACTTTAAACATAGATTTTCCTCTGACTCTTGAAATAGACATATCTGCTCAGTTTCATTTCCTAATGTAAACAAAGCAATTTCTAAAGAATATTTCAATTGATATATTATGCTAAAAAACCTTATACTGTACAGAATAAATTATTTAAAATGGACATTTGAAAACAATAAGTTGAAATAAAAATGTGTTTGTTGAAAAACAGCATAACATTCATTACAGATTTTTAAAAAAATTATTTATAAAATTAAAGCAATTAAAAAGATTGCCTATTAAGTATGTCTCCAGCTTTGATAGTAGGGCTCAGATCTACTCAGTCCAACAAGCTATGTTTATTTTATTTCATTCTTTTTTTAATTACTTTCTTTCTTCTTTATTATGAACAATATCAACAAAATGTATTTCGGTCAATATTTTGAAAATATTTTTTGCAAATATTTTTATATCATACAAAAGAGAAATAAATTCTGCATAATGCATACACAATAAAACTAATTTATATTGTTTTATTAGAAACAGATTCTGAAATGAATAAAACCTTAACCATTGGTCTTAAACTTATTTTTGTCAGTGTATGTAAAAAAAAAAAATTAAAACTACAAATACATAAACACCTACATATAAACATACATATAGGCATAAAAACTAATACTTAGGCACACATGCACAAAAATACATGCACTTAGAAAAATACACCCATATAAAACAAAAGTAGAAAATAAATATACTAACATACATACACACATTCCTACAAAGATAACCCAAATAAATTCAGAGTCCATGCAGGATTAATGCATTAAGGATTCACAACTATTCAATGTCAACTTAATTATCTATGTTAGGTTAAATCATTAGCAAATAATAAGAGATAATAATTAATGACAATGATCAAGTTAAAAAAAATAATCTGTCTTTAAATTACTTATGCATCTTATATACATTGTTTTGGGTTTTTATCTTTATTTGATCAAAACCCCTCCTTTTTTATCTATATGTTTGTTCTTGTATGTAATTTTTGATGGGTATGTTGTGTTATGTTTATATATGTGCATAAATCTTGGTGAGTTTGCTTATTTGTATATGGGAACCGATGTATAATTGCTTGTATTTTGTTTTTACTTGTACATGCTTGTTTCGGTTGTAATTTCCTTTTTACATTTTTATCCGTTTGTTCTTCTTTTTCTTCTTATCTTTAAATTTTGAATTTTCTTTTTTCCTTTTCCCCTTTTTTGTTTTTCTTTCTTCTTTTCCTTGATTTCTTCTTCTATTCCCTGTGTCATTTTTATATTTGCATGCATATACGTTCAGTTTTATACTTGTGTCTGTGTTTTAGGATGCAAATGTGTTTGTTGTGCCATCAGCTGACATCCTGTTGCTCGAGATCTGTAGCATTCACATATACTTTTCAAATTAGCATTGATTTTACTGGACACATTGGTCTTTAAATAAGAATAATAATAATAATACATATATATATATATTTATATTTTTCTTTTCTTCTGTTCCATTTTTGAATAACTTTATAATATTTTAAACCTAATGCTCGATTTAATTTGAAATTTCTGATTTTTAATTTTTAATTTTATTGTAAGTTAAAGGTTAATTATTTCATACTGATTTTTGGTTTCATCTAGCATTAATTTTAATCAACTAACTATTTAGAATATACCGTCATGTTTTTGAATTTTCATATACTTGTATTCTGATTGGTCATCATAGGTTACGTATTGAGGGGGTTTGATTTGATTTTGAATCTTCAAAAAAAAACTCTTTGTTTCACAATCAACACCATCACTTGATAAGACACCAGAAGTGTTGAAACAAAATGGTTTTTTTGTAGTGATGTTATAACATATTTATGTTATCATTTTTGAATAAATACTATTTGCTCTACTCTGTATTGAGCACTCTTTTAAGAATAGTGTTTTTTGTTTTGGAATTTTATTCCGTCTACACCAATCCTATATTTGGATATAAAGATAACTATAAAAACAATTGTATACAAATATGAATATAAGAAACCTTTTCCGTAACTGCTTCATTTCCGTTAGTTCAGAAGTAAGATCTGCAACAAGTTCTTTCAAACATTCTTTTTCTTGGAAAGCATTTGCTGTCTCTTGCTGAGCTCGTTCAAACCTTTCCTCAGCTTCCCTAGAACAAAAAACAAAAATGATTAATGCATTAACATTTATTAAGCAGAACTACTTAATGGGAAAATGAGAGATCTGAATATTTATTGCAAAAATATCATATATTTCAGCTGTGTTTATTACCTTGTTATAAACATACAGGTGTGGGATTGATGTCACTATTTATTTCAGAAGCAAAATATCTTAACTATAAAGAAAATTCCTATTGAATTTAAATCATTATGAGCCAATTTCATTAATGTACATGATATGAATATCAATATTCTCTGATTGAATCAACTTATAGAACAGTGTGGCAAACACATGTCAGTACAGATGCAAAAGATGCCTTGGATTGCATGCAAATATGTTTGCCAACATCAGTTACATCCAGGTTTTTCCCATTAGCAGCAGGACAGTTTGGCATATCTGTATACAGGCCTCTCTGCAACTGGTCAAGATCTGGGTCTTTGTAAGACAACTCATGCCAATAAAAGCTGGGGGAAAACAGCAGTCAGCAAGATGCAGTGTCTTGTGAAGTTGGTGCTGTGGGCATTTTTGCTCCTCAATTTGCTATGGTTTCCGAGGTAGTGTTATTTTTGTTACCTTCTATCTCTTTCCCTTCTCTCCCTATTAACCCTGTAGTCACTGTAAGAGCAATCAGTTAGATATTTCCCTCCAATCTCAAAAAACTCAACTTAGCGAATCAAGTTCAAATAGTAGCTGGGAGAGTTTACATTAATTGCACACTAATACTCTTCGAAAAAGCATGAATCCAATTCTCTCCTTAGCTATGGAGTAAATAGTAGATTAGTTAGAATTCTTTAACCTTTTAAGAGAGTCTATCATGTGCATTAAGCAAGCACCCCAGTTCTATAAAAAATCACTTGCTATCAAAACTACAGCAGCATTACTTGGTGTAGTTGCAGTTCTTTTCACGTTTCACAAAGGAGTCTGCAAGAATAAATAACTATTTAAAATAAATACTAAAAGAGGAAACATGAAAATACATTAACTATTTCCTGAAGGTCAAGAAAACAGTCTTCTGAAAATCGATTTAAAGAAATGTAGAAACCTCAAGTATGTTAAAAATTTACCTCAGTATTTGGTCCTGGTTCTTGAGTTCTGACTGCAAATCTAAGATCCTTTCTTTTAAGATCTTTTCCTTCATTTTCCAATCCATTTTTTCCTCCTAGTCAATAAAAATATTCTACAATATAGACATCAAACATTTATTTAAAGATGCCTTAATGTTTTAGTTGGTAGACATCTTTATGTATAAATTTAAGGTGATAGGAAGAAAATGAAACCCTCCAATATATACATGTACTGCATAGTAGACAGAGGTTAACAGACTATTGTCCTCATCTTTGTTGTTGTTATCACAATGTTTCAGCTGTTGTGCCCTCTGGCCTTCCTCAAATGTATATCGATCTACAAGGAATTCTGAAGTGAACCCTTTATTCAATCTACAGGGGTAGACTGTTCTTGTTTCACTGCCCATGTCAAGGGATATCATTTAGTTCTTATTTTTAGTACTGCTCAGTTATTGCTTGCACATCTCCACTGAGTCTAAGTATACATGACGGGCAGCAGTCAAAACATGACAGGCAGCATCAGTTATAACACTAATCAGCAGGCAGGTTAGGTTTAAGGCTCCAAGTTCATTACAGCAAATTGTCCTAATGTATTAAAGCATTGGTTCATAAATTTGGTGACATAGTGATTATGAGTTCAATCCCTGGGTCGGGCAGTATGTACTTGGACTCAGCGGAAACAGGCAAACAATAACTGAGCAGTACTAAAAATAAGAAATAAACAATATTCCTAGACATGGACAGTGGAATGAGAACTGTCTAACCCGTAGATTAAATAAAGGATTCAGTTCAGAATTCCTTAAATCGATATATACCTGAAGATGGCCAGAGGGCACAACAGTTGAAAAGTTGTGATAACAACAACAAAGATGAAGATAAGGGTCTGTTAACCTCTGTCTACTATGTATATATTGGAGGGTTTCATTTTTTTCAAAGATGAGGACAATAGTCCACATCAAAGAATAGATGAATAATGTAAATAATGATAACACCTCAGAAATTCAGACAGAGATTAACAGATAGTACATCTTGTTTAAGAAGAACCTGAAAATAAGGAAGACAGAATCATTTAAACTCCCACACCAGGTATTTTATTTTCCTGCATAAAAGATAGTCTTTTTTTGGCTTCTGTGAACCTGTGAGCTAAACTTCTAGCGATATCTCTTTTTCATTGATATATCCTTAAAAAGTTATAGAAATTAGATTTTAGCTCACGGAAGCCAACAAAAAGACTATCTTTTATGCAGGAAAATAAAATTCCTGGGGTGGGGGTTTAAATGATTCTGTCTGGCTTAAATAATTTTAAATATTTTTTAAAAATTATTCATGGTTTAAATATTCTACATTGTTTCAATATTAATTTAGTAAGAAAAGACAAAAATATTAAATATTTTATATGCACTTTAAAATGACATCCCTTCTGGTGAAATTCATATTTAATAGTAAATAATTACAACAATTTGTAAAACTTTTATACTGACATGTTTTACTAATCAAACAGTCATTAGAAAAAACTTTTATTGCAATAAAATCTACATTAGCAAAAGAGAATGTAACTTATATTAACCATATGAATGCTAGACTTTTTTTTTACTTTCACTGTATCATTTTTTCATTTAAATTTTACTAATTTCAACTCAGTTTTTATTTATTTGTTTATATATTTATTTAAGTTTTTTTCATATCCCACATTGTTTCAATGTTTGTTAAGAATGGGTTGGTTGGTTGGTTGGTTGGTGGGTTGGTGGGTTGGTTGGTGGGTTAGTTGGTGGGTTGGTTGGTGGGTGGGTTGGTCGGTTGGTTGGTTGGTGGGTTGGTGGTTTGGTGGGTTGGTTGGTTGGTTAGCAGAATATCAACATCTCTATGGGTTATTTAATACCAAAATCTAAATATTTTGCATGCAATTTTCATTTTTTTTTTATTTTATTTTAGTTAATTGTTTTAATGTTAAAAATCTTACTAATTAATCTATAGTTGGTGGGAGAAGCAGTGGAGTCGTACCTTTCCCAAAGGTATTTGTGCGTAAGTAAATTTACTGAACCCAATGGGAATTGGAACTCTGCTCTCCAATTAACAATTCTAAGCCATTATCCATTACACCACCCACACATCCAAGCTTACAATGCCTGGTATTCTTAAACAGTCACCCATGTAGGTACTGATCAAGTTCAATGTTGCTTCAACATGATGTGGCTGTAAGGTAGTAAGAATGGATGACAGGCTGAAGTCCATTGGTCAGATATTAACTACAGGGGATCTGTAGCTCATGGAACTTTCAATGCATTTTCATCTGAATAAATTGCATTCATTTTTTATTAAAATCAACATTTTCCAGTTTCAAAATTATGATTTTGAAGGTTTTGGTGGCATATAAGTGTATTGAGTGTGCTGCATAATTTCAAGTGCATTTTTATGAACATATTCTTTTCTTTAAATTTTGGGATCTTTTGCCAATGCATTTTTTTGGAGTATTCTTTACATTCTATTTGACAGATGCTTCCTTCTGATGTATAGTTATCTCTCTGTTTTACATTGATTGAATTTTTAACTGTTTTTGGAATGTGTGTGATAAATTTTATACTGAGATTAGCTAAATTTCTCTCAAATTCATTAGTTATGGAATTTATAGGTAATATAATGAGCCTCAATTTTGTGTTGATACATTCTTTTGCACTTTTGTTGATTTTGTATGCTTTTCATTTGGCATTATATATGAAATAACTGGAGCACTAGAGGATTTTGAAAATATGTTCAATGTATTTCTCTTCATAAGGTAAATATTTTTGTTTGACAGAATTCCTGCATCAACCTGCAAGCGTTGTGTGGTGAGTATTGCACTAGTTTTAGTCAAAACCCCAATGATACTGATATCTGTAAGATTGAAGAAAGCTTCCTCTCTTGAAAATTAGAAAAACCTGATGATGATATATATGATACAAATATGTGTTAGATAAATTTAACTAACCAAGATTTATCAAAATAAGAATCATAATGACAATCATCTCATAATCTCAGGCAAAGATCATTATTTTGTTGTTACCAGGATTATTTTAAGTAGAATCTTTAGATGCTATTTATACTAAATCTTGGAATTCATCAACATCATCTTTTATGTACCATGCCCCTCCACAACTTCCTATCCTTTGTAGCGTTAACAAAGTTTGTCTTTTTACTATTTCCCCATTCCCTGTTCTGACATCCATTTGTACAAGTACTTTAGGTATGTTGATCACATCTCTCCACAACTTCTTATCTGTTGTAGCACTAATCTATATTTGTCTCATTAATATCTTTACCATTCCCTATTCGGTTATTTATATAAGCTCTTTAATTAGGTTGATCACGTTTCTCCACAACTTCCTATCCTTTTTAGTTCTAAGTATTCATTGTTTTGGCATTCAATCTTGTGAAGTAGATTGATAACTGTTTACATCTGTTCTTCCTGCCTTCCATATGTCCTGTCAATATAAATTCTTTAAACCCCTTTTCCTCATTATGTGTACCAGAGATTTCTCATTTTTATTCTAAGTATCCTTTTTGTTCCCATTTTCAAAAGAATTCTCTTTTCTTCTGCCAAGTCAGGGCTTTGTGTTTATAATAACTTGATTAATTGTTTATTTTTACATGGTATGGCATATGTAAAGATGGCTGGGAATTGAATTTTCAAAAGAATTTCAGATACAAATGCAAAAATTCAAAGTATAATTACATTATTCTTTGGAGTGCTTGATATTAGTTTATCTGACTCAAAGTTCAGCTCTGACCCTGAAGGAGTGTTCTGTTCATATTTGACATTTGAGTCCACATCAAAGAAAGACTTCACTTGTTTGGTTGAAGGATCTGTTCCCGTCCTGTCTCGCTGCAGTTGACCAACTTTGTTGTCAGCCCTAGAAAGAATCAAAAGTAACTCTCTTTCAATTCCACTTAAAATTAATAACAATTTTATATATGTCCAGATAATAATACAAAGTATTAATCTTTCAATTTTATCTTTGAGTCTGTTCTCACCTAAGTATTATAGATTTTATAAATGAGAATCTAGTGTGTTATCTTTCCTATCTCATCAGCTAATCTCTTTCATGACTTTTCATCTATTTTACAATGTAAATTTATATAAAGTGTGTTCCAATGACTTGGACCAATTTTAAATGTGAATTGAGTTTAAGCGTCTAATGATTTTTTTCTTTTTCTTTCAGATTTAACAACTTAAGTCTTTGGCAATTTCAAACATGGAAAGGTTAACAATCAAACAACGTGTTAAAGTTATTGAAGCCTATTACAAAAATGGACATTCAAACAGAAATGCATTTCAAGCACTTTGTGATTTTTTTGGTCAACCTAATCGACCAAACGAGAGTGCAATTGGAAATGATGTAACTTTGTTGTGGAGAGGTTCAATTCCTGTACACAATGACGAATAGAGATGTCTGGATTTTCGGCCACATTCTCGTGCACTGCAGCAATGTTTTCAGCTGAACGGCATAAATGAGAACACAATGGTGTTTTCACATCTGCCACCAACCCAGTTTGTTTTAATTTATGAACTTTTTTACAATTGCACTCTTGAAACTTTAACACATTGTTTCCATGGTTGAAATTGCTAAAGATTTAACTTGTTAAATCTGAAAGAAAAAGAAAAAAATCATTAGACGCTAAAATTAATTCACATTTAAAATCAGTCCAAGTTATTGGAACACCCTTTATATAGCAATGAAAGTAGTCACTTTCTTCAAGCAAAATACCCATGGGTCACATGTATTCTCTGTTGAAAATAAACCTGAACCATATCTTTAGTTTGTTTAGATAAAATTCAGCAGGATATGCACATTTTGATTTGTTCAATCATGGACATCTATATCTATATCAACTGCTAAAGTGGCATGCTAAGCAGCAGACAATTTGGTTGTTCATACATATTTATACAGCTAGGTATTTATAGAGACTGTTGGTGTTTTGGCAACCTACACAAACCCTTTGATTTTGCCTGATTCCTCCCCTCTTTGCTCATGAGATATTCCACTGTTATGGTAACAGGAAGCATTACTTGATTCCTATAAGCACACACACCGTGTCTTACTTTTATAACAAAATAACTCATTACTATACATTAGTTGTTTTTATTTATTTTTTTATAATCATTTTCCCCAAACAAGTTGATAATGCCATGAGGATGCAAGGGGTTAGTGAAAATGAAAAGAAAGAGAATGAAAAGACTTTAGTGAAGAGAAAGGACAATAAAAGAACAGGTTTCAGGAAGACAGAAGATGACAATTGGCATTGCATTTGAATTTTTGAAGATTGTCAGAAAGCAAAAAATTTGGAGTGAGTTCCACAGATGAGAAGTGCAAGAAAAGAAATTATTAGAATAGAACATATGGTCATATCTAGTTCATCAATAAAACAGTAAGACCTAGTTGCCAATCTAGTAGCAAATTTAAATTCATGTAGTTAAGGTATCAGAACAATTGCCATGAAAATATTTATAGAAAAGATAGAGAGAAGCCATATCATGTCAGTGACAAAGTGACTGAAGTTGAAATCCTAGGTCAGGATCAATTACATTACAGACACTTTGAACTTTGTCTTAAATTTTCTTTGGATATTTTACTTTTAATTATTTAAAAACTAGAATTCTTTCTAACATAAGTTAATTGCATAGATAAAAATCTTAGATTATTCATGCAGAAAATTTAACCAAAGCAGTTGAAAAATTACTTACTGTCATTTTTGATGCTAGAGATTTTGTTTTTACTTTTAAACAATTACTTAAATATTGGATCATTTTTTGATAGTATCACTAAACTAGTTTTTCAATAACCCATATAACTGAGATATACTCTGGGTTGGAAGGTCTGTTTACATAAATGTGAGCCTTTTGTTCAATAAGAAGAAATTGTGTTACGAGGTGTGGTGTAAATGATGATTTGTGCAATGCCAATGAAAGAAGCTAAGTGATTTTTCTTTCTCGCCATTTGGTCACCTAATTTAAATATTAGGTTAAGTTTAAATTCAGAGAGATAGGCAATGGACAAAAAGTGGGTGAATGAAGTACAATTGTGAGAAGGGCTAAATCCTTGTGGAATTTTGAGTTATGAAAAAATAATTTTCACTTTTGAGAAGATCTGTCATTTCAACCCAAGTTAAGGTTGTTTTTCTTCTATGGTTAAACTAGTTTAATTTAATGTGTATACATATTTAACTGCTCTTTTATTTTGCTTTTTATTTTGCTACCTTTCCATTTCTTACTTATTCATCCTCATTCAATGACAGAAGGTAAAGTTTTCTGGTAATGTGGAAATAATTTATTTACTTTTTCTTTTATATTTCCCCAACATACAAAGCTGTGATGAAAGTAAATCATGTCCCCTTTCTCTTTTTTTTTGTTTATCATATTTAAAATTACTGCTACTGTATGTAATCAGTCAGCAGTCACACACATATTTCATTAGTGTGTGCTTTACACACACACACACACACACACACACACTAACGTGACACTATTTAGCTATGGTAATTGGCTAACTAATTAACCATAGAAATTAAAAACAGGAAATACTTAAGGCGAGAAAGAGTTATACCGAAAGATAGACTGAGCGACATTAAAAAAAAGAATTTATTTTATTTACAAAAGGAAGATACTTTTCGCAAAAAGACAGAAAATCAGTAAGAAAAGGCGAAACTGTGATTCTGTCAAATTAATTAATGTCACGATAATGGAGTGACGCGTCAAATGAAACAGAATTCTGAAAGATAAACAAAGTTGGCCGACACATGCAGCCATGAAAAAATTTCGGGTTGAGACCACCCTTAATAGCTATTAATTATCTTTCACAGATATCATTTGACTTTAATTCCTGATTCCAGCGAGGGAAGCCATCTGGTCTATGTACGAATCTTGACATGAAAAAAAAGAGAGTCGAAAAGGGGATCATTATTATTGCTTATTCAAACTGTTGACTCGAAAATGAGCATCTGGTGATAAGAGAATTTTAAGACATGAGAAAAATAAAGAATTTAATTATCAGGTAAACATGACCACCCAGTTAAAAGTTGGCTAAAGTGGATTTGGAATGTGATAAGGAATTGAATGGCAATCTGGGAATTGTAAATGTTTTGGCTGAAGGAAAAGGAAAAAGAAAAGAAAAAAAGGATTTTGTAAACATGAGGGCCAGTCTAGCCACACCCACACTGCCAAGAGATCATTGGCTAAGAAGTAGCATGGGTAATAGGCGGAGGTGAATGTATGAGAAAGACGGAGAAGTTGTTAAAACCCATTGAGGGGATTGGTATGAGATACCAATGTGAGAGAGAAAGAGTCTAGGAGGATAACTCTCCTCTGACCTTCCCTCACGGATGAGGGAAGAACCCCAAAGTGGAAAGTGATTAATCTTCCAAATGGGAAGTAACTAATTTTTGTTGGAAATTAAGAATTGTCAAAGAACCCAAACCACGACAGGCCCCACCCTGGAGTTGGTCGGTGTCCATATAAACAAATGTCTTGAGGCAGCTGGAGAGAGTTTTTTTCGGCAGAGTTTCAAGAGAGTTCAGAGTTGCAGTTGGAGACCAGCCTCGCAGGAGCTGACCGAAAGATTTCCACGTCCTTTTTGATTCAGTCTTCCTACCAAAAACAAGTTTTTATTGACGAACAATTTAAGATACCATAACTCGCTTAAGAAATGCAAAAAAGTGTCCCAAATCCATAGAAATGGGCCTGGAGAGAAACACACTCCTGAATTCCACAGATAGATAAAGTTAATTGTTATTTCTCAACATATTTGAACCTTGTGAGTTTGTTTTATTATTTTTCTTTTACTTACACTTGTGTGGTATCACCTTTACCCCGGATTCAGCTTGCACTACGGCCTGACGCCTGATTGATTTTGTCTACCTAAGATCAAAGTCACAACGTGGGTAGGTTAGACTTGAGATCAAAGCAGTTACTTCGGTGACCAAGCATTGGAGGTGAGCTGAGAACAACAAAACTGGTTTCAAACCGGAAACAACCAGATCGACCGGTACACAGGCTGGTGGCAGCGACAAGGAGTCCACTCCAAAACGCTGGTGGAAAAAACCTAACAGCTTCGTGCCGCAACTGGGAGTTGACCACGGGCCAACGGCGCAGTGTCATATATTGACATTGCGACCAGTGGACGTCCCATATTGACGCTGGTGCTGTGAGTGCGACCACCGGTGGGTGTTACACTTAATTGCCTCACTTGCAACAAAATCCCCTCAAACTTTGCAGACTCCCTGCAACAAATCATTTCGAACAATCAAACTATTGGTCTCTTCATGGCCACAACAAAGAACATTGTGTTTTAATATGCAAATATATGTACCTGTCTGTATAAATGTTATTGTCATATTTAGTTTGGTCTTCTTTTTCTGTGAAGATCATTTCTTCGTGTTGTTTATAAAATTGTGTTGTGCTTGTTGGCATGACACTCAGATTTTATTTTTCCATCTAAAATCTGGGTAGACTGACACCACACACACACATATATATTTTTCTTTATGTCCTTTACTAAAATTAAAATTTGGGTAGACTGACACACACATATATTTCTTTGTCTTTTACTAAAATTTGACCAAGTTGGCAATCTTAGATTTAGAGAACAATAAAGAATGATTGGATCAGTAAATACAACAAACTAAATTAATGATAGGATAGTTAAAACCACAACTTACCTAATTTTTCTGCTTTGTGACATATTTTTTGTAATTTTATACAAAAATAAATATCATGTTAAATTTCCACAAGAACATCACTCAGTAAAATGAACTTACATTTACCATATTTTCCGGCTTACAAGACACTGTGGCTTGGAAGACGCACCCTAATATTGGAAAGAAATTTCTAAGAAATAAAAAGTCATTCTCATACAACAACACATTCACCATGCGTCCCTCACATACTGGTGCCATGTATTGTTTATATTAATTACTCGTCTGTTTTGTTTGTATGGCAATGACATACTAGTCAAGAGCAGAAATGTTCCTGCCACTGCTTGTAAACAGAGCATGTTTAAGCTTGTGGCTCAGCTCCAGGAAGGTTTATAGTCTTGGAAATATTTGTAATAGCTAAGTACTGTACTAAGCTTACTTGAGCCTGGACGTTGCCTTACATTCATCTTGAAAGGTACACATGTATTTTTCAGAGTATTTTTTAGGAAAAAAAGTATGTCTTGTAAGCCAGAAAACACGGTAATTAATATTTTCTTTCTTTAATGGTGATTTTCATAGTCAAAGGAGAAGTCAAATACTAATTAATGTAGAGGACCCCCTGGAGGGGTGTGATATAATATGGCTTGTGCACCCAAATAAGAATAGTCACTGCCACAGGAGGCCTGCTAACATTTTGAAAATAAAAGACATGAATCTAACAAGTCAACAATTAATAAAACGACAAACTAAAATTTATTTACATCATATTAGCCAATGTTGCATTAATGTCCAGGTAGTTTGTTGGTTAAGTCCAATGATCAACCTTCCATAGTTTTTAACCGAAGTGTATGGAATAGGTTGTTTGAAATCTGTTTGAAAGTTGCATGCAGCAACTTCCTAAACCAGGTGAGTTAGGTTGACAGGAAAGCCAGAAGTAGGGACCTATGTGTAGCTGGAAGGAATAAAAGCCAAGAGTGCCGGAAGTAAAGCCCAACTAGCGTCCAGTTAGTAGACAAAAAATTAAATGGGCATGTAACTCAATAATGCATAACCCATCCAAACATCCTGGCTACAATCGCCAGGGGGACTGTGTTACTCCTCATCTCTTCCTGCACGAACGGTGAAAAACTGTGAGTGTATATGGCAAATGTTCCTGAAGATTAGTTAGATTAAGTTAGTAATATTCAAACTACTAAAGAGAAATTAGATTGGTTATAAATCTAAATAAACTTGCTAAGAAGAAAAAGGTCATGGTCTAATGCATCAACCATGATTATGCGATTGGAGTAGTGAAGGGCTACAATACTAATAAATTATAATTAGCCAAATTGACATTTTTACTTTCAGGCTGGAGTTCGCAAACAAAAGTGGAAAGAACAAGGTTTCTCATAAATAATAAATTGTACTTGTAGTTATGATTTTTATATCAGCATAATGAAAGCATAAAGGATCAGTAAAAAAAATAAAATCTCAACACTGCTGCAGATTGATGGTCTGAACAAAACTGCAGTAAAAAGCATAAAAAAATGAGATTAAAAAGAAAGTTTAACTTATAAATATTTGAAGTTGGAGATATCAGCGAGTATACAGCAATCAAAATGTTTTGTTACTATAACAATCAAGATGAGGACATGAATAAATAGTTCATAAAGATGTGTAAAAACTAAAAAAGTCTTAGTCCAATGAGGACTTTCTTTTGAGGGTATTAAAATAAAAAGTTTTAATTAGCGTAACCCGGATATAAGAGACCCGGATATAAGAGAAACCCGGATATAAGAGAGATTTTCTCTGGTCCCAAATTAGAGCCTGTGTTAATGTATATAAAATAGACCGAACCCGGATATAAGAGAAACCTGGATATAAGAGACTTCTCCGGTCCTGACAACTCTCTTATATCCGGGTTACACTGTAGTTGAAAAATAATAGTACTGAATATAAATAAATTAGGATCCACTGGAATTCTTTTTCTTTAAGTACCGATGAATTTTCATTTCACTTTAGTAAAAATAACAAATATTGATTTAAAAAATGTTTTTTTTTAGAAAAAAAAAGGGATATTCTTTTCAGAAAATAGTTTATTTCATCCTAGTCTGTTGCATTCACTTTCGCATTAATAATGTCTTTAGGAAAGATGTGAAGTGAACCAATCTCTTCCCCCCCAGCTATGGGTTAAATAGAATTGACTGGTCGCCTTTGATGGCAGTCAGTCTAATAGAGAGAGGGACGGACAACTAAATTCAAAACTGATGACGGCACTAACTTTCACTAAAATGAGGCTGTGGAGAACCATAATTAATTAACTAACTCCGTCTTAAAGTTACGTGGCTTTTAAAAAAGAAGAAACAAACAAAAACAGACAAGTTTAAAAAGATTTATGGACAGGAATGTTTGGGTTAAACAAGAAAAACTTTAATCAAGAATGAATTGAAGCAGTAAACTTTTTGACAGCTGGAATGTATTTTTTAAGCTAGTTTTGTTTGTTTTAGTTTTAACGTTTCTGGAATTTTTTTAAAATAAAATGATTAGACGATAAATAAAGACATTTCTAAAATTACATTTTTTTTTCTTAGAAATAATGCACATAAAAAGAACTCACTGGGGACAAAAATCATAAACTGATGAACTCCAAAATGTCGATTTCCAATTGTTGTCAGTTTTTATTTGTTTTTCTTGTTGGTAAATATCTGCTAATGACTTTTCAGTTTCTTTCAGACGTCTTGTAACTTCTTCTAGACGAGATTCCATATTTTATTTTCAAAAAGTATTTAACCAAAAAGGTTTTAAATTGGCCATAATCAAACAAAACAATCCAAGCCGTTCGGTTAACACTTTTTTTTCATTAAAAAACATTTTCATATCAGCATTTGTTCAGTCTCCAACATGTAAGAACATGATCAAAAATCAAGACTAAGTCGATATCGAAAATTACCTTTTCACTTATCATTTTCATTAATAATTTATCTAATATAATTTTTTTTATATACATAAAAATATATTTACTGCATTCAATAATTCTCATTTTTATCTTAAAAATAAATTAAAAACGTCATTCAATAAAGTTCGTAACGGCATTTTAATGTTTTTATGTAAAGTTCAGTAACACCCGCGCCGAATTCTGATTAGTCAAAATTATTCATACCAGTGAAAATTAGGAAATCGTATTTGCATGTCAATAAATATATCTCTTATAATATTTGTTTTAATAAAAATGCTTTCTAGTTAAAATCAAAGTTAAAAAAATTACATTAACAGTACAGGAAAGTACTTCACTTCCGGTCCGGTGAATTTTGGGAAGAAAACTGTATGTCACTTCCTTTTCAGACATTGTGTCATCCCCCAACCGATGCTATCAAGGAGTCTCTGACTTTCAAACGTAAAAATTACTCACTATGGTAAGCATTTTCTAAGTAATATGTGTCAATCTTTAATATTTAGCGGATATTTAATCGTTATCACTATAATTTCTGTCACGATGGCTAATATTTAAGCTATATTTTACATAGATGTAACTTTCGAGTAAAGGCTGCCCTTCGCACATGTTCACGTTGAACGAGTGAAATATGCCGACTAATTTTCGTTAATATTTCTTTCAGTCTTTTTGAAAGCGCTAATTATCTTCCTATATCGAACCCGTGTTTGTTTTAGGCGTAAAAGAATCCTTTTTTTTTTTTTTATCATCAGAAAAAACATCGAAATGACTTTGTATTCATGCACATAATGATGTATTGTAGCCTAAAAATGTGAAAACACGTGAAAATTATACTAATTCTTTTTTAAGATCTAACTATCACTGATATCCAAGATTCTTAGTGTGTGTAAATAAAATATTACTGTCACCTATTAATCAAATTTAATTATACTGAGACTGTAAAAGTAATTGAAAACTTATCTACAATATAAAGCACTATACTTTAGTAACTAGTTCTAAATATTAATTCACAATTGTCCAGTGTCTCTGATGCTATACAGAATTGAATAGCAAAAATAAAAAGTAAATTTTAAAAATGACTTGTTACAATCATCAACTGGACAGTTCTTGTTGAATATTTCTTTTGAAACCGGTTTTCTATCTTGCATTTTTAGTTTCTGGAAAACTTTCCACGCACTTAAAAATAAAAACAAACTTTTTTTTTTTTTTTCTTAAACCGGGCACATTCAATATTTTTCTTACTTCAGTACTTATGTTTTATCCGTTAACTATATACAAAATAATGCCTTAGTGTATTGAAGAGAACGATGTCTTTCGGAAGTTAATGCTTTTTATACGAGAAATGCCTACTTTTGTTTTAACTTATTTTTCTTTTTTCTTTTCAGGGGTTCGTAAAAGTTGTTAAAAATAAAGCTTACTTCAAGCGATTCCAAGTAAAATTCAGGAGGAGGAGAGGTAACTAATTTTTCATTGCTTCTGTTTTAACAAAATTAAGCTCTCAATTGCTATTAACTAAATTTCCAAGAATTTGTCATTGCTATATGATTTTCTCTTAAAGAAAAAAAGCCTTTGTTCAAAACTTTAAGTTGCATTTTTTTAACTAAATTGTAAAATATGGAACGTGATATGCCCATCAGTAATCAAGTGAAACTTTTTAATAAAATGTTTGAATCTTTTTGATTTTAAAATAAGAATCTCTGTCTAGAAATTAACCTTTAGCACTCTGTATTATTATTACTTCCCTTTCCACTGCATTTTTTTTTTCAAGTCCTCAATTGCAGTATTTTTATTGTTAATTTCACTCGGTTGTTTTGTTGCCATAACAGGATGTGACAACACAACTATGAAATTCAAACCCTATAATTCAGGGATCAGTCACCCTCAGTGGCAACTTTTTGTGTGGCCTATTGAAGTCCCATACAGTGTGGTAAAGCTTTTTAAAATGTTAAAGCAATGAGTCTAATTCTTCAAGAAAAGCTTAAGTGTCAACAGTCAACACTTTCCTAGTGATCTGATGCTTATGGCAAACCACTGGAAAAAGCTGGCAAGAAAAGTACTTCTGTGCACCCGAGACAAAACAATTGTAAGCAAATTGTATAGGAAATAAGTCTGGTTCTGTTCACATTTTAGTTGCTGATATGTGCTTCACAGTCTTTGATGTCTCTGACTTTTTTTCTAAGAGCGGGATGTCATTTGAACAAGATGTCTTAATTTAGACATGTCTGACCATTAGTCTCTATATCTATAGTGAAAGCAACCGAAAATGTTGAAAAAAATTTTTTAAATCAAAAATACTCAATTAAATTCAGGTTTTACCTGTGTACGATCTTGAATTAATATTTAAATTATAAATGAATACATTAAGACACAGGACTATGCTGCCGGTTTTTGTTCTTGGCTTCTTTACAGGAAAGTAAAAACATTAATAACTGAATGGATCAGATGTTCTTAAACTATGGAAAATATAAGAACAAAATGTAAAGTTCAGATAAAATCTTTATTTTAACACAAACGATTTAATGCATATTGTTCCATATGCTAAAAAATACAGCAATAAACAAAAGATTTACTATTTACACAATTTTGTCAGTCTAAAGAAAGTATTTGTCTTTAAAACAGACAAGTTTTTTTTTTTTTTTGTCAGATAAAAAAAACTTGTAAGTTTTCTTCTGCAAGATAGATAATTTCTTCAGATACATTTCTTTGGAACTGAAAGGGCAAAATAGAAAACAACTTCTAACTTAGGCTAAGGTCATATTTTAAATAGAGAACAATGGGGCAGAATTCCCTACATCGGACAACTCTGCCAAAAAAAAAAAAATCTTAGAGTCAACAATGTAAACAAATCAAAGACAATTCCTCTTGAGAATAAAATCACCTCTTCCAAATAAATGTCTCTTCAACAAAGTTGAAACAAATCTCAAAAAGCCACAAAGTACTATTATCTTTTAACAAACATCTACATTTGCGTCAATGCCTTAATAGGCCTTAGAAGTGGAAACAAAATATAACTTTTATCAAGTTATAGTAAACAAATTTTAGCTTCAGAAGAATTCCGAAGCTAATAAATTCTTGTAAAAATCAAATTGTTGGATTTTAATGAAACCTTCAGAAACAAATGAATGGGATCTAGATTTTTATACATCTGTCACTCTCACTTTATGAAATTTTGGCAATTAAAAATTCACTCCCTTTTATATTAGCTAAAAGTTAATTTTTTTTATTTTTTGTTTTACAAAACGATTTTTGATCTAAGTTAAAATTTTGAAAACAAAAAACATTCTTGAAGATTTCATCCTAGTTTTAATTGAAAGCTAACTGATTAAACTTTTTTCAAGTAAAATATTCTGTATTTCAGAAAAATATTTGAATGTCAAATCCCCCCCCCCCAGTCATTTTACAAATTTTTAAGAAATTTGTAAAATTTATTGGGTTTAAAATTCTTTGAAAATTGTACATTTGTCACGTTTTGAGTAAAATTAGAATTTAAATTAATCTGATTTGAAATATAGCATAAAAACCAATATATAAATACTTAACAGCGAATTCCTCTTTCTTTGATCTTCATTGATTTATCAAGACGCTGTTAAGGTGATGACAGCTCTTATAGATGACCAGAAATTTCTTGGTGTGTAGGTTTTAACTACGTAGTAATTTTTACAAATTAAACATTTTCAGCAGTTAATATTTTATTGACTTTTAGTCAGGTTTTTAAGATTTATGAAATTTGCATTTCATCTCTAGGTTCTGATTTTCAATAAAACTGGTAACTTTTTTCTTTTTTTAATTTACTTTTACTTTCTCCAAAGAGTCCTGTTTTTAACTTTAAAATCCCCCCAATTCTCAATTTCTCAATTATGTAAGTGGTCGTAACACTTTTTTTTTCTTTTTTTTTTTTTTTTTTTTTTTTTTTTTTTTTTTTTTCTGTCATCAAGCTGTCAACATCTTAAACAGCTACTGCAGTGTTAAAAAATTCATTTGTGATGTTTTAAGTTGGCTAACATTCTTCAAATTCCAGAAAAGTACATTTTAATTTGGATTTTTTTAAAGATTTTGCTAAAAATGTTGCTGGAATCGGATTTTTACTGCTTTAAATTAGTTTTGAAATAGATCAATTGGAAATATTAACTTTGAATGGAAACTGAAATAAGTTTCAAGAAAAGATTTCTCACTTTTAAAAATGAATTTTTAAATTTTAGTGAATCAATTGTGGGGGTAACTACTTTTCAGTGAATTTCTCTGTATTTTCAAGTTGACTATTTTATGGTGTCTTTTTTTTTTTATATATATATATATATATATATAACTCCTTTTTTTTTTTTTTTTTTTTTTTTTTTTTGTGAAAATAGATAGCATGACAAGAACGGTCTGAAAATTAACGGAAAAAATTTTTTCATGATAAAAGTATATTTCATTATTGAGAAGAAACCCTAAAGTATTTTTTTTGAGTAATTTTTGAAATTTTTTACTCATTCTTAGCATGTCCGAAATTTTAGTTAAAAAACTTTTTTGCAGAAAAAATGAAAAAAGCTCTATATCAGCCATATTTTTTAAAATTTTAAAAATAGGTTAAATTCTTTGTTTAAAATTCGTTTAAAAATTAATTATACGTATTTCAATATTTATTCAAAGAAATTTAGAAAATTTGAAGTTTATTTAAAATATTTTGAAAGAAACTTTTACTTACTTTCTTCGTAGAAAAATCTTTTTAAAGATAAGAGCCGATCTTAACATCGAGTCAATTGACAGTGCTGAGTGATGTTGTCTATAAATTGACAGCTGACGTGAGATTCGAGTTCCCATACAGAAGCACATAATGGACATATTATTTTTTTTTAAGCACCTAAGTAATATTTAAAGTAAAAACTTTCGCCATTACAATTTTTTTTTTTTTTTTTTTTTTTTTTTTTTTTTAGTACTATGTACCATAAGTTTGTTGATACTATATGGAGAAATTATAAATACTATTAAAGAAAAATTAAAATACAAGTGCTGCACTGCTGTTTGAGGGCCCATATAGACCCCCTCTAAAGTCAATTCAGATTTGCTATTATAAAAAAATTTCTATCCCCAGTAAAAATAATCAAACATAGTAAAAGTCATTTTGTCACAGCCTATATTCTCGGAAAAAATAAATAAATGGATTCTTATATTTTTAAGTAATAAAAAATGACTTATCTGGAAAAATACCAGGGAAAGTTTATCTGAATCCCATGAAACTAGGTATTTTCTGAAAGCAAACAATGTTTCATTTAAAAGTAAAATTGGCCAGTGTAAATGACTGAAAAGTTTTTAGTTTTCTAGAGGCAAAATGTGAATCTTACTTATTATAAAACCCAGGTTGTGTGTTACGTTTACATATTGGATCGAATTTCCTACATTTTTCAACCAAACATTACAGGACTACGATGAAAACTAGATGAAAGTACCTATTTTAACTTAATGAAAATGATGCACACGTGTTTCAGCAGGAACAGTTTGCTAAATTAAGGGGCCGTATACAGCGAAAAACAACCCTTACTAGACAGAAACTCAATCCACGTGACGTTATTTTTATTGCACGCACCAAACTTCCGGTCTTCCGTAGATTTCATTGGTAAACACATTATTGACAAATTAATTTTTTTAATATACGAAGACTCATTAGTTTGTAATAAGCTTTGGAAATTATAATCTGTAAATATATATCTACTTAAAAACAACATCCGTTAAGCTGTACAAGCTTTTCCATAATTTTAGAAGAATTAACAACATAATGTAAAAATAAAAACAATGGTTGCAGAAATAAAAAATAATTGTAGGTAATTGTTTTAAAAATTCATTTTTCATCGAAATATCTTTTTGCTTTCAGACAATATTGTCCATGTTTATTGGAATAAATAAAAGCAATTAAAAGCTTTTGAAATTAAATAATATCTTTGTTTTATTGAGTTTTTGTATGTTACACTTCAGAGACGATTTTCAGGTAGAAGGGCTCCAACTAAAAAAAAAAACAAACATGATTTTGTTTCCTCAAAGCATTGTGCTTTTAACTGATGTAATCACTAAACTCCTCAAAATTGAAATTATAGAGTTTTCGTACAATTAGTTAGAGCGGGTAAATACATATGAAAAAAAAAATTTCTGCGATGACTTTACTAAAAATTTATTTATAAGTTCCATTTGTAAATAGTTTCTGAAAATTCCATTAAAATCCGACAATTATTTTCATTTTTGCAAGATTTTCCAAATTAATGTGTGTCAAACAGGGGGGGAAAACACGCTAAAATGTTTATACGTTAATTTATCAGCCAAGCTGATAAAAAGAGAAACAAGGTCTTTTAATCAAAATTTACAATGTTCTAAAAAAGAAGGAAAAATTTCAAAATAAGTAAAAAAAAAAAAAAAAAAAATACTTTGATCTTTCCTCTAAAAAGTAACATAAGCATTTAGACGCGAACATTTTGTTTTCATCAACTTTGGCGTCTTTTTAATCATGCTATGGTCTTTTTTTTGAGCGATCCAATAGAGTTTTTTTTTTTTTTTTTTTTTTTTTTTTTTTTTTTTTTTTTAACAGTTTCTAAAACTTGGTATATTTTTAGTTTCTAAATTTTGCTAATTCTCATTTGTCCAGAAATAATTGAAATAGAACTTCCAATGGTAATAAAGTATCACTGAGTTAATTGAAAATTTAAAATGCATCTAAACTAATTTACATTTTTAGAAAAAAAACAAAACTTGTGTATTTTAAATAAGTTGACGTGACTGCCATGATCACTCACTGAATCTCTATTGATGACAAATAAATTTTAAAACCCAGTATTTGTCTTTTGATTCAAAGTAAACTAAGCAATAAATGACTGGATAATAACTTAAAACGGTGAAAATGTCTTTATGCACAGTAACCATCATAACCATGCCCCCCCCCCCAATCAAAGTAAAACTACTCTCCATTTAATAGAAAATTCAAAATTTACATGTTAACAATATCTGATGGGGTAGAACTGACAAAAAGGTAATGCATCACTTGACCATCAATCAACTTTAAACATACTAAAAGCTACAGCTTGAAACAAATTCAGTAACTAAGTGGCAATTGGTTCTTGGTATTTCAAGAAAGAGTTTCATCTCCAACTCTTGGTCAAAAAAAAATCACTCTGTAATCTTGAGACATTAAACAACTCTGGCAGTTGTGACTTAAAAAAAAAAAAAAGACCTTCAGGTACATGCATCAAGGCAAGTGGGTTGCAGTATATTTCAACTTGTACATTGACCAAATCATTGATATCTCTATTCAGTGCTATACTTTTTCACTCTTCACAATCCTCCAAAATAACAAAGTATTGATGTTGCAGTGAAAAAAAGAACTGTTTTGTTGAATTCACCCTCACCCAAATTATTAAAATATTTTAGTGGCAAGTTTAGTGTGGTATACTTTTGACCTGTTTTTGCATTTGATTACCTAAAATCACTTTTTTTTTTTTTTTTTTTTTTTCTTCTTTCTCTAGAGGGAAAGACTGATTATTTTGCGAGGAAACGTCTTGTGGTTCAGGAAAAAAACAAATATAATACCCCTAAATATCGCATGATCGTCCGATTCACCAACAAGGACATCATTTGCCAGGTAATTTTTTTCTTTGACTTCAAATTCCAGCATTTAACAAAACTTAAAAATATTCAAGCTGTTCTTTGAAATAATTTGGTTGTCATTGTTTAGACTAGTCTTAAAATTAACTTTGTCAACCGAAAGCCAAGTCATCAATGATTCAGGAAAACAGTTTGGTATAGGCTTGCTTTAAGAACTTTACATTCTATGAGGTGTTTAAAGTTTAACTGAGAATGAGATGATTTTTTTTTTTTTTTTTTTTGCCAAATATTTCATTTATGCACCATATTGGATTTTCCTATATGATAAAAACAGGGCTTTTAAACAGCTGTGCTATATTTGCTGACTTTTTTTTTCTTTTTTCGCTTTATCCAGATAGCGTATGCCCGTATTGAGGGAGATGTGATTGTGGTTGCGGCCTACTCTCATGAACTCCCTAGGTACGGCATCAAGGTAGGGCTGACCAACTATGCTGCTGCATACTGCACTGGACTACTTCTTGCCAGAAGAGTAAGTATTTGATTGACTTTTTTTTTTTTCTAAAGCTTTATAGCATGCATGATGCATAGCCTGAATTTTCAGGAATGTTTTGAATAAAAATGCTAAATTTGGGCTGAAATAAAATTGATTTCAGCATTTTACTTGGGGGTGGTGAATGTTCTGTAGGCACAAGCTAGTTCTTAATTTTTTTCTAATCTTTTAAAAAAAACAAAAAAAAAAAAACAAATTGGGTGGTGGGTACTCTACCCATCTTTGTGGCCTGGCCTTAGTACTTGTAACTGAAGAACACCTGAGGTGGTTCTTTATACCCAGAATTAGTTGATTTTGTTGTTTTTTGTTTTTTTTGTTTTTGTGTGTCTGAGAGGTAGATAGAGCATGCTTTCTTGATATACTATGACATGTGGTATATGCAGGGTTTTTTCTTTCCACCTCATCATTCAGATATTGACATAAATTTTGGGTGTTTGAGAATGTTTTAGACTTAAACTAAAGATTCGTAAACATGTTTAAGGAAAAAATTTGATTTAAGTCATGGTTACTTACCCAAGATTTTTTAAAGTTACTTTTTGTTATGTTCTTACATAATTTAAATTTCTTTCACATTTAAGTCTTTTGTGTTGGATGATTTCTTAATATAAAATTAAAGTTACTATTTCTATTCTGATTAGGCACTGTACACAGTAACAAAACTTTACATCTAATTTTATGCTTTTTTAATCCCTTATTGGAACTGATTGGTTTGTAGAATGAAACTTGAAATGAGTTTTCATTTAAGACTTCTAATTTTATTGAATACTCCTCAATTTGCTTCTGATTAAATCTTCAGCCATTCTGTGATAAAACTTATGCCTATGCAAGCTGGTGTCAGTCTCATAATGCACATGCTCCTTTTTTGTTCAATGGGGGTGTTGATAGTGAATAGTTATTTGTGAGAATTTACATGTTTTTAGCATATCATTGTGGAGTTGAGACAAACACTCTATCTTAATGTGCCTACAGTAACTTTTCAGAATCTATTTGACAGTGGCACATAGGCTCCCATTCTGGGCATCAGTGTGAGTGGTGATTAATTATGACTTAGTTGTTTGAGGAAATGTTGAACAGCATGTATTAGAACACTGTTCAATTGGTTATTCTTGCAACAGGAGGGGATGTACATTTGCAGAAGGGTAGTACTTGCCTACATGTTGACTTTCACCTAAGCCATGTACAAACCTTGTATTGTCAACATGAGCAAGAGACATGGAATAATGTATTTTTTGCCTCTTAAATGTTGAGCCTTTACTAAACTTTTTTTTTTTTTTTTTTTTTTTGTACAGATCTTGAAAAAATTTAAACTTGACACTATCTATGAAGGCTGTGTAGATGTGACTGGAGAAGAGTACAATGTTGAGAATATAAGAGGCAAACCCCGTGCCTTCCGTGCTTTTCTAGATGTTGGTCTTAGCCGAACCACAACTGGAGCTCGTGTCTTTGGTGCCATGAAGGGAGCTGTTGATGGAGGAATGGAAGTACCACACAAGTAAGTTGATATCTTTCAGTTTTGTGTGGGCTTGGGAGAATGGTTCTGTCAAATTGCTTCCAATTTGGTTATTGGGCTCTCTCTACAAAAGATGGTACATGGAACTTTGCAAATGTTACAGAATCTGAAATTTAGTTGTAAATGTTTCTAAGTTTTAATTTCACTGATTTATTAAATATTTCTTTATTCACGTTATTAGAGCATGACTTTCCATTTGTATGAAAGGGTGTAATTCTGATTGGTTAAAATATGTAATTTCTCATTTCCTTTTTTGAGCTTGGTTAATTTTCCTAAGTGATAATAAAAACTGAAACATTTCTTTTAAGTTCAGTTAATATATACAAAAACTTTAAGGAATGGCTTGTCGGTTCAAAGAAATTAAAAAATTTTTTTTTTTTTTTTTTTTTTTTTTTTTTTTGTCTTTAGCATCAAACGTTTCCCAGGATATGATGCTGAAAGTGGTGAATTTGATGCCAGTGTTCACAGAGACCACATCTTTGGCAAACATGTTTCTGCATATATGGTTTCTCTGAAGAGTGAGAATGAAGAGGCATACAGGAGACAGTTTTCTCGATACCTCAAGTTGGGAATCAATGCAGATTCTGTAAGTAAATCAATGAAATGTGTTGCTTTATTTTATGATCAGCAAAGTTTTACGAAGAATTATTGGATAACCAAGTCCACATCACTTCAGTACTTTCAACAACTAAAATGCATGGCATGTTTCTATAAGAAAATAAGAGGTTGACATTCCATACCATTTCAAGCAAGAGATTAGGAATGAAGCCCCTGTAACTACTAAAAAGTACAATAATTGGTGGCCTTGAGAAACCTGTTTTCCTGATAAACTGTTTTAAGATTTTATGAATTTCAAATGACTAACATGGGTTGCTTGTCAATGAGTGAAAAATTTTCTTTATAAGGAAATTGCTAATTTTACCATTTTATTAAAGCGGCAGAGAATGGTATATGGTCTTGTCAAAACAGTTACCAAAAACTGTTCTTTTTGTAGTGGTCATTGAAAAATGAACTTTGTAATTTGAGCCTTTTCATCAATGGGAAAGCATTGTAATTTCTCATTTCAAATCCCATTATAAATAAATATTCCTAGGCCTTTTGAATGGTGACTACCAAAAAATATGCTTGTTTACCCGCCACCTCAATGAAAATTTGGAAATATAGTTAGTAAGAAAATAGATCAAATACATTTAATGTTTGGATTTATCAAAGTGTTTGCAATGTAGATACTTATATTGGTGAGACCTATGTTAGGGCAGCCATTTAAACTCTAAGATTCAGGAACAAGACTGGTCACGCATTTAAAGACAAAATCTTTGTCAAATGCTTAAGGTAATAAAAGGAAACTTTCCCAACTATAGACACATCAAAAAACGATGTTACATCACCAACATTTTTAACTACCACAACTGGTGTTGACAAAAAAAACTCCCCCAGGTCACCATCTAAGCATAACTAATGTCCCTTGTAAGACTCGTACATGCATGCACTTTCACTTGAATCCCACAGACAAACTAGAATTGATACTTGCACATTCAAATTATGCACTTGGAATGCTGTCTGGTGCATGGGAAGTCTGCTTAACTAATGAGTCAAATAATACTGGGAAAATTTTCCTCATATCTTATTTTCTGAAGTTTTAATAAAAGGATAACATTAGATTTATAAATGTTTGTTTTTAATCTTTATTCTATCATGTGTATGTATGCCATAAGGAACCATCTGTTTGTTTTTTGTTTTTTTTTTTGTCTGAATTCTAACTTTTCCTCTCTTTGTAGATGGAGAAAATGTATAAAAAGGCACATTCTGCAATCCGTGCTGATCCTCAACACAAAGCTGCACCCAAGAAGACTGTTATCAAGAAAAGGTAAACTATGGGTTGACTTTCTTTTTCTTTCTCTCTCCTTTGTGTGTGCATTATGCCTTAGAGTATTGGGTTTTCACTTTTATTTTATTTTTTATTTATGGCCTCCATAAAGGATTAGATGTTGTGTTTTTGTTATTAAAAGCTTAAATTAAGAATTGATTGAATCAACATCTTTATATAGGATGAGCAAACTTTTTTCTTTTTTTTTCCATTATTTAGTTGACACCAGATTCCAATAGGAAATTTGGCACAGGGGTGGGGTTCTGCTCAAACTAAACTTCCATGTTTATTTATGGGGTGCACAATATTCCTGTTTAATCTGGAGTAGGTTTTATAGATAGATGTAGATATCTGCTAATAAGGTTTGAAATTGTCACTTCTTTTTTAGATTCATTTGTGAGGCAGGTGACTTGCTGTTCTGTTTTAAATAATTTTCTTTTCTTTTTGCAGGCACAATGCCAAGAAACTTTCAAACAAACAGCGCAAGGTGCGCATTGCTAAAGAAAAGGCAGAATTTATGAAGAATCTTAAACAAAACAATGAATGATGATCTTTAGAAGCATTTACCATGTTAAATAAATGTGGAACAGTAAAAGGCTTTTGTTGTTTGTTCTCTATCAAAAAGAATCTTGTTTGCAAACTTTATTTTCACGCCCACTTTTGAGGTGGGATACTAGTAAATTTTCTTTTACATCAATGCAAGCAGCACATGAACACTGCAAAGAATTTGTATTAAAGTGAATGTGAACAAAGCTTTATATATATATATATGTGTGTGTGTGTATCAACTTTATTTTTGGCTTTAATTCTTATATAAAGGATTTATAGGTTTTTAGTTTTGCTTATTTTGGTGTAATATAGATGTATTTTCAACTATCTAAACTGAATGTGGACAGGAGTTACTTTTAAATGAACTATGCTCATCCATCTTAGCATCATTGTAAAACCAACCAACATATCAATGTTTAGAGATGCCATCTAAAAGACTTCTAATTTGATATATAATGTTGGTCTTTAGTAAGATGCTACTTGATAGTTGTTTTTGACCACTACATTGCTTGTATTAAATTTATACAACCAGTTGTTTTTTAGCTTTGTTATATGGATCCTTGGTGTTTGGGTCTCTTTAGAATCTTTTTTTTTTTTCCTCCTGCTTAAATGAATTTGATTACACTATAGTGATTTAATGTTTAGAGTTATTGGAGGATTTATTTGTTTATATTCCTAATAACTTGTCTTTGTTAATTGACAATGTAATTAAGGAACTCATTATTGGGGGTTTTCTAATTCAGTATAGAAAAATCTCTCTCACTCTCACTCTCTCTCTCATAATTTTCCATAAAATTTTGGCAGGTTTTAACTGCTGAGCCCAAAAAGCTTTACAATTGTAACCTTTTTTTTTTTTTTTTTTTTTTAATGCAAACTGTAACGACCTCCTTTATTACTCTAAGAACATAATTGTTAGAAAAGTAACTATTATTCAATTTACTCTTTCAGAAAATTTTGAAAGCTTCAATTTATCACTGGCTTTGTGATAGCTTATATTTGAATTGTTTTCAGCTGAATGTACTTAAAACTGCCAAAATACAAGTGAAAGCTTCTGTGTAATCCCAACATAATTCACAAAAATTAATAGACAGCACACTAAATATTAAATGGTTTAAGTTGGAAAGTAATTAGTACTGATAATGTAAAGGAAAAAACAGGTTTTAGTGAAACCGCCCTTTCAAACTGTTTGATTTATCATAACTGGTAGACCCATCCACTTTATGATGCATACACACATAAGTGCACTGCCCTTTGGAAAAGTTGAGTAAAGGATGTAATTTTGTGTGGGACAAATACCTTTCTCAGAAAAAGACTTGCAGCAAAGCATCCTGGAGCCATCCAAGATCAAATCATTGACACCAGATGTGACTACCTAACCATACATCTGCAACATAAAGCTTACCACAGTGCCAACTGCAACAATGACCACTCTTTGATCTCTTCAAAGTAAAGCTAAAATCAAAGAAACAGCATCATTCAAATAAAAAAATGCTGGTTGAGAATTAACACTAGCAAGACCACCCATCTAGATAAAAACCAGAGACAGTGTGTAGAAGACAAATGGAACTCCCTATGGAATACCATCTGTAATGTTGCAGTTTCAATATATAGAAAGGATATACAGAATAACAAAGATTGGTTTGAGATTCTAATCACCACATTAGAGCTGGTCATCAAGACTCAATGCAGAGTGTTGATTAGATTCAAGCATGATCCTAGCTGGCAAAATCTGCAGGCTCTAAAAGCTGATTGCTTGCAGCAAACTGCATGTTGCTGTTCTAAAGACAACTGTCTGTTATTAACCCTTTGAGCCCTGTATTCCTGAACAATTGAGCTCCCGAGTCAAAATTTGCAAATAATTGGTATGTAATGTTTCACAATAGATGTAAAAATAGTTACAAGTGTTGACCCACTGTTTAACTGGTGGCTGGGCATAATGTCATTTTTTCTCTACCACCCTACATAAAAATAAGGGTGCTTATAATAACTACCATGGTATCTCCCTGTTAAAAGAAAAGTCTTTGTTGATGATGATCATCATCATCAGTCACTTTCTCTGTTTAATGCATAAGTGGACATTTTGGTTGTTGACCTTTGTTTTTCTTACTGGCCAACTTTCCTTCGAGGCATAACTTACACTGAGTTGATCTTTTGATATGAGCTTACAATTTGAGTTGGTAGGTAACTGATGTGATTGGCTTGAGCTTGGTAATTAATAGATCATTGAGATGTTTGTTAGTCACACGTCTTGTGATGTGGTTCTAAACTGTAGCAAGCTTTTGAAGTGACTTTGTTGTCCAGTTAATACAATTGTGACCATATAACATAACTGGTAGGATGTTAGTATCAAAAATCTCAGCCTTCAAATGATGAGAAACTCATTTTGATGTTTGCACTTCTTTGTTCCTGTTGAAAGCTGGCCAACCTAGATGCTGCTCAGCAACCATTTCATTGCTGTTTGATTGTTACACCTATTGGGGGCATCTGGTTTCAACTCTTAGTCACTGCCACCAATATGTGACCCGGTCGATTATGTACCAAATAGGGTGGTCGGTTGATTCTAATGGCGCAAATACGTAACGGCTTCACACCAGATGCAACCAGTTTGACACTAGCTCCACCGTTTTCAGCTCACTTCCAATGACTGGTTACTGAAGTAACTACCCACGTTGTGATTTTGATCTTAGGTTGACGAGATCAATCAGGCACCAACTGCAAAACGTGAACTCAACTGGCGAACTGCCTGAGGGTGCTCACTTATGTGACACCCACTGGTATGGTCGCAGTGCCAATATGTGACACTGTGCTGTTAGCCCGTGGTCAACTCCCAGTTGTGGCGCAAAGCTGTAAGGTTTCTTCCACCAGCATTTTGGGGTTGACTCCTTGTTGCTGCCACCAGCCTGTGTCCCGGTCGATCTGGTCATTCCCGGTTCGATATCAGCTTCGTCATTCCCAGCTCACTTCCGTCTGGTTACTGAAGTAACTATTTTGATTTCAAGTCTAACCTACCCATGTTGTGACTTTGACCATAGGTAGATGAAATCAATCAGGCGTCAGGCCATAGTGCAAGCTGAATCCAGGGTATAGGTGATATCGCACAGGCATAAGTAAAAGAAGCAGTAAAACTCACGAGGTTCAAATATGTTGAGAAATAACAAATTATCTTTATCCATCTGTTATATACAAGAGTGTGTTTCTCTCCCAGCCTGTTTCAAGTTTTGTTATCTTGAGTCGTTCATCAATATAACTTGCTTTTTGTAGGAAGTCGAAGTCAAAAAGGATGTGGACATCTCTCGGTCAGCTTCTGCGAGGCAACGGTCTCCAACTGCAATTCCGAATCAACTGCTGGAACTCTGCTGCTGCCAAAACTACCTGGGAACGTTCATTTATATGGGCACCGACCAAAACCCGGTGCAGGGCCTGACGTGGCTTGGGTTCCTGATAATTCTCAATTCCCAGCAAGAATTCTCTTTGTTCTTAGGCCAGGAAAATTAATTACTTCCCATTTATGGAAGATTAATTACTTTCCATTTCAGGGGTTTCTCCCTCATTCGTGAGGGAAGGTCGGAGGAGAGTTATCCTCCTAGAGTTATCTCTCACATTGATATCTCATACCAATCCCCTCAGTGGGTGTTAACAACTTCTCCATCTTTCTCATTCTGATACATTTACCAATGAGCTCTCAGCAGTGTGCGTGTGGCTAGACTGGCCCTCTTAAAATTATTATCCAGAATTTTGTTTACAAAATCCTTTTTTATACTTCGGCCAAAATTTTTTTTTTTTTTTTTTTTTTTACAAACCCCAGATTGCCAAATAATTCTTATCACATCTTTCTTTTGGGGACACCCAAAATTCACTTAGTCGGTTCTCTCTACCGACTCATCAATCACTGTCAAAACTGGACACCTGTTTTTTTTTCTGCTAAGTCAACTTTTAGCTGGGAGGTCCGTATTTCACCTGAGAATCAAATTCTTTTCAAACTCTTTTTATATCTTCTAATTATTATTTTTAATTTGTTCTTTCTTTCTTCAATGATTAATTAGTTTCTCAGAGTTGTTCACAATTTTAATCATTTTCTGCTTCAAATTATTAGGCATTCTCATGCTGTAAAGAAAAGATGAACCAGGGTTACCACCCAGTTATAAGATATTGTATTTTTCCATCAGAATTTTAGTGAAGGCTCTTTGTGTGATATGTAGTTGATTGTAGTTTGGGACAGTTTCAAATCTTTTAAACATATTTCTGGTGGAGGTGTCTGTTGTGCCATGAACTCATCATATTGTATAACATTTGTGATTGGGATCATTCCAATTACAGTAATAACTACCAATAATATTCAATAATTTTGTACAAGGCAAATACTCAATCAAGGTAATTTCTTTCCTTACTTTGTAACGCTTACTGCCATAAATTTCTAGAATAATGATTATCTTTGTACTCATGCTCTCAGTTGTCACATTTCAGCTGCAGTATTCTGATTTTCTACAGGTCTTTGACAAAGTTGGTAGATAAATTCAAACTGAACCATTTATCTTAACCCAACAACATTGCTAGAAGAGATCTCACTGACTTTATCCTCGTAATATTTCTTATCTTATCCACTGACAATTTTTAACTACCTGATCCAGGAATTGCATTTGAATCCTTTAAATGACACTTATCTACTTTTGTCATGTGCCCTGCTTGAGAGACAAATAAGGACAAATTAAATGACAAATCTTCTGGTGTGGTCAGTGGAATGAGAACTATGCCTGGGGGTTGAATAAAATTTTCACTTCAAAATTCTTGAAAGGTTATCAATCCACAACAGACACCTGAAGACGGTCAGAGATAATAAAGGCCAAAACATTGTGACAATAACAACCAAGATGAGTACATTAGTTTGAAAAAAAAAAAAGAAAAAAGTATAATACTTGTATTTCATATCAACACTTAAACTGGATCTCCACAAAGAATGTTGACTTGATGGTATCCATATAATAGTACTTAAGGAATAAACTGAATTGGAATGCTTTGCTGCTTCTTGGAAAACCTCTTCTGTAGTTCCAGTCTTTAAGAATTAAGATGAACTGATCTTCTATCGTGTTTTTGTTTGTTTTTTTTGTTTTTTTAAAGTATTTGGCTCTAATCAACTCAAAACTGGTTCAATCTTTTTTTATCAAATCATGAAATGAAAGTTGTTTTGAATGGACACTCTTATAAAAAATCTTTTTGCATTAATGCAGTATAGGTCCCCCCCCCACCCCAGGACAACTATGTTCTGATTTTCATCAATTACCTTCCCAGTGTCATCAGTTCTCAACTTGGTATTTACACTGATGACACAAGTAGTTACTCATATTTTAATGGTAAGGCTGATAAAGTCAAATTTGTCAGATAAGATAAAATTGGTAAAAAAAAATAAATAAATGTACAACTGTCATTAACTAGGGCAAGATTTTAACATCTCCGAAACAAAACTGCACTCATTTAATAAATTTAGAGAACCCATTTTGCCTTCCATCATCATGACTGATGCTAACCTCCAGAAGTGTGGCTCATTAGACCTTCTTTGGCTAACGTTTTCTGCTAAGTGGAAAGATTATATTATATCAATTGTGAGGTTGGCTGATAGGTAAGTTGGTTTACTGTGTTATGCTAGACAATTTTTCTTACCAAAATCTATTTTACACAAGTCATTCATTATTTGCACGTTTTGAATATTGCTGCCACATCTGGTCTGGTGCTTCTGCTATGTATTTAGAGATTATTCCTGACCTGTTATCTCGATTTCAGTCACTTTCCAACCACCATAACACAGCTTCCTTGTGCTTTCCTATGTTTTCATGGTAATTGTTCTGATGAACTTTCCCTTTTGTACCTAGACTTCACAAATTTAAGTATGGTATTAGATTGATAACGAGGTCTCATTTTACAGTTGAAATTGTTAGATGTAACCATGAGTTCTATGCTAATAGTTTCTTTTCTTGAACTTGTTGCTTTCTGGAATGATCCTCCAACTTGTTGCTTTCCATTCAACTTTGATCTTCAAAAATTTAAATGCAATGTCAATAGTTATCTATTTTTTTTTCTTATGCTTTCACACACAGTAATCCAGTTTGGCTTTATTGCCTTGCTTGGGGTGAAATGATAAAAAGAAAAAAAAGTATAGACAAACAAAAGTGAACATTTTAGTGCATGAAAAGGTGTTATTAGTCAATTTTTTTGACTTTCAAAGAAATCATTAAATGTGATTAATACGGAGAGTGCTGGAAAGTTCTCAGCCTGATCCAGTTTACATATTCAGTCTCCTAATATTCAGCCAGTAATACTTCTGCTGATGTATACATACTTATCTGTCCACAAAACTTGTCTGCTGTTAACATGTTTTCAAGACACCATGAAATGTATGTCCCGAGCATATAATTTAATCTACTTTGTGACATTTTCTTTCTATGCATGTGTGTGTGTGTGTGTGTGTGTTAGGCTCATTTAGCTTAGTCTGTACTGCAGAATATCTGATCAAAACCAAAATGGCAATGCCTATGAGAAATCTTCATCAGCATCTTTATGGAGATTATCAATTTCCTGTTTTCCCTAAAACAGGCCAGCACAGCCAGGCAACAATGCTATAAGAATGTCAATTTTAGGAAGTAAATAGGGCTGAGAACTTTTCAGCTCCTCATAAGTTTAGGGAGTCTTTGTAAACTGACTAACAACGATTTGTGCTAATTCTGACACTTTTTCCTCTAGAACGTAGGTAATCATGGTTACACAGGGATTTATTTTTCTTATTAGTTGTGAATTGCTATGACTTCTTGGGAAAGGCAGTGGAGTGATTTATCTTGACTTCTATAGGATTTTTAATCAAGTGTAGTCCTTCTCTCAGACCGTATGCCACCCAATGCTAGAGAACCCAGTCTACCCTACTCTTAGCTGGAGAGAGAAGAGACAGATTCATATCTTTCGCAAGGGCATTTGTGAGATAGTGGACACAAGGCCAGAATTTTAAACTTAATCACTCTGTGATTTCATTTGCTGTACAAAAAGTTTATGACTAATCCCTGAACAGTAGTAGGGTGTTTGAATTTCATAGTTGTGTTGTCATATCCTGCTATGGCAACAGAAAACACCTTTGAGTGAAATTAACAATAAGGATACTGCAATTGAGAGGCCTTGAAAAAGTATGCAATGGAAAGGAAATAATGTTAATAATGCAGAGGGCTGAAGGTCAATTCAACTCACCAACTGCACTTTCTGTGCCATTATGCTACAAGCATAGACTACCTGACATAAGACTAAAAGCTAGGAGTTCTATCAAGTTCATAAATGTTACCTATTACATTCAAATTTCCCTCCTATGAAAAGTTGAAATTGCAATCAGAAGAAATTGATTTTGTAATGTGACTTTGGAATTATTGCCTTAAAAGGTTAAGGAGGGGGAAAAAAAAAAAAGAACACTGGATTTAACGATTTTTTTTTTTTTTAATACTGATAAAATGTCTTTTGTGTTGTTTTGAAAAAGGAGTTTACTTGAACATTATGGAAAAAAAAAAAAAGTTAAACCTCCTCCTCCTTTGCAATACAGTTTCCTTTAAAGGAGTAGGGGGCATCAATAACATTAGAATCTTCCAAACTGTTATAATTATAAATTTAATTAAAAATTTTTTTTATACAGCTTTACACAAAACTATGTTTTTTATCTACTTGTTGCATATAACATTGGTCTTAAACTGCAACCATTACATTTTTGTTTATATTACAATTTTGGTGCTATTTACAATAAAAGCTTTGAATTTCAACTGTAGTACGAGCCATTAAGGTGAAATCATTTCAATACTCGACTACATTTTTTGTTGCAAGAAACAACATTGTTAAGCTTTAGTGAGACGTGGCTTTATCTTTGAGTTACTTCCCTTAGTTAAATTGTAAAGAATGATTCCTAAGAAAATGTAACATGATCGATTATCGTCATTGAGAATGATTGCATTTAGCCTCCATCCCTGTTGCATAAAAAGGCATTACAATGCAGAAAGAGAGAGAGAGAAATTCCGTCAAAATCTCCCAATCCCATCTCTGGCCAAGTATAAAAGTGTCGAAGAAGAATTACATTAATTTCACTAAGAAATCATAGCATTCAATTTTAACATCCAATGTTAAAGAATTCTATTCATTTTTTGCTTTTTGATAAATGCAAAAAATTATTTTCTAGAAAATTTTAATATTCTTTTCATCTGATTTATATAAAAAGAAAAGAAAAAAAGGGAGTGGATAAAAAAAAAAAAGAAAAAGAAAAATAGGTGCAGAAAAAAGTGAGAAAAGAAAAAGACGTTCATGGATCAATTTCAATAAAATTAATCATTTTCTTCAATTTGTTCATTTTCTCTTGTACAGGGGGGCAAAAATAATTCCATAGTTGTGCGAAGACAATTTTTTTATTCATGTTTTTAAGTTTTATTAAAACTGTTTCACGTATCCCTTTTTTTTCGATGACTAGATGGTGAAAGAAGGTATACATGTCGTGATATAGGAGGTATGTAGTGAAGAATAGAAGTATCAAGATCCCGGTCTTCTTCTACCAACGTATTAACAGTTTGTTTCCAATAATCAAAACAAATTCTGGAACTCTGAAAATGAGACAAAAAAAAAGAAAAAAAAAAAGAAAAAGTGTTATTATTATAGGCTTATTGTTTAATCTAGATATTTAACACACACACTCACATACCTGTACTTGGGGCTGAAAAGTTCCTGTACCAACAAAGGATTTTTCTTCACCAAAATCTAATGTGTGATCAGATTTCACTAATGAATCTAATTTCAAAAAGTCATTACATTATGAAATTGACATAAGAAAAAGAAACCTTTGAGAGTTGACAAGTGAAAAAACAAGCCATGAGTGTGCAGAAAATTAAAAAAAAAAAAAAAAAGAGAAAGAAAAGAATTTTAAATTCATTTCTTGATGTGAACAAATAAGGATATTTTCTTTTTGTTCTTGAAACAGACAAAAGAAATAGAAAATGCTTCATAAAATAATAATACTGGTTTCTGGTAAAAGCACTATATTGCTAAAGAGTATTTGGTAATTAAGCTGATTAATATCATTTTTGATAAAGTTTGATTTTGTTACTTTTCTATAGCATTTGTGCCTTTTTTTTAGTGTTTTATGCTGAATAGATTTAAAAGATCATAAAAATATTGCAATAACTGAAAATCATTATAACAAACAGGTTAAAGAGGTGATGCTATAATTCACAGTACTTGCTTACATCTTTCCTTAATGTATTTCAGAATTGTTGATATGGCAAAATTAAAGGATCAATTTATCCAATCTTTGTTAGAAGTGTTTACATAAAGTTTAACCACTAGCTCTCTGCATTATTCATTTATATTACCTCTGCTTCTACTGCCTATATGGCAGTCAGTTGCAGTAACCAAAGTTCTTGATTAAAGTCAAGATCATTTGAACTGTTATAAGAGCAGGAGCTAACACAACCATAAAATTCAAACATTATCATTTTTAGCAGTTGTAATGGATGTGTACTAAAGATTAAGAAAATTAAGAGTTAGTTTAAATTTAGGAAATCAATTTTAACACGATTAAGAATATATATATATATATATATATATATATATATATATATATATATATATATATATATTATAGATGTGTCTATATCTATATCTATGGGATAAAGTGCTCAATATCAGAGACAGTCCGTTTCATGCTAGACGTCTACGATTACGTCTAGTGTGTATAATCCATTTGTATATGTGTATCATAATTATAGTTTTCCTATGCAGGATTTTAGTGTGTGTGTGTGTGCGCGCGCACACCTAGTAGGTATGTTTATCTATATTTGGTGGTTGTCCACACGTGTGAGAGTGAAAGAATACACGTCTGAATGTTGAGTATGAGTTGTCCCCCTTTACAACAGCTTATTTGGAGTGTCAATTTATTGATACATAAATGGTTGTAGAGAGGAAGAAAGAATGAAAGAAGCCTAGTCTTGATGATTCAAACCCTGTACTGCAGCAGCACCTTCCACATTGAAAGAGGGTTGGTGGTTACTGATGCCAGTGGTCATACGGATTAGGAAATTTATGTCCTTGAATCCATATGTATGCAAATGGACATACCATATCAAACAGACCATGTATTGCATCCTACATCAGCAGTATGGGAGTAAGTTAAATACTGAAATGAGTGCAGATGTCTATTCAAAAATTACATTGACATTTCATTACAGTTATAAGACAAAATAACTTTATCTCCTTTTATTATAAAAATAGAGAGAATGCCACTTCACAATTTTGGCATTTTTGTTTTTGATCCAAATTGGTATCTGTTATATTTGAATTTTTATTATAAATTCAAAAGTTATCAAAAGAATTTAACACATATTTCAAAATATGAGAAAAGAACAAATTTGTGTTTAATAAATCAAATAGATTCTTCTACTTGATGATTTGGATGGAAAAACTCAAATTCTTGGTTCAGGTAAGAGAAAATATGTAACTAAACAAAATAGAGTAAAGTGAAGAGAGCACTTTTAAAAACTAGAATATTTTTGCAACACACTGACGTGTGTTGTAATCATTATAGTATTTAATATTGTTGAAGGTATTAATAACATTTTTTGTCAAGATTTACAAACTCTACATTTTTTTTCAATTTTGCAAACCAATCAATGAAATTTGAATAAGCTGATTTGTTTGGGAAAATACATTGACAAAAACCCTTCTTCACAGTTTAATAATTCCTTTAATATTATAGGACTTCATGGTAAACTATTTTTTTAAGAAAATTTTTTTTCCTTTTAACAGAAAAGAATAAATTCTTAGAATTTCTTACTCTTGAGCATGCAACATACAACTGGCCGCATGTAAATATTTCTTTCTGGAGCCAAATTTCAACTTCTTTAAGTATTTGACCTTGTTATTTGTTTATAGCTTTCACAAACACAGAGCGAACTTGAAACTGGATTCTTGCATATATAAAAAAACTTAAATATTTGCAAAAAAACAATATTGCATTTTTATTAAATATTTGTTATTTTAATCATTAAGTTGTTTTTAAAAGAGTGGCAGTATTTTGTATGTTAAATAATAAAACTTAACTTTTCAAAAGAAAAAAATATTAATGAAAATTTAATGTACTAAGCTATTCAGTTACCAAAAAAAAAAAAATCCATGTTTTTCATCCCAATACTCCATTAAAAAAAAAAAAAAAAAAAAAGTCTTAAATTTACAGTAAACTTGTTTGTGAATGAAAAGAATAAAAAGGAAAAGATTTGAAAGCAAAAACATTCAATTTTTCTAAAATCCTTTCAATTTGATTCTCTATACAATCAGAAACCTTATTTAACTTCATTGGAACATATTTTTTATACAAGACACAAACCATAATTAGTTCACTCCAATGTGTTTTTCACTTACTTTGCAACCAGCTTTAAGTGTTAAATAATAACAAAAAGAATGTAATTCAACAAACAACTTCAAATATTAAATGCTCAGTTGAATTTTGCTTACTTTTTCTAGAGCACTACAATCTTTATCCTTGTGTAAATAATGGTCCTGCCAGAAAAGTAGTAATTCCCTGAAAATAAAATTAAAAATTATTAATTATTGATTCTGAGCAGAATATTTTTTAAAATACATACTTTATAATTCTAATACACTTTAAATAAAATCATTGATAGTATTAAAACTATTACAAACAATGTTAATTGTACAATATTTCTATTAATTTCAGCTATGGTCATTTATTTTAAATAATTAATGAATTTTGACAATAAAAAAAATGTCATCTTGGAGGAAGTGATGGAACAAATTGGCTCTTAACATGTATTTTCTGTTTACAATTGCCTTCCAGTTGATCACATTCCCCCAAAAATTGACAGCTCAAAATTAAAGACTAAATAACATATAATCAACAAAACTTAATGTATTATGTTTGGTAATTAGATTGTGTATTTCATTATTGCAAAATAAATACATTCTTTTTCTTATTTGGCTGTTGATCTGGCTAAATTTTATGGAATTTCAAACTGAACCCTTCCTTTAATTTACAAGGATTAAAGTGTTGGTTTGTAAATTTGGTAGTATTGTAATTTTGAGTTCAATCTCTGGGCCAAGTAGTACAAACAAGACTAGCAGTAACAGAACAGTACTAAAAAAGAATGAGATAAGATGAGATCCACCTATACATGAAGAACAATTTACACCTGTAGATTTAAATAAAAGATACAGCTCGAAATTCGATGAAAGTTACGCTGATCAACAGACACCTGAAGAAGGCAGTAAAGTATAAATGTTTATAATAACAACAAAGATGAAGACAATCTGACTGGAAACAATAACTTCTCATTCTGGAAATTCAAACAGAAACTTGTGATTATTTATATATATCCTTGATAACTGTAGTGAAAGTGCACTACTGCCTATGAGGAGTTAAATACATGCTAAAAATATAGTTGATGATTGTATTTAAGCATGCAACAAACTGTCACTGGTGGTTGTTGACCTCATTGTCCACTTTTATATCTACATACACACTATCCCTGATATCAAGCACTTTAAGCCCATAAATATAGCATACCTTAAAACTATTATATCACATTTAAAAACACACACAGGGTGCAACGGACAAATTGTCGGCTAAATTATACAAAAATAAAACTGACATCTCATTTTAACAGATATATTTACTAAAATTACACAAAAAATTCAATAAAACCAGCACTGGCTTCAACCATGGCCTCCATAATCCTGGCAAATTTCAAGGAGTTTTGTTGGTCTCTTGCTTAACTGCACCCCACACATAATAACAAGGGGATTGCAGTCTGGGGAGTTAAGTGGTCAGATATAAGAGGTGATTTGGTCGCAGAAATTGTCTGACAGCCCTGACTGGATTCTCCTGCTTGTGTGGCATGGTGCAGAGTCCTGTTGCCAGACATAGGATCTTCCAGAAACCACCCTATTGACCAAGGCAGCATTACTTCCGCAAGGTACTTGATGTAGGCGTCTGTGTTAAGTCTGAGGCCCTCACCAACAAATTTGGGAGTTTCTTTTTTCATCACAACGATCAGAATGAGTTTTTCAAGCTACTCTATCTTTATAATCACAATTAGACTCATCCAACTCTTTCTGAATCCCCTGCACTAACAGATTGACACCCAAACAATCTGAAATGTTCATATTGGAGATTCCGGCATGAATACCAAGCAGTACAGCATGCTGTTTCCAAATTTCTAGCGTTTCATGGTGCTCTTTTTCACACAGACGGTGCTCAACTGACCCTACTATACTGTGCAGTTGACAAAATCAAAGAAAAACAATGTGTATGTGCGAAATTAAAGCTATAAAAATTTACCAATTGCACCGTGTGTGTGTGTGTATATATATATATATATATATATATATATATTGTGGGCATGTGGCTGAGTAGTTAGAACATTCGCTTTCTGACCATGAAACCTGTGTTTGAATCTCCACTGTTGATTTGTCAGGAAGTAGATTTCTTGATGATATCAGTATGGAGAAGAGGACGATCCCAGCATGTGGCATCTTGGAAAGTGCCTGAAAACCATACTACAGGTTGACCCAAGCCTTGTGAGTGAAATTGGGTAGGTGGAACGCTTCAGAGCTATCAATAGCTGTGCTAGCACAAAGTCATAAGTGACCTAGGGTTTGAGTGTGCTGGGCTTGTTTATTGATCATGCTAGATAGTTACAATGTCTTAAAAATAATTGTCGGACTTTGTCCATTCCATAATGTGTGACGATTCTCTGTGGTTCAATCAGTTAAGAGCATGTCAGGCTAAATGACATTTCCATATAGGATACAAATTCGAATATTTTCTATGAAAATTTCTCAGACATTCAGGCCGGTAAATGTTGTTTAATACTTTTTATTATAAACAGAACATTTAATTAAATATTTGTATCTATAAAAAGAATGTATAAACATAAAAATGTCTTAAAAATAATTATCGGACTTTGTCCATTTCATTATATATATATATATATATATATATATATATATATATATATATAAAAACCTAAAAATAAGAGTAGCAATTAGAATATGTGTATAACTAATTTATTATCATTTATTAAAACATATACTCATGATAGATTTAAATGCTAAATAGAAGAAAGGCCTTCATTAATTCATTAGGACAATATCAACATTGTCAAGCGAATCTAGTTTTAAAATTGAGCATCTGCAGGACAATAGTTATATCTTATTTTAGACATTTTGTTTTCATTTTACAAAATAATAAATCCATGTAAACAATTGCAGAGAAAAATTTAATGCGCAAAATACCTGAAATTTCCCATAATGGATCCGGACATATTTGAATCTAAGAGATCGTCTTTTTCATCTTGAAGAGCTCGTAAATATTTTGGTAAACTATCCTTTTGATTGGCAAACATTAAGAACACCAGAGTTGTGTTTAAACAGCTTACATTTTCCTGTTGAACAAAAATATTCAGAAATTAATTTTTATTTAATTTTAACAAAGCAAAAAACAAAACAAATATGCATTGCTCAAAAGAGGTCAGTATATTTTGAGAATTCAAATTTAGACTAATTGAATAAACTCTTTGAGCAGTCATTCAATTGCATATTAAATAATCTATCTGACCAGAGGAAAAAATAAGATTCTTAGAATTTGGTTGGGACAAATATTATATATATATATATATATATATATATATATAAAATACACTAAAAAAATAAAACTAAGTTTTATTTTTGTTGTTGGAAAGAATATTATATTCTGTTCAAAAGAAAATAAAAATTCCCTGATTTTATTAGAGCAACAAAAAGAGACGTTAAAATGCATTTCAAAACAAAAAATGAGACAATTTATAAAAAAAAAAGAAAAAAAGAGGGTAACAAAAATATATATTATCATAAAATGGTAATACTAAAATATAATAATTAAAGACAGCTAAACTGGTTTACCGGTCTTCTCTCAGCAGAGCAAAATTCAAGGAAAAAAATGTTCACAGCAATTAAAAAAAAAATTATACAACCTCAGACTGTCATATATAATAAACAAAACATTATAGGCTAATTACCTTTAAGTCCAACAACAACTCCTCCTACTTACAGAAAAATGGCTGGCAGGACTCAATATACACAGATTCCAAAACATTCAAGTGATAATCGGTATTAGCCTTACTTAATATGGAGAACATGTCCAGGCTATAAGACTGGGGCACATTGCTGATTTTTAATCAAATATTCAGTTATCACTGATCCTGATTCATTAATACACCTCTATAAACTATCCCCCTTTCCCTTGCAAATATTGGCTGGTACACGTTGGTTAATCTAGGCTTAGAAAAAATGTCGCATTTTCCACCCACTAATAAATTCAATTTCAGAAATTAATTTAGTTTCCAAGTAGATGATGAAGTCTTGATGAACCAAGGTTTTAATCAAATTGATTTTCAGCTGTTTAGAACAGAAGGACCCTACTGGGTATATAATAAACATATAAAGGTTGGTTTCTGTTACATTGATATAAGGAACCTTGTTTTTGATCTGTGTACCATCACATCGGGAAAATGAACAACAACTTTGTTTTCCTTTTCATATATGAAATGCAATGCCGGGTACAATGCATTAAGTGCATCATAGAAAAACACAGCCTCAACCTCATTTTCAAACATACAAAAGGTGTCATCCACACATTTTATTAACATAACACGTGGGTCCTTCAGCACGAGCAAGTAGAGCTTGATAAAAAACAAAACAAAAAAACAACAAATATATTAGCCATTGTTAGCCCTAATAGACTATCCATTAGTATCCCCTCTATATGCCTATATATGAACTTATTAAAGTTAAATTCTATGCACATGGTGACAAACTCCATAAAGATGGCTTCAGGAATATGCCGGAGTTATGTTACAATGCATCAACACAAATACCAACATTTTGTTGCAACAGTACACAGGTGAACAAACTACTAATATCAAATGAGCATATAAACTTAATTAAATGATTGCTGAAAGGAAAGTTCTGTATATAGTTGGCAAAAGTAAATTAGTCTTTAACCCAATAAAATTCCAGCACAAGCTGCAACAATAGAGAACTACTTTGCCAACTTGTGCTCCATTGATACTACCATAGATAAAATCAGATGCAAAGGAACATCATCACCATGAGTAAAGCATACAAGCATGATTGTATAGGACTCTCTGGCCTAATAGCATCAGAAATATCCACTGGAAGGACTTTATTTTTAACAAAACGAAGTAAAAGTTTTTGAAAGTTGAACTCCATTGACTTCTATTTTGTCCAGTCTCAACCTTATATATTTGTCTCCATCATGCCAACACCCTTATTGGAAGTATACATGCAGCGAAACATTTACTTATTAAGAATTGTAACTTTTTTGATGATTAACTTATGAAGTAGGCCTCTGTGTTGAGACTGAGGCACTCACCAAAAAATTTGGGAGTTCTTTTCTTATCAGAACAATCAAATAGTTTTCCAAGCTGCCATACCTTCATGATCACTATTAGACTCATCCAAATCTTTCCTGAATCCTCTGAACTGTCCTCAGACTGACACCCAAACACTCTGAAATGTTTGTATTGTAGCTTCTGGCATGAATGCTAATCAGTACAGCATGTACAAATTTCTGGCGGAGTGAATTTTTCTTACAGATGGTGCCCAACTGACCCTACTATACTGTGCAGTTAGCAAAATCAAAAACAATGTGCATGTGTGAAATTAAAAATAGAAAATGGTGACAATTTACCTGTTGCACCTTGTATATAAATTAAAATTGGACACAGTGGCAGTCTGTTACATGCTTCAAAGCAATCTTTTGGTTTGGAGATTGTGGTGAAACATGAGGCAGATTGATGCTGCCTGGTGTTGACCTAAGTGTCCATTTTTGAGCATTTTTACTCAAATATAGCATTATATATATATATATATATATATATATATATATATATATATATATATGTGTGTGTGTAAAAATTCAGATATAAATAAAATGTATTTGTAAAAAGAATTTGTGTGTGTCATGTGTGCACAGTCATGCATTTAGACTTTTAATTGGAATAGTTAACAGTGTTTCAATGTCTTGGTAGGAAAATGAATGTCAACAAATTGCAACTGTCTTTTTTTTTAGGTTTTTCTTTTTTTCTAAAATATATTCAAGATAACTTACATGAACACTTTTGTTTAAATGGTCAGGGTATAATTGAATATTGAATAATTCTTTAGCTAACATGAAATTTTTTGAAAAGTTCTTTGGCTCTTTCTTTTTCTTTCTGGAAAGATTTTTTTTTCCTCTGTATAACTTTATTTTTTTAGCAAATACTCTAATCAAATATAGGATGGCATGGGAAAAAGTTTCCTATTTACCTGCGTAAGATTTTGAACACTTATTATATTGATCAACTTGCGCAAGTATTCAAGCTGTTGCTTAAAGTCTGCTATGTATACCAACAAGCGATTGTATTTTCGGAAATCTGAAACAAAACAAAAATTCATTTAAACAGGAAGCAAAAGATGTAAAAATAAAATCTTTATAAATCAAGAGGGGAGTGGAAAGAATCTGATTGTGTTTTAACATGAAAGATTATATATACTCTTTGATGTTTAAATCTTGGTTTTAGTTTAGAGAATACATTGATAAAGTAAAAACTAAAGCAAACATAATTCAAGCAAAGTAGGAGCAGGAATTATGATCAAATGGTCACGTGATCAAACAACTTTTCTGCATTCTGAGGTTTCTGTAAAAGTCTAACAAATGTGTGATGCAAAGTTTTGGTTTTTATTTTTTAAGGAACATTAACCTCATTCTTTTGTTAACATTTCCACCAATCCATTTTAAAACTGTTTTAAAGTAAACAAACTCTAAAAGAAAGAAAGGAATTGCTTTCTCCCCCAATATAGAAACCATCTCATTTCCAGCATTGCATACAACACATTCTATATTTTGTTATACATGGATGTGCTCTCCAATTCATCCCCTACAGAGCAAAGAAATTTACACTGGCCTTGAGTTGTGCATATATCTGTCAGGTTATGTATTCAGCTTCTTTTAATTTTCTAACCTTCCAGTATTTTTCCTTATCTGTTATTTGGACATAATCCCAGACTTTTCTATAACCCCATGTGAATATAATTTTTTTGTACACCTGAAATAGGCTGTAGAATGGATAGGCTGAAATGTTATATCAAATAAAAAAAATGTGTTCAAAAGTCCAAACAACTCTTAGAATGATAATGCCTTTTATTAAAATTACAGAAGGCATTTGTTTTTTATTCTTGTTTCTACATGGAAATTACTTTTAAATAATGCCTTATGATTCATTGTAAAACAATTCTATACTTGGAATGTGAATCATTTAATAAAATTAGTATCAGCAGGTTGTGTAAATATTGTTTTTCACTAAAACATAAAAATACTTTTTTTTTTAAAAGCAATTTTTTGTTTAACGATGTCTGATTCAAACAAACTATTCTCTGCATTTAAATGGTTAGATGTTTAACAAAGAATATGGCAAAAACATATGTCAGAAAAAAAGAAGAAATCTTTGGCAAAAACGGTTTGTGGTGAACATTCCTGAACAGAATATGGACAAATTTGTCTAAAAGAAAAGACTTATAAAAAAAACCCCAAAAAACTTATTGATGGTGGAAAGGAAGAAATAAGCAACAGTCATTTTTGGAAAGTGCTTGTAATAAAACAAAATTCCAAAATGTTCACTACATATTGTTATTTTTGATTTGGTCAGCAAAAAGATCTTTAAAGTTATCAATGATCAGAGTCTGAAATTAGATATTTCTTTACTTTCCTGCCCTACTTTCATCATTAATCACTGGAGCAGGCATTTATTTCTGTGCTCTTCATGAACATACAAATTCACATAAATATTTTAAATTTTTTGTGCAGAATTACCTACATATGGCCACTGTAACAGCAAAGGAATATTTTTTTTTTTTTTTTAAACTGAACATTTATCTTTCAGTAACTTTATGTAGCATAAATAATTTGATATTTGGATCAGTTGGGTGTTACTAGTAATGTCAGGTAATAGAAATAGAAAAAAAGACTTAGTTAAAGAAGTTTGTAAAAAAGGAATAGGAAATGAAGCAGAAAAAAATAGTTTCAAGAAAGAAAAGGTGGGGTGGGGGGAAAAAAAAAAAAAGAAAGCTGCTCACCATCATATTGTTCATCTTCTGAAAAATGTTCAAGTGAGAGTATGAGACTCCGAAGGAACATATTGGAATCCACTAAATTTCGGTTCACAGTTAAGATGAATTTATCAAACTGTAGGGGAAAGACATTTAGAAACTTGATTTTAATTTAAATAAAGAAAAGCATATAAAAGATTTTAATGATTTATTAACAATTGATTATTAAAATGAGTGATGACTAGCTTCTGCTAGGCTTGTTAACAACTGCTCTTACTGTAAAAAATTTATCTATTCTCTCTCCTTGTTTCTTTTATTGAGTCTTGATTAATGTTGTTCAAATCAAATATGCATTAAATACAATAATTTTTTTTATAAATTACTGTAATATTTTTTATTTTTTGATGCATAATAATTTTGTGCTGAAGATGAATTCAAATTTGTTTTTTTTTGTTTTTTTAAATCCCTAATGCTTCGTCTTCTATTTATAGTTATGTTGCCACCAATTTTTTTAATTTAGCGTCGCTAGATTCAAGATTTCCTTGTGATTTTTTTGTTACTTTCCTCTTTCCCTTAATTTCTTTAACATAATGAATACTGATAAACTATATATACCAACAATAGTTTTAATATATGTAAGATTATGTAATTTAACATGTATCAAGGTGAGCAGAATTTTACCAATATGGGTGCTCAATAGAAATCTAGAGCAATAAATACAAAAAGTTCACAATACTTATTTAAAACAACTAAATATTTTATCATAATTTGAGGAGCATTAACATTGTGAAATTTAGTTGGTCATAGATAAGTAATATATATGTGTGTGTGTGCGCGAACAAAAAGACGAGAGGAAAAACTATTCTGAGCAGACATGTTTCGTCCTCTGAGTGACTTTATCAGGACAAAAGTTGTCTTTTTGTTGTTGCTGTCTTGTCTTTTTATTCATTTTGTTCCTTTACAGAAACACTAATTGAAAATAATTTAAATTGTGATGCTGGCACCTAGGATGGGCTCGGCCCAACCGACCCGATATTGTGTAAGTGAATCTGTTCTATGATCAGTCTTCCCCTCCTTTTCTCTTTTGTTTCTTTCTGTCTTTCCTTCTATTTCACGCTCATACCAAGGGCACATGAACTTTGAGGTGCTCCAACCCAAGAATATACTGGTTCCAAAATCACGTGACCATTGAGCAATTAACCACGAGTTAGCTCCAGGCAGCATCAGGCTGCCCTGCTGTGATCACATGACAAAATCCCTTTGAGAGTTGCTTGAATCTTTGGCCATCACGCAGCCACCTCCTGATTTGTTACCAAATACTCCTGCATGCTTGATGAAGGGCAAAGGGAACCCACATGACAAATTTTGGGGATAGTGAAAATTTAAAATACAGAGGCAGTTGATTAAGACCAGCGAGTAAATCACTCCGATTCTTATACAGAATGCCGACTGGAATAAAGAAAATGGCAAAGTCTGTTGACTATAGAAGAATATCTGTGATATTGAACAGAATTGACCAATGAACATCTGTATTCGTCACCGTGGATCCTAGGCCATTCTGAATAAAGAATCCAGGAAAATTGCTGGAAAATGAAATATTATTTTTGTATAAGGACTTTTGCCTTGGTAAATTAGAGATCTATGTGGAGATATCAACTAGACTGATCAATGCATTTGCCTATCCAGACAGATGAATGATTTCTTGTTTTCCTTTTGCTATATATGTATATATTTGTTTATATCTTGTTTGTCTATAACTCCTTTCCTGTGGTTTCATTTTGAAATCCTTCATCTTTTGTTTGCTTTTTGTTGTCTCCCTTATGTCGTTTACATCCCAGAATGAATTGGGAGAAAGGATTCACCTTTTCCTTTGTTTTTGAACGTGTGGTTCACCTATATGTCCATAAATCCATAACTATATATATATATATATATATATATATATATATATATATATATATATATATATATATATATATATATATATATACACACACACACACAAAAAGGTGATAAATTTTGGCTAAATTACGAAAAATAAAAAATAACACTTACATCTCATTTTAACAGATGTATTTACCAACATTACACAAAAATATTTCAAAATACTAAAAGAGTAAATTTATTCAATAAAACTGCCATTGGCTTCAACCACAGCATCCAGACAACTTCAGAATCACCTGCAACTCTTCTGGATAGCCTCTTTAAATTGGTGAATGCTGCCATAATCCTTGTCTTCAGTTCATCTTTGGTGTTACAAGGAGTTTTGTTGATCTCTCACTCAACTGTGCCTCAGACTCAAGGGAATTGCATTCCAAGGAGTTAGGTGGCCAGATGTAAGGGGTGATGTGGTTTTCTGACAGCCATGTCAGGGTTCTCCTGATTGTGTAACATGGTGCAGAGTCCTATAGTCAACAATAGGGTCTTCAATCATCCACCCTCCTGACCAAAGCATCACTACTTCCTCAAGGCATTTGTGTTGAGTCTGAGGCCCACACCAACAAATTTTGGAGTTCTTTTCTTATCAGAATGATCAAAGTGAGTTTTCTGAGCTGCTATACCTTTGTAATCACCATTAGACTCATCTGACTTTCTGAATCCTCTGCACTGTCCTCAGACTGACACCCAAACACTCTGAATAGTTTGTATTGAAGCTTCTGGTATAAATGACAGGCAGTACAGCATGCAGTTTTCAAATTTCTGGCAGAGTGAATTGCATCATTGCATCCTCTTTTTCTCACAGATGCTGCCCAACTGACCCTACCATACTGTGTAGTTGACAAAATCAAAAACAAACGTGTGTGCAAGAAGTTAAAAATATAAAATGGTGACAATTTACCCATCGCACCCTGTATATATAAAATTATAACCAAGCATAAGAAAGAACAAAATTGCTTTTACATTATTTAATAAATTTATTCATCAGTTAGTAGCATACTAAGTGAAATTTGTAAAATATTATAAGTATGTTTGATATTTTAAAAAACTATATCAAATTATATAAGTCATTAAAAGTTAAATCTTTTAGGATTCTGCCTTATCAAATGTGTAGTCTGCCATTTCACTTTCTCATTCCTCCTGAAAATTTTCTTTTTAAATACTCATTTAAAAGATATGCAACAAGAAGTTTGATTTTTTTTACCTTACTCTCCGTGTTGAGAATGAGGTCAAAAGATTTGAAAGCCTCAATGTTGAATTTGATAAGTTCACCCAGGAGATCGAAACTGCTTTGGAGTATTTCTTTATTTGCAATATCATGTTTGACAATGTTACCTGCAACATGCTGAAGGAAAAAAAAAAAAAAAAAAAAAGGATAGGAAAATGAAGAAAAAAAATAGAGATAGACTTTGCTATAATGTAGAGTTTGAATTAATTCACCATTTTTAGGACAACTTTACAATTAAACTTCTCTTTTGACAGAAGCAGTTCAAATTTTCTTTTAATCTCTCAGAATTCTTTTAATCCTTCAAAATACTCTTGGAAAAAGTATGACTCCTCTTCTTCTCCCCCCAGCTATGGGTAAAAATAGCAGACCAGGTTCTATAGCCTTGGACGGCCTTGGTCAAACGCTATTTGAAACTATTCTGAAATAATTTAAACATTACTGGAGAAAATTTTTTTTATTTTTGGTGGAAGGGAAGATTCATTTCTGGAAAAGTTTATTTAAATAGTGTCTTATTACTCTAAACATTATTTTAGGGGATATCCATTTTTGAGTAAATGCCCTGCCCCTTTTATTATATATAAACATTCAAAAGACTTAAAGAGAAATGTGCTCTCCAGCAGGGTTTGAACTTTGTAAGAGAAACACCTTTCTGATCAAGCCTGCTTTAGACAGCTTTGTCAGAGAGAGAGAGAGAATATCACAACCCAGCAAGGTTCAATTACTCTTTTAAAGAATACATATCTTATTCAGATTTTCACAAAAGAACATATATAATTTTTTTTTTTTGAATCTGAAATGTATACAGAGTAATTTTTAAGAAATTAATGGATCTTGTTTTTTTTTAATCTAACATTTATTATTACTTTAAACATTTAAAACCAAATCCATTGTGTTTTAGTGGATGCTCATATTTGAGTAAAAATGGATATCCATTAAAATAACATTTATAGTAATAAGAAATAATGTCAGTGTAGTGATATGCAAATTAGTATAATTTGCATATGAGCAGGTAGCTCATAAATGGACACCAACGAGAACGGAAGTGGAATAAGAACTTAGTGGATACACGACATAACAATGGCGTCGCCGATAGGATACTCTTTGGTCCTTGAAGACCCAGAGTACGTGAACACGGGATTCGTTGCTTTGCTGCTAATGCTAGATGTAAAAAGTTGAAAGACAACAAAAACAGAGGAGGGAAATGAAATCACCGACTTGTTCATGGCTACCGCTGGTTGTGAAGCGATTATGAAGGTTGCTACAATGGTTTACCCTCGAGAACTAGAAGAAATGACTTTCAAGAAATAAGTCAGGTTATTAAGGGAAACATGAGGCCAAAGAAAAGACTGGTGATTGCAGAAAGGACCAAGTTTATGGCAATGAAGCAGGAAGTGGATGAACCGATAGTAAAATATTTACACCGTTAAGAAGTGCGAGTAAATACTGTGAATTCGAAAAACTAGGAACAGGCGAGCAGACAACGGAAGAAGAATTAATCCAACTAAGATTAATTGAAGGTATGCATAATTCGCACATAGATATAAGTTAATGGAACAGTTACAACTTACAAACATGCCTTTGAATATGTGTATAGAATTTATACAACAGCAGGAATTAATACATACCTACAACCAAAATAAAAATAAATCCTACGGAAGAAACAATGGCTGAAACATATACGGTACAAACAAAAAGAAAAAATTATGCGTACTGTGGAAAAATTCATGAAATGAAAAAAGAAAAATGCCCAGCCTTTGGAAAGACGTGTTCAAAGTGTTTAAAAAAATCACTTCAAAGAATGTAAAACGAAAAATGTGGAAAGAGTAGAGGATGAAAATAGACAGATTTTAATGTAAAAAGGATAATATACAAAATACTGGATCTAAGAACGGAGATACAAAAATAAAAGTGAAAATCAACGACTGTATTGTCGAAATGCAAATCGACACAGGTAGTGACGTCACGATAGTACCCAGAAATTTGTGGGAAAAAATGGGAAAACCGTTTTTAAAAAAAACCAACGTACAACTACGTCAGTTTGATGGCTCGATTATAGCAATTATGGGTTACTTTGAAGGTTCAATAGAATTAAAAGAAAAATATGAAATAGTACCCATTATAGTTACAAATTGCCGAAAAACGCATGGACTACTGGGGAATGACGTGTTAAAAATAAATTCAACGAAGTTGATTAATGAGATAGAAATAGAAAAAACAGGAAAATTAAAAAACTATGAAGCTAGCCTGAAATTAAAAGAAGATGTTTCCCCCTCCTACTACGGGTTTAGAAAAATACCAGTGCATTTATTACCATTGGTAATAGCTAAATTGCGAAAAGCTAATAAAGGAAGACTTATTAGAACCTGCCCTCCAGGAGGAAGTAAATGGGCATCACCCATCGTGGTATTGAAAAAAAAGATGGTGACCTGAGAATTTGTGGAGATTATAAAATAGGGGTGAACCATAAAGTTTGTGCTGACTGTACCCTATTCCAAATGTGGAAGTAGCTTTACATAAGCTTGCTGGAATGAAAGTATTTTCGAAGATAGACCTAAAATCAGCTTACCACCAAATACCGATAAATGAAAATTTTAAAGAAGTGACGACTATAAACACACCTATAGGCCTGTTAAGGTGGAAAAGAATGCCGTATGGCATAAAAACGGTAAGTGCAATTTTTCAAAAAGCTATTGAAAAGTAATAGGAAATGTTGAAAATACCATCTGTTATCAAGACGATATATGTGTTGGAGATTTAAATGAAGATGATTTAAAGAAAAAAACTGAAAATATACTGAACCGCTGAGAGACGCTGGTATGACAATAAATACAAAAAGTGTGTAACCAACAGTAATGAAATATCATTTTTAAGTTACTCAATATCAAAGGAAGGGATCTCTCCAGATAAAGTACTAATAGAGAAAATTCTAAAAGTTGCTACACCAAAAAATAAAAAAGAATTGAGTCCTTCTTAGGTTTGGTAAATTTTTATAGAAAATATGTACCAAAATATAATGAGTTGACAGAGCCATTTGCTAAGTTAAGAAAAAAATGTGGAATTCATTTGGTTAGAACACCAACAGAAAGCCTTTGAAAACTTAAAACAGATTCTGGCAAAAAGCCAATAGTACAAATTTTTGACCCTAAGAAGGACATAACTCTAACTACTGACGCTAGTGAGCAGTCCATATCTGGTATTTTGTTACAAGATGGGCATCCCATAATGTATTTATCAAGGAGATTAACAACAACTGAACACAATTATTCGAATATAGAAAGGGAGGCACTAGCCATAGTGTGGACAACACATAGAGCAAGACAGTTTTTGATGGGGAAAAAATTCTTGTTGAAAAGTGATCATAGACCACTGGAATTTATTTTCAACCCAAGAAAAGAGCTACCGAAAGTTACAACGTCCAGAATATTACGTTGGGCGATTAGACTGATGGCGTTCGACTTTGACATTGAATATGTTAAAGGGAATACGATACCGCACGTTGATGCCTTATCTAGATTGAGGTTTTATAGAGGGAGGACAAAAAACGACGAGGAATTTGAAGACACATTCTTGCACCTTGTAGAAACCGATGTAATATCTGTAGATAAAATGGCTACTGAAACTACAAATGACCCAGTGTTAAATAGAATAATGTCGAGGATAAAACAGAATCGCTGGGGAAATTGTTCAATGGCTGAAAGACCATTCAAAGAAATCAGACATAAAATGACTATAGAAAACGGGATAATATGTAATGGAGACTTGGTAGTTCCCCAGAAACACAGAGGAGACAGGTTATAAAAAAAATGTAACATGACGTACATTTGTGGGAGTGGCAGCTACGCAAAGAAGATTAAAATTGAAGCCTGGTGGCGGGGTACTCAAGAGACGTAGAAGACTACGTAAAAAGATGCAAAAATGCACAGAACTCAGGAATTTTAAGCAAAAGAAAATACATGTATGGCCCTCGAGAAGTAGAACCATGAAGCAGAGTACACATGGACCATGCCTATGTCAATGGGATAGGACTATTATTAATATTAGTAGACGATATTCAGGTTGGCCTGAAGTGGTGAGAGTACCTGATAAAAAAAGTACCACCGTAAAACAAATATTAAGAGTAATATTTTCGAGGAATGGGACACCGAGAACATTGGTGACTGATAACGCACCAGAATTTGTGGATGCTGATTTGCATGAATGGCTAAGAAAAATAGGATGCAGACCTTACAAGACCCCTCCCTACCACCCTCAAAGTAATGGGGCAGCGGAAAGGATGGTCCAGACGGTAAAGAAGGGCATAAAAGCATGCTTGCAACAGAAGGAGGAAATCGATGCTTTCCTACCAAGATTACTATTAAGTTACAGAACAATTCCACATGCAGGCAGGCCGGAAAGTCCATCTGCCTTAATGGGCAGACAATTAAGGTCCCCTTTGACTATGTCATATGCCACAAATCAAAAAGATGTGGTACAAAAGAAATAGGAATATGCAACCAGAGTCAGCCGAATTTATTATGCAGAAAGGACATAATACTGCAATATTAAATAAAGAAAATGGGAACAGTGTTCTAGCTCATGCTGACCAAATAAGATCCCAAGGAGAAGAATCTGATGAGGAAATGCCTTCAGAGATGCCCATTATTGATGTATCAGAAGAGTTAATGCAGAATGAAACTGCGCAGGAAGAAGTAGAGAGGGATGAGTTAGAAGAGGAAGACCAGAGTATGCAAGAGGAACAATTCGATTATAGGGAAAGACGTGATAGATCTCGATCTCCAAGGGAAAGGAGAGGGATAAAGGAAGATGTTCAGGAGGGCACAAGAAGAAGTACAAGAAGTACTCGCGGCATAAGGCCCCTCCGTTATAGGGAGATGTAGTGATATGCAAATTAGTATAATTTGCATATGAGCAGGTAGCTCATAAATGGACACCAATGAGAACGGAAGTGGAATAAGAACTTAGTGGATACACGACATAACAGTCAGATTAAAAACCAAATCCATTAATTCCTTAGAAATCACTTTGTGGTGGCTACAATATTCTTGGATGATGTCAACTAGAAGGCAAAATGTTAAATTTCTAACATACATAAATATCACACTTACCTGGAGTAAATCTCTTCTCATAAGAAAAATTTGATCACAGTAAGAAGTGTTCCCTCTTAGGTAGCTTTCAACTGCTCGAGCCAGCCAGAATCTATGGGAGATGAAAAAAAAAGTTTTATATTCTTTAACAAACAAAGAATATGTTTCTAACATAAGTTTATAAACATTTGAATCCTTTTTTTAAGAAATCAGAAACAGATTCAAAACTTTACAAGTATTATTTTCTGTTAAGAGGTACATTAAACTTGATTCTTATTTTTTTATCCAGAATATGGATATCATGCTACATAATCAATTTTAAAGTCAAATTCATATAAACTACCATTTCTATTTTACCTCTTTTAGTTTTATGCAAGTTTATATTGTTGACAAGAAAGCAGCTATATTTAAAGCACATCAATTAAAAATATTTAATCTAGAGAGCTTCTAGGAACCATCAGTGATTCCTATTCTCAATTATAGAGCTGTTATGTCAACCGTTCTCTGTTCCCATTGTAGGTTACTTCTTATTTTCGCTATTACAGACAAAATTAATTAAATTTCTTTCTAGTACCATTATCAGTAAAACCTGTTGCAGGTTACAGATAAGTCCTGACAACTTATACAACCCTGAAGGATGTCATGAAGAGAAATTACTTGGAATGGGACCTCAATAATTTAAGAGATCATAGCAAGCATGCAGTATCATCTTTATTTAAAATATAACCTTATGTTACAAATTTCAGTAATATATAAATTGCATGCAACATTCAGTTTGGCAGTCACTGAAAATATACAATTCTTATAGTCATTTTAATGAAGTTCATTAACTAAAAAAGAAAGAATATGAAGTCATTAATTGAGAATTATTTTTTCTTCTTTCTTTATTCTGTTAGAAAATGAGCCTCTATTCAAGAGGAATAATTTATCAAATGTCAGTGGTTTCTAAATGGTAGGGGGCATCTCGTAAGTGTGGCAGGCGAGGATAGCTGGTGAGGCAAAATGATTGAAATCAAAAAAATTCATATACCAAAGTAAATGATTTCAAAATTTAAAATATTATGAATTACTTGTAATTGCATGCAGGAGTCCCAGTATAAATGGTTATAAATAATTACTGACTGATTTTATCATTTTGATATTTTGCTTTATATTAAGTATTAAGAATATAGGGACTACAAATTGGAGGAGAGAGTTATCCATGATAATATTCTGACTTCGAATTCACGGTTATCTCCCTTTAAACCTCTCTCTCTTTTTTTTTTTTTTGAATGTACTTGTTATCACAAAAATTTTAAAAATGCAGTCCAGGGAAAAAAAAGTTTGTAAATGAAGAGTTATTTAATAATTAGAGTTTATACTCACCGAAAAGTCGATGTAGTTGGTTCTTTTTTCATAACTTCAACAATTTTTGTAAGCAAACCTTTGCTACCTCGGCACATTAGTTGTCTGAAAGAGGAATTTCAGAAAAGCTTTAAATGCAGCCACAAAAAAAAAAAAAAAAAAAAAAAGAGAGAGAAATGAAACTAATTAATCAGCAAAATTAAAATAAAAAGTGACATACTTATTCAAATAATCGAGATTCTGTAATGCAAGGGGCCCAGCATGAGCTGAAAAAGAAGAAAGATATGAAAACTTTTTTGTTTTACTTCTCCTCACAGTCATATAAGTAACATTTCTACAAATAAAAACCATTAAGAATATGACTATTGGTTAATCAGTTTATTTGTCTACTATTAGTCCTACAACTAGTATAATAAATCTAATTTATATCTAAATAATAATTCTATGGTAAAATATTCAGAATTAAAGTATTGAATTATGTTGGTAATTGTATAATTTAAAGATCTTATTATTATAAAAATAAAGATTGCTGTTAACTAATTTAAGAAGTGGACAAACAAAGCCAAGTGTTCTATTGATACAATTGTACTTATTAAGAATGTGTATAAGAATGTTGCTATTTCTTTTTTTTTTTTCTTTTTTTCTTTTAAAATCAACAACAATTTCCTCAACCTGGCTATACAAATGTGAGGAAAATAAGATTTATTTGCAGTAAAGCCATTGAAATCAAAATTAATTTTTTGACCAAATATACACTGAACCAATTTTTCTTGTAATCAGAGTAAACTTAAATCCGTAAAGAAAACCAAAGTTAAAAATAAAATATATAACATATATAAGTATCTCAGAAATTAAAACAAAAGATTATATGCAGATGGGGGGGAATAGCTTTGTGCCAGAATGTTTCAGTTCACAAAAAGGAAAAATAATTACAAATTAAAGCAGCAATCTCCTCAAAACTATTTTTGCAATCATAAAATCAACATCTACAGCATAATGTCAACATCTATAGCATAATGTGAACTAATATAGCTATTTTATATCATGTATAATAATAATTCTTTCTGAATTGTTGTTGTTGTAATAAAAAAAGAAAAGAAAAAAAGTAGAATCATCAAGATAAACAGAAACATTAAGAGATTTAAAAATCACAAAAGTTGACTCACCATTTATTTTCTTGATTTCATTGAGTTCATTTCTGGATAATAAAAGGTGCTTGTAACTGAAAAGAAAGAAAGGCAAAAAATATTTACTGGAGAATTCAAACATGTTAGATTCTATGAAAAGCCTATATGTGGAGAGGGGAAACACATACTTTGAATTGAATAAGAGATCATGGATAGAAATTAGATATCTACTGAATCATATCAGATTTGAAAATTATCATTATGAAAGTTTTGGATCCCATTTAATCTAAATATCTGAAGAAATTTTACAAAGTGTTTTAAGTACCAATCTTCAACTGTCCAATTTTTTATTGCAGCAATAAACATAAGTATAACATTGAATTATATTTTTGTGGGGACTTAATATATGTCATTGGGGGGGTAATGTAGATGACCCCCTGTTTGCCACCATTTTTATATTAGTAGTACAAACAATATGAGTTTTTAAGATATGGTTTTGCTGACCAGTAAAAAATTCATAGAAAAAAAGATCATGACTTTCATTTTTTTAATCTGATAAAGCAAATAAAAATAAAAAAAATTGTGGATGGTTTAAAGTTTTTTCTGATTGGTACCAAGATGATGGTGAAAAAAGTTTGGCCAACCAGAATCCAGAGAGCATATTGAACAAAGTAAATATATAAGTTGTCCAGCTGATCTTGATTAGACAATCATTTAATAGACAAGCAATACGAGATTTTCAATTATATAATTCAACATTCTAATTTTTCATCAACTGATAAAAAGCAATATTTTTTTTTTTTTTTTTAAATCAGTGGAAAAAAACAAAATGAACATTCATAAATGATATATTGATACTGCATTATATCAAAACCACAATGAAGAATGATAATTTTCAAGACTAAAAATCCCATACAGGGTGTGGTGGAAATACCTCCCATATAATGGTAAGATATTAGTGGCAATGGTGTCTTCATCTAGATAATATTACCATTATGTGGGAGGTATTTCTGCAGCATCCTGGATATATTTCTAAAAAAAAAAAAAAAAAAAAAAAAAAAAAGTGTTGCTGAAAGGGATAGAAGTGAAAAGAAACTTAAAAATAATAAGTGTCTTAGTTACTTACTCAGAATGATCACAAAAGCTATGAACGAGCCGAAGAAACTGGATCTTCAAAGCTACCTCCTATGAAAAACAAACAAATTTCATCATTCTGATAAAGAAAGAAAGAAAAGAAAGAAAGAAAAGAAAGAAAAGAAAGAAAAGAAAGAAAGAAAAGAAAGAAAGAAAAGAAAAGAAAAGAAAAGAAAGAAAGAAAGAAAAAAAGAAAGAAAGAAAGAAAGAAAGAAAGAAAGAAAGAAAGAAAGAAAGAAAGGAAAAAAGAAAGAAAGGAAGGAAAAAAAAGAAAAAAGGAAGGAAAAAAAGAAAGAAAGGAAGGAAAAAAGAAAGAAAGAAAGGAAGGAAAAAAAGAAAGAAAGAAAGGAAGGAAAAAAGAAAGAAAGAAAGGAAGGAAAAAAGAAAGAAAGAAAGGAAGGAAGGAAAAAAAGAAGGAAGAAAGGAAGGAAAAAAGAAGGAAGAAAGGAAGGAAAAAAAGAAGGAAGAAAGGAAGGAAAAAAGAAGGAAGAAAGGAAGGAAAAAAAGAAGGAAGAAAGGAAGGAAAAAAAGAAGGAAGAAAGGAAGGAAAAAAAGAAGGAAGAAAGGAAGGAAAAAAGAAGGAAGAAAGGAAGGAAAAAAGAAGGAAGAAAGGAAGAAAGAAAGGAAAAAAAGAAGGAAGGAAGGAAAAAAAGAAGGAAGGAAGGAAAAAAAGAAGGAAGGAAGGAAAAAAAGAAGGAAGGAAAAAAAGAAAGAAGGAAAAAAGAAAGGAAGCAAAAAAAGAAAGAAGGAAGCAAAAAGTCAATTTATCAATAATCCAGTGGCATTCTATAGGTAAATAACTGCAAGACAAGGCACAACAGAATAGTTTTATGAACATTTTTTACTTTTATTACTCTTTTCCTCTTTAGGTATATCATACTCATGACAGGATATATTCAAAGAGGAGGTTTGCAGAATCATTATAAAAAAAAATAGTCAGAAAATAACTGATGTTATCTTAGTCTATAAATTAGGTTGCTTAAAGTATGCATGCATGCATGTGTGTGTGTGTATCTGCTTGAAAACTTAGAAGTTAAATATTTATTAAGTTGATTGCTTGTATGTACAAGTGTGCAAACTTTATGCAAAACTAACACCAAATAAATGCAGTTTTTTCAGATTTATTATCATATCCAAATTAACAGTTCCTAATGGGGATAACTGATTTGCACAATCAACTTTAAAAATATATTTAAAAAATAACCATGTTTTATTATTCATCACTTGTCTAATTCTTTATCGTCTTTATAAATAACCTATTAATTTGTTGATAACTTTTAGAATTGTTTTGTTACTCAAATAAAACCATTTTTGCTTTGAAAATGTTAACCATCATTTACATCACAGCTTGAGAGTGAAGGAAAATAACGTTGGCATTTTTTAAGAGTAAATATCTTGAAAATAATAACATGCTATAAATGAAAAAAATGGCTTCCATAATGTTTAAACACATTGAACTATTATATGGCTTAATGTCATGAAAGTTCTTTTATGTTGGTTGTTTGGTGGGAAGTTGCTACAATTTGTTAGTATGTGCATATTATTGGTAATTTTTTTTTTTTTATATAAAAATCTATCACTGGTATTTTTACTATAAAAATGCATTGCTGGTATTTTTACTTTAAAAATGTCTTTTTATACTTTTATAGTGTCTTATTTCTGTTTGGTGAGGGGGGGACTATTTATCCATAGATGGGACCCTAATAGGTGCTACCACTCCAGGTCAGGATGGACCTGGGAACAACAGCAATTAAGAAGTGGTTCCATGCTCCCAAAAACTTCCAATCTTCCAATCAAAGGATGTAGTTTATCTTCATATCCAGGACAAATAAAATAATGGATGGAAGGTTTTATATGTTGGAATCAGAAAATGATAGTAATAATTCTCGAGTTTAAACTTTTGGGTGAGTTCGTATATTAATCAAATTTTATGCCAAGAACCCATAAGTAACTTAATTATAGCATTATGCTTTCTTCTCAAACATTCTTTCACAAATTACACATTAAATCATTTATATTAAAAAAAATATATATATATATATATATATATATATAATACACTTACAGGACTACATTCACAACTTGAATTATGACCTATCAATCTGTGACGGACTCCATGCCTAGTCCTTAAAAAAAAAAAAATAAAATCATTACATTATCATCATCATAACATCAAATGTTGATGTAATCACAAAATTTATCAAATATAACCAATTAGTATTTACAAATATATCCTGAATAGCAAAAGAAAACTGGAATACATCTTTATGCTTATTGGATTACAATGAAAATAATGTTCAAACAATCAAATATTATATTTATATAAAAGATATATTTAAGGCAGTAAGGGTTCATTAAAACATATTTTAGTGGAATCAACTGATAAGGTTTGTTTAATTTTTTATGGACACTATAAATTAGATTTGCATTCATAAAAACTTTTATGGAAACAGGAAAAATGTAAACATTTGTTGGTCAATTTCAATAAAAACCATTTGAATGTATATAAAATGTATATTTGTTTTTACCACCAATTGAAAAAAAAACAAAACAAAAAACAAATGGAACTTCAAATGATAAAATTTCAATCTATCCTGCAGTCTAAGAATAGTAATTCATGTAAGCTTAAAATAATTCTTCATGACAGCTTTTTATGTGACTTTGTTAATTTAGGTGTTATAATTTCTATGGTAATTATCTTTGAAAAATGTTATTAATCTAACACATTCTAAGATTTACCACTGAAACAAACATTAAACAGCTTATAAATATATATTGATACAACACAAACTATTATGTAAGATGCTTGATAAAAATGAGTTAAACAGGAATTATTTTCAAGTCTTATGAAATTGATAAAAATTATTGAAATACAGTTAACATCTTAATGATTATTAAAATGGAACAGACCAACATTTTTCTTATACTTTATGTTTGGATCTACATTAAATATCATTGCATTCAAGCTTAGAAAAATTGGACTTCTTTTGAGTTACAAAAATGGCTGTAAATTGTATCTTGTGCTACTGGAATTGGTATATTGTCTGTTGCCATTATCTGTTGCTACCTTGTTTGGAGAAAAAATAAAAATAAAGAGACCTTTCTCTTATGGATAACACTTCTGAAGAAGGTTGTAGAAAGGAACAGCCAAAATATTGTGCTAACACCATCAATAATACAAAGGAGAAATTCAATTTGTCAGAGTCTTCTCAAAGTCAGACATGATCATTAACTTCATTAATTTTTTTTTTATTGTTTTTATCAATAACCAAATAATTAGAGAAAACCTTTTGGTAACCCCATAATCTATATACAATAGATTCTAAATTTTACACTGTCTTTTATATTATTAGCCACTTTTAATTTTACCTTATTACTATATTACCATGCTTTTTATTGAAATGTCTTTTCTTTCTCTAAGTGAATTTAATTGTAACTCATGTTCTTGGAGACGACTTAGAAAAAAGTTTCCATAAAAATTGATAAATTTAATAGTAGTAATAGTAGTATCATTAGTATAAATCTTAAACATGTAGTAACTGGTCCTTCAATTTCTAGACTGTTTCAACTTTTAGCCTCGACAAAAATTAAATGTGATGATTTTTTTTTTCTACTATTGACTCATTACAATCAAGTTAGAGAGGAAATCATTTCTGTAGAGCAATTGATATCTATTCTGCTACATAGAGAAGAGATTTTTGTAATAGTTGCAAAATAGGGAAGGCAACATCTTTTCCTTTTTTTCTTTTTTTTTTTTAACCAACCAGATTGTTAAATTAGTGCCTCTGACCCTCTTTAAATGAAGCAAGGATGGTAGTTAGTAAAAAGAGGATGAACAAAATCTAGAATCAACATCTAGCTTACTAGAGGTGGTGTCTCAAAGTCACCATGTAGAAGACATCAGAAAATCACTCCGTTATCTCCTTCTCCAAGAGCAATCATGGAAATAAACAAATCAAAAATAAGTGAAAATGGTATGAAGGAGGTTATCTCCCTTGGAACTGACCCCCCCCCCTCCACAAAGGAGAGACATGTGAATGCCTGTCATTCAGCAAATGTTTGTAACTAAGCAAAATAATAACAGGGGACAAGGAATGTTAGGACAATATACCAATAGAATAAGTTAGAAAATATCAAACAGGAAATGGAAAAGCTAAACACCAACATTTTGGGAGTATGCAAAAGTAGATGGATAAACAAAGGTGACATGACAATTGATGGACACAATCATATTTGCAAACAAAAGAAAAAAATGAAAGAGGATAAAGACTAATATTAGATAAATGCAAGAGGGAATGTCTTCTGGGAAGTGTCAGAAACTGAAAGGAAGCCATCATAGTAATATACACACCCATGTCAGAAAGTATAGAAGAAATAGGTAATAGCAAATGTCATGCAAATTGCAAGAGATTATCATTACCATGGGAGACATAAATGCAAAAAGTAGGAAAGGAACATGACAATAAGAGTCAACAAGCATTAACCTGGATTGTGTAACATATGTGGATCCATTGGAGTACACTGAACAATTAAATAATAACCAATACCTGATTTCAAGAATGCCTAAAATCCTTGTGGATATGAAAAAGAATCAAATAACACTAAGTAAAAGATTTAAAAGTACAGTTCTACACTCTAAAACATACCGGAGTTTTAACTGTGAGAATCATCCCAAACTAAGGATAAAATTTTGGAAATTAAAGAAACCTAAGCAATACCTAACTTACAATACAGACTTTTGAATAATGCAATTTGAAAACAGACATGATGATATAGTTTAAAATAAACATAAGGAGGTCAGTAAGTCAATGTAGAACAACTAAAAGGAAGCACTAGCAATATTAGCAAAAGAGGTCAACCCCTCAAAAAAGAAGTGAATGACAATTCTTGAACTAATGAAAAAGGCAGCAGATAAAACTAAATAATAGCAGATAATATAGGATGTTAAGCAAAGACACGAAAAAGAAATGCAAGCAAGCAATAGATGAATATCCCAACAAGAGGTGTACAGAGATAGAAATATTAAGAATATAGAGATAGTAGGCATGCATAAAAAGATAAAAGAAATAGCAGGATAGAAAACATGCCCTTTGGCATGTAAAAAAAGGAACACTCATAATAGAAAAAAGAGACTATAAAGACAACAAATATGTTGGAGAGCTCATCTCTGACAACAGAAGAGAGAAATCTCCAATATAAAATTATGGAAGGACATTAAAATCTGAGGTAGGATCAACATTGCCAAGATGAATATAAATAAATTGAGATGCTGTCAAGCTGTAGGCAGTTTTGAGATCAATAACAAATGAAATGCACAACAGTAGCAAAACACTAAATGTAAATATAGAATGCAAAATCATCCAAGCTTTAAACTAACTGGCCAATGCTCACAACCACTTGTTGGTGTTCAACAAAAGCTGGAGAAGAGTGAAGTCGCATGCACACAAGGTAACACGATGAAAAACAAACACTATGTTAAGAAATAAGAACACAAACCCTGTTTTCTATATAAGTAGGTGCTTTATTCAGGGCTTTGACTGCTTATCTGGATATAGGCAATACTTAGGACAACTTCAAAGTCAGCTCTTCCTCCCTATCAACTTCTCATCAATGTACTCATCCCGACATGGTGGATGACAATACGAAATGGAGATTTTAGAACTGTGACACAGACATATCCGTCTCCTACAAAAGGTGAACCAGAATTCTCTCAGATTCCAAGAATGATTTAATATAGATCAGCACGTGGACATAATCTGTTTCTGGTTTTGTTGACATTTGATACTAGAAAAGCACAGATTCACCCCCTCTACTACCTATTACCCTTCGGTTAAAGTGGATGCCACTTAAAAGTTTGAACTTCAAAAGGAAATATCTGCTGGTCTATCAAACAGAAACACTTGAGATTGAGATAAAACTACATCTTCCCCTTCTATGTGGGTGTCTATAGTATTGTCGAAATTTAGCTTAGTACAGCCAAACTCGGCGCAAAAAAGGTTGGGAAACTTTGTCATTACGTCCAATGACGGGAATCCCGCGTAACACAGTTAACAGAGACCTGAAACCATGAATATACAACCATAACAAGCGAGATAAAGAAGAAGGAAAAACCACTTGAAATAGCTATAAAATTTATTGTGGGAAAAGAAAAAAAATAAAATGAGGGGGGGGGGAATAGTCTGATGTTAAAGTTCACTGGTACAACTTGAAAATAACTGGCAAAAACGTCCTTTTGGCGAGCCCTTAAAAAGGACTCCAATAACAGTTTAGAGAGTGAAAGACGTAGAGAGATAGCAGAAAGAGGGGAAAAATTAGACTTACAGTTCAAAAGAAAGCTTTAGTATTTTTTTTTAGTAGCTGGGCAGAAAGGTTTTTTAGATATTTTGAGTTGCTCTCCTTGGAAGATGAGCAAGATTCCTCTTAAGAATAAATGCAGACTTGTTTTTTCAAACTTTCTCTGCAAGACAAATTCAACTTCTTAGAAGATCTTTTTTTTTCATATACTTTTTTCACATCAGGATTTCGTCCTCCAATAGGATAAAATAACTCCTCGAAGGAAGGTAGCTTTTCAGCCGCTTGACTGACTTGTTTCTCTCTTCGACCCGATTATAGAAAGAAGACTTCCTTGCGAATGTTCTATTGTAAAATTCTCTTTACAATAATTACTTTAACCGTTTTTTTGATAAGTCTTTACTGACTTGTCCTTGGTAGCTGAACAATAATCCTCTTGATTACTGGAACAGAATCTTCAAGCAAGTTTTCTTTTCGTCGCAAGACAAGACGACTTATTGTCTTCACACTGCGAACACACTTTTTCTTTCTGGCTACTACTGACTAGATTTCTCTAATCTAGTCGAAAAGAAGCGGAAAATCATGTATGACCAATCGTTAGACACGATTTTGCCACGTGACACAGCAGCAGCAGTTCTTACACTGCACACAGAGGGAAAAAGGAGAGGAGGAAAGAAAGTAAGAGAGATAGAAAAATAGATACAGAAATTAAATTTCTGACAGTATCACACACAAACCTCACTCGATCTATATATAGTGATGCCAAAGAAGTCAGGTGCAAATGAATGAACTCCATGAAAGAATCAGCTTAATGATCTACATAACTAAATTTGTCATTAGGATTCTAAAGAATAGGACTCATAACAGAATTAGACAGGAATTTTGGCAAGAATAGTGTTGCTTTGATCAAGACACTGGGACAATAAATGCTATCTTTATGATTAGAATACTATCAGAGCAAACAATATAAATATAGAAAAACTTAAGCCTACATTTCATAAATTACACAAAAATGTTTGATAAAGTGTGACACAAAGATCTACTTGAATTGTTAGGAAAGCCTGATTTTACATGGCAAGGATAGTTGAGTAATCTGTAATGTTTACTGGGGACAAACAGTCAGAGAATAAGTTCAATAAATGAACAAAAATATAAAGAAGAGTAAAAAAGAAAATGATGCATTTTTTCACCAGATTTATTTAACCTAAACCAGAGCTCAGCAACCTTTTGCTAACTATGTACTGACTTAGGGTTTTAAAATCATTCAGTGTGCCAACAGAATATGTATTTTTATAAAAGTCAAGGTCAATATACCCGTTCTACAATATATTTTATATAGTAATATATATAGTATATACAGTGCTGTTCGATAAAAGTGACTTGCCTGATTTTTTTTTACTTAAAAATTTTTTTGCCTATTGTTTTTGGGGTCAAACTAATTTTTAATCTTACTAATATAAAGACCCCTTCCTGACCACCTAGTAAAAAAGTTTACCCCCCCTAAGGTATTCTATTGATAATTATAATTTTAGATATAAATGAGATTTAGGGAAAAACTGTGCAAAAAAAGTGACTCATTTATTTTCTGCAACTAGTAATCAATAGAAAGATAACCGAACAGCTTTAAATAAAGAATAATAGAGGTATAATTTATCTATAATAGGTAATATAGTTTGAAATATTTAATAATATATGGGTCCCCATTATTTTGAATAACCTTTTCAACCCTTTTTGGCATTGACTTGATTAGGTTCTGGCAAATCTCATCACCAAGCATTGAATTCCATTTGGATATGAAATTCACAATCAAATCCTCTGCTTTCTTGAGAGCCTGTACTTCATAATGCTCCATAAGTTTTCTTTGGGGTTGAGGTCAGGAGATTGGGGCGCCCATGTCATAACACTTACCCGCTTCTCATCAATGTGTTCCTTCATCAATTTTGATTTGTGACAGGGAGCATTATCCTGCATAAAAATGAGCTCAGTGGGGTCAATTTGCACCCTTTCAGCAGAAGGGAGCAGACAAGACTCTAAAATTCTCTTGTACTGCTTGCTCCTGAGGGTCTTTTCAATAGGTTTTAAGAAACCAGTTCCATGAAAAGAAAAGCATCCCCAGAACATTATACTGAACGGATGCTTGACAGTACTTACTGCTAAATTCAAAGAGATTTCAAAGCTGCTTCAGATTTTAGATCGCTTATCCTTTGAATTTAGCTCAACTTTCGTTTCATCGGAGAAGAGAACATTTAGTAAAAAAAATCAGGTGAGTCACTTTTATTGAACAGCACTGTATACTTTAGCATATATTAAAATTGAAACAACTAAATATCTTCTTTGCGTTGTAGTAGTTATTGGTTTGGATTTGTGATGTCATTTGCAGCTGTGTGCCATTGGAAATTGCTTGATGTGGCATGCATGCCATAGGTTGCCAATCCTTGACAATCTTAAGAGAAATACCAGGATTTATTATCATTGATTGATTGATTGGTTTTCTATGGCTTATCAACCTTTTGCAGGTGATTTAAAACAGAAAATATTTTTAGATTGTAAGAATTTTTTTTTTTTTTTAGATAATAGTAATAATAATAGTTTAGTGATACAAGTTACAAGTCTAATTAATTCATAGCTGGGAAAAAAAGAGGTGGATTTATACAGTTCCCAAGAGTATTTGTGCATAAGTGAATATAATGAACCCAACCAGAATTGGAACTTGTCCTTTCTATTAACAAACCAAAGCCATTACAACAAGAAAGAGACTGGATCCACAATGAAGAAAGGCTTGGAGAATCTAACACTCACAGGCAAGAGAAGCCAAGAAGGAAATTATGAGTAACCTACTTAATGAGTTTGGATGAATGGATGGCAGAACAAATGAAGGATGGTAAAAGATCAAAAGTTATTTAGAGCATTGAAAGATAGAAAGTTAGGGATAGCCATGAATATCCACATCCTGAAGAAACATGGCACCTAAAAAAAAGAAAAACAAAGATATTCATAGAAATATTTGTAGGATATTTCCTGTAACATGTATAGTACATGTCACTCTTATAATGTGGCAACAATTTTATGAATTTTCAAAATTTTGCATTATCAACCAGGTTACTGAAAAATCAGTCTTCATATATTTAGTTACCAGTTTCATTTGATCTTAATGAAGATGTAGTGATTAGTCACACATATTTTGCTTGTTAGTTTAGGACAACAGTTTATGCTTTCTGATGTGTCTAAAAGTTTCATAATTAGACAAAGACATTATTTATAACTTTTTGATATGGGACATGGTCATCAACTTGCCTTTAGCAAACACGCATCAAAATTGCGTAGGAGTTTCCATACGCATCTTCAGATTTTAGTAGTACCAACTGATAATTTTAAACTTCCAGCATTGCTTTACATTTTGTAAGCTTTGAAGTTATTAAAAATTTTAAATTTACTTTTATCTATCATAAAATGAGTCATAAGGCTGATTTGCCTTATGACCCATTTTAAAGCTTCAAAACTTGTAACATGGCTATTAATTTGAGATTTCAAATTTCAGGATATTTCAGACAAATGGTAGTGGCTTGTTGACATTTGTATAAAACAAATTGGCTTTCATCCTAATAGTGAAGATAGATGTTTGCCATCATTCAGAAAATGAACCTCTGAGATCCATTAAGTAATTATTGTACATAGACACAGAGTGACTAACAATGAGATGCAGTGTGTTTGGACAAAATATGCAGTGCCAAGAGAATGAAGATTTAATTTGCCTTAAAAGACAATTTTGAACGAAAGAACTAAGGATAGAAGAGTCAACTTACGCTTGGCATTTCCAAATAAACTGATCAAAGAGTTCACTTAGTCCTGGAGCTAGTTTTAATTCTGCTAGTTTCCTCTGAACCTGAGAAAGAAAAATTGTAGAATTAATTTTTGGATCCCATATAGAATGAGAAGAAAAAAAATTCCATCAGAATCTAACATGACTATAATTGAAAATTCAAGACTCCATTAAATTAAAAAAAAAAAAAAAAAAAAAAAAAATTTCAACTGAAGGAAGTAAATTGGCAAATATCTTATTAATTTACTGTTTAATTGGTTCTTTAGTGCATTTTTCAATTTTTACTTGGTGGCAATCGCAACACTGACATAAGAAATAATGGGGAAGGAATTGAAGGCCTTTTTAAAAGGAACTGAGGCCTTTTTTTATGTGACTTACTTTCTTTCTGTGTTTACCAAGTAGAAACAATCCGAGTACATAAACAACTTCAACCCGCTGTGCAAGGTCTTCTGTAATTCGCAAACCCTGTTGTGTCTTCAATGGTGAACCTCGTGCTCTGGCAACAGAAATTCCTATAAATACAAAAATAAATACAATTACATTTACTCTTTTTTCTGATCATTTATTATCATGCATCATATTGTCATGTAAAAATATTTTCAAAAACTGAAGTTTAAGAAAACACTTGATAGGGAGAATGAACAATTATTTTAAATAAATTTTTCTGTATTCATTACAAAATACCCCACAGTCAAACATATTGTTCAAGGTTTAATTACTGTACCATAGTGGACCTTAAAGAAGCAAGATAATTGTTAATAATCAAAGTATGGGTTTCAATAGTGAAATCTGAACTGACTTTCCTTAAATTTTTATAATGCAGAATATAAGAATTAACTGAAATTAACATTTTTGTGATTCCTTAAGCACATTGGGAGGAGGGAAAGAGATGTTAAGTTCTCTTGTCAGAATTTAAACACAGAAAAACAAAACTGAAAGAATAATAAGTTGGAAAATCTACTAACCACCCACAAAATCTTCAAATTCATCTGTGTTTGCTTCTTCTGATGTATCATCATCATCATCCATTTGATTTTCTATCCATTCCATCCAGCAGTCCAACTCACTAGCAAACCCTTGGAATCGTGGAGTATCTGTTAAGAATATACACATAACCAAACAATTTCAAATTAGATTATATCATACAATAAGGGCTTTAAGAAAGAAGAAACTCAAAATAGGTCTTTTTAGGGATAATTAAGTAATGTCTTTTAAGAAATATAGGATTTCTGTAAATAAATTCAGCTTCCAAACAAGTGGATAGCATATATGTGAAACTCAAAAGTCAGGAAAGATGAACATTTAATTTTATTTGCTGATATTAAAATACACTGATCAACTTTTTTTTATAATTATTTTGCAAAACATCCTTATTTCATGTTCGTGTGTGTGTGTGTGTGTGTGTGTGTGTGCGCGCATGTATACTACTGGCCAAAAACTTTTTTTTATTCCTTCGTATTTAAGTCTGCTGAATTTTAAATCCACTCTGAGTAGATGTGTTTTTTTTTTCTCTATTAGTTTGTACACTGCATTGTGCTAATATTACTTTTGTAATGATTGGTTATAGGCCCGGTCTGAGGTTAACCATGGAGAATTGTGAGATCAGTGCACTTTCAATACATTTTCTTAGTAAATTCTTTTCTATTCTAATCAGACCGGCATTTATTAAGTTGAAATTGTGCACAACAAGGATCTTTTGCATAATATCACTTTAAATGCACTGGTAGTTCACCATAATACATCTGACCATGATTTTGACCTAATAAATAGCATTTTACTACAATTCTTCAGTGACAATTTCTAACTTAAGCACATCAATTTAAGTCCATAGCCTAATGATGAAAAAATGTTTAACACAAATAGTTTTTAAAATAATCACTTAATCTCCTTATTAATGAACTTAACCACATAAATCAAACATTATGCAGTAAAAAATTCAGATCAAAATTCAGTTAATGACTTGTCAGGCTATGAACTTCCCATCCTTGTGCACAGCTGTTTAGACATCATTAAGAAGCAACTGTTATTTGTTAACTTACTTCTACTTTAGTAAACATCAATCAGAAGTTATACTATATATATTCATGTATAAGCCAACATCATGTATAGTGTGCCCCCAGGTTTTTTTGCATGTATTTTAACCCCTCTAGAAAAAAATTTTACCTGTGCAACCAATCACCAAAAATCTCTTCAAAAAATTACCTGTGTACAGTGCAACCTTTATTTTTGTGTAAAAAATTGATGATAAAAACTTGTACTAAATTCAAGTACCTACAGTAAGTTTCGCTGTACATGTGCTGTCTGGTTTCATATCAGATCAAAGAGTATAGCTTGATGACTAGTAACTATATCATTACATTAGAACAAGAATGTAATTGACAAAACCATATTACATCAGATGACCAATAACACACTTTGTATCTGTCGAAAGTCTATAGAAGCAAACATATTAATGAAGAGGAAAACAAAAAGACTCTTACACTCTTTTGCTTTTGAAACTGTTATGCTAACCAATCTTGGCAGTAGTTCAGATATTCCCAATAAAAGTTCTGTAAATACAAAAGACAAAATTCATCATCATCAAAAATATTTAAAGCCCTTCAGGGATTCTACTTGTTGCTGAATTGACAAAATATCACTAATATCATTAACTCACTTTGTATTCATTAAAAGCAATGAATTCACCAAGTATTTATTGCTATTTAAAGAGGCAGGCATGCTGCAACGTGCCGCGAAAGGGGCAGGCACGCTGCAACACTCCAAGTTTGGTTTGATTTGGTTTGCTTTATGGCATATCAACCTCAATGGGTTATTAAATGCCGATAAAATTTTTATTGCTGGTAATATTTTTTTTCCTTCAAAAATGTATTGCTGGTAATATTTTTCTTCAAAAATTTATTGCTGGTAATAATTTTTTTACAAAACATTTCTGGTATTAAAACCTATTTTTACACTTTCATAGTGTTTTTACCCCAGTTTCGGGGTTAATTATTTGCCCAAAACTGGGAGCCTAACAGGTGCTACCACCCTGGGTCAGGGTGGACCTGGGAACACCAGCAATTAAGAGGTGGTTCCACGCCCCTCAAAACCTCCTGATCAGAGGACTGGCTGCTGGACGTAGTTTATCAGCTTACTCAGGACACGGATGTAGTTTATTGTCATACCCAGGACACAGATGTAGTTTTTCATCATACCCAGGACAGTCAATGCGCCAGGAAAGGAGCAGGCACTGTTCTAATTTGTCTTCTAAATTCATTGTTATTCCACCGGTTTGAGGAAAATATTGACAATTTAGTTTATTCTAGAAACGTGGGTTTAGAAACTGGAGGATAATTCTTACAAAATGCTTTCAAAGTTTCATGCGTCATAGCTGATGTGAAATAGCTGAATAGGTTTGGTGCAAAGAGACAGTGCTTTGTTTAAATTTAATGTTACCAAAACTAAATATTTGAGTCTTTGAGACAAACCTGGCTACAAAATAAATTCACTACATTGGAACCGGATTTGTTTATGAATGCAATAAATTCTATTTTGCATCAGTCATCATGAGGGAAATGAAAAATTATGTTAAAAGAAATATAAAACATTAATCCAGCAAAAGATTATTACATTTCTTTTTTTAAGTAGCATCTAATTTCACCAAATTGAGACAAATAAAATTCAAAAGTGAATTTGAGAAATAATTTTTATAGATTAAATTATAAGGGTTAACATTTACCTTGATTAACATCTCTGACATTGACAAATCCATTGCTTCGTTTTTGTTTGTTTTGTGCAAATACTAAATTAAATCAGAAAAATAAAATTAACACAATGACAAACAAGTCATGCAGAAACACAAACTTTATATTTCTCCATTAATAAATGTTTAATAAAGCTTTTAAGATTAAAATGTTTAATTTTTATGCTTAGGAAAATGACAATTTATAATTTATCACTTTTGGATTTCATTCAACAAAATATTCAAGATATGGATTGACAAGTTTTAAATATGTGTGCCACAGTTAATGAAAAAAAAAAAAAAAAAAAAAAAAAAATCCTTTCTAATGTCCAAGGAGAAAAAACATACTAAAGATGATCTTGAATTCCTAAAAATAACACTAACTCCCTTTATTAGAAGAAATTTCATTTTAGAGACTGTATTTAGCAATAATGTGTTTAATGCTACATTTAATTTTTATTTGAAAATAAGTGCAAAATGCATTTAAATTTATTTTCTTTAAACAGTAGCATTACTTTATTGTATTTGAAAACTATAAGAAATTTAAGCTGCTTCAGTGTGTATTGTCTGCCTTTCAGAGAGAAAACAGAAGCTGCATTGGGCTCTACTTAATTTTTGAATTTCAAAAATATTTTTGGTACATTTTAATTTGTGGGAAAACAGCTGTATTTTTTTCATCCAAGACCAATAAAAGGATTTGCCTCCAAATTCTGAAAAGTGTATTCGGAGGCTACCTGTAGGTTAAGGAGAGCCTTGAACTTAATTTTTGGAGTCAACGAACAGCTATTGCAGGAACTCAGGTCACCCTGGTCCCACAAAGAAGAAATTTGACAACCAGCAGACAAGAATTGAAAAGACCATCAAAGTGATTCCCACACCAGTTGGTGTGATTGTTCTATTCTTTGCTGTTACCATGGACTTTGCTTTAAAAATTGTACCAGTGCTTTAAAAACAATTCAGAAAAGTAATTTCTCCTTTTCTTCATTTTATCTAGTTCCCTTTTCTAAGGACCGTATCCAGCATTATAATTTTTATTGTAAAAAGGCATATTTCATTTTCATTGATAATTTACATACATGTGATTAGCCATCATTTGGTACACAATGCACTTATCATTTATGTAATTCATTCATTTTTTTTGTGTGTTAAGAATAAATTTATCATCTGCTTTTAATTTGTTTGAACTATTTTTTGTGGGTTGTTTTTTACCAAATAAAAATCCTATAAAACAAGACATTGAAGAAAATTTTTTGCACATGTATAGTTTAAAAATGTAAATTATTAAAGTTTAATATTTATAAAAAAAAAAAGTATGAATAAAATTAATTAATATCACAATTTAACATTAATTATAAATAACTTCACTCTGAAGAATATCAGATATACATAAATACAGCAGCTTATTTAAAAGGTTAAAATTTAAAATATCAATTACTGAATGCAAAGGGAAGATAATCTTGATATGAACATAATTAGTCCCTTTACTAGATTTGAAAAGTATTACTACTGCACAAAAAAGTTTTACAATATTCATTGCATGTACAATCTGTAAATACTTAATTTTGTTCTAAAATAAATGTTATACATTATACAGCTATAAATGCACAAGGTCTAATTTAAATATTACAAAAATTGGCACTTTTTAACCAAAACACAAAAAATGTATAAATTTACTTTCATCATGATTAGATTTTATTACATTTCTAGTCATTGCTTTTTAAAACATGGCTTAGGAGTGAAGGTAGTTAAAATAATAGTGGCAAATAAGGAAAACTGTCCTTCTGAGACATTGTTTTTTGCAGGCTGCCAGAAAATCTATATATAATACTAAAAGTCTTATTTTATTTATTTCTATGTATGAAAGGCTGGAAATGTCCAAGTCAACACAATATCTTGTTTTATTAACACAATATTCATTTGATGGGTGATCACATGATGATTACTGATCTAAAATAAAAAATAAAAGTTAACTTTGTATGACTCAGCATATTTCATGTTAGTCATTTGTTTACCACTAAGTATTCACCACTCTTTTCCCGTGTGACTCATTAATGTTAAGATGAAAATTAAACTGATAGTTTTATGTTTGTAGTTCAGGGTGTTTTAGTAAAACTCTAAAGAATTTATAGTGCCAATAAAACAATTTTATACAAGTTTCGAACCTAAAAAATAACTTCATATTTTGCAATAAAACATACATTAGTGCTTTCAATCATGCTTTTCTTTAGCTGACAAATTTTAAACAAATTTAAATATTTTAACTGCAAGGCTGTATTCTAGCCAGAAATAGAAAGTGTTGTATTTCTGAAAGATTTAACGAAAAAAAGAAAAAAAAAAGCCCAGAAACTTACATGATGATTTGTTTTCATAAATGTCCAGATCTGATATTGTGATGGCAAGAATACGGCAAAAATTGGCCAGTTCCCCATCACTCAAACAGGATATAAGTCCTCGAAGATTATCTAAAAATAGATGATGGCAATTAAATAAAGAGAAATAAAAAAAAAAAAAAAAAAATCCTCAAAATTAACATCAAATTAATAAATTTGAAAAGTATATATTTTTTATTTAAAGATATGGTAGTTTGTGGAATATTAATAAAATATGTTTACCAGAATTACAACTGACATTACACATACATAAACACAATTTACTACTATTTACATTCAAACTATTGTTCTCATCTTTGTTTTTGTTATCACAACATTTCAGCTGTTGTACCCTCCAGCACTCCTCATAGTGTGCATATTGATTCAGGTAACCTACAGAGAATTTAAAAAATTAACCCTTTAACTGAATTTAATCTAAAGGGGTAGACTGTTCTCATTCTACTGCTCATGTCTTATTTTTAATACTGATCAGTTATTATTTATCTTGAGATTGAACTCACTATGTCACTAAATTCATAAACTAACGCATTAAACCACTAGGCTACTGTCCCTTGGGACAATCCTGTGTGGATAACTTGGAGACTTAAACCTAACCTGCCAGCTGATGAGTGCTGCATGTCATGCTCGACTGTGCTCATTGAAGCTTTTCTCTTTTGTTACAACTGCTGCTGCTGAAGACTTGCAATCATTTGTTTTTCTTTGTAGCTAAACTTTTTTTAATTTAAGGACTACATATGATAAATTTCAGATGTTTGAGAAACACAAGATATAAATTAACTTTAGAGACATTTTTGTTACATATACATTGTTACAAAGATTTTATATATATATCTATCTCAACAAATACACATATGCAATAACAGTTATTTATGGATAGAGATTTTTTTTTTTTGTTAACTCTTAATTTGTATTAGTTACAATAATCAGAAATTGCTGATAAACAACGAATGTTTTGAAAATCTTGGTTGTTGGTTGTACATTCGTTCAATATATTTCTGGACTACCCCAAAACTTACTTGACTCAGCTCTTCCTGTAAATTCCAACATATTTCCACAAGTGACACAGATCAAAAACATGCATGAAATTTGTGAACCACAGTTTAGTCGTATCTGCACTAGATAAAAGCTGTGTGTGTGTGTGTGTGCAAATATATTAAAAAATGATTACTTGAAACTTACAGATTTTATGAAGATCCAAAACTTCTCGACGGATTTGTAACATATCCTCTAACAATTGGCATGCTGCTATGAAAGTTTTCTTATGAGCTAGCAGAGTAAAAATGTAATTGAGGACATCATCTTTTGATAGCACCTTCAATGTCACTCTTTCACCTTTAGGCTGAAAAATAAAATTTAAAATAAAAATGAAAAAAAAAGAAAATACCTAGGATTACTTTTCCTTTAAACAGCTTAAACAAATGGTCTTTTATACAGAGCTGTACATTACATCAGTGCATAAAATCCCCCCATTTTTTTCATAAAATTATCTTCATCTGACAACAGGTAACTCCAAATATAAAAAGGTTAATACTACTTGATTAATGGAACAGCTAAAACAAAAATGCTGATGTACTCATGAGATTAAGTAATGTTATACTGGGTCATTTAATATAATTTAGTCAGGATCAGATTGTGCTATTCAAAAGTTTTAATTCCATGGTGACAAAAATCATAGCATAGAACAAAAAGAATCCAAAATTCCTACTAATCATAGGATTTGAGAATGCTGGTGCCAAAAATGTGCAACTGGAATAATTCATTTTTTAGTACAGTGATTCATCTGAAATAATTGTTTCATTATTGTCTTGTCATTTATTACAAAAATATTATTATTATTAATAATAATAATAATGATAATGAAAATGCTTCATGTAAAATTTCACAAAATAATCCCTATTAGTAGATAGTAAAACAAAAATGACAAAAAATCCAAGAGAACCAGGTAACTGAATGACTATAAATTTGTGTTTCACTGGAGAAATTCAGATAATAAATTTACAAAAGTGGAAATAGAAAATATATGCTCAAATTATTACAAAGTCTAAATTTAATATTGTAGGTAAAAAAAAAATCCTATAAGACAAACTAAAAAACTTTTATATAAAAATCCTATAACAAAGTAAATGTAACTTCCCAATGTTTTTTACTGAAAATGATTTGAGAAAAGCCAAAGATAAAATATATATAGAGAAGGAAAAATAACAAAATACCACAAACAAATGCAAACACTCATAAAATTACAGAAAAATACTGATCAGGTTCTATATATATATATATATATATATATAAATAACAAATAAAAACTTAGATAACTTACCGTGGAAGTTATTTTTATTAAAATTTCTAGACACAAACTTTTTGCTCTCAACACATGTTCTGAATCTGCAAAAATACATTGGTTGTTAGTTTAAGATTATTAACAAAATTATATAGTCTTACAAAGACAATATAATTCTTTGTTGTTATTGATCAAGTTGTGTATAATGTTCATATTTGAAGGAAAATTTCAGGAAAGACTTCTGTACACATGAAATTCACTATCTTAACTTTTGAATCAAACTAAAATGTCTTAAAACAAGTATTGGGCAATTAATTTTGCAAGTAACTAAAATTACTTGCAAAAATGATAGAACTATCATTTGGTCTTTAATTAAATCAAAACGTTGATTATATGGTCCATATTTTAATATGTATCAAATAGTACAGGTACTTTATTTTCTTCATATCTCTCATCTCGTCTTTTAGAAATCACTTTTCACTAAGGTATAGACAAAGAATTTTCCAAAGTAAAAGAATTTCATTAGTTTTTTTATGATAAAAAAAAAAAAAAAACTTAGTAACTTATTTGCTTTAAAATAAACTTAATGAATTTTATTTCAGTTATAGAAATTTTTAACTATCAATCTATTTCTATGTATCGAAATGGTTTATTTTATTTTTATTTCAGATGAGAGACTAATGGATAGATCATGTTAGTTTTATTTTGAGATGAGATACTAATGTCATTTTTTTTTTTAAATTTCAGATGAGAGAGGAATGTACAAGTTTTTCATAATTAAAAACATGAATAAACAGTTGACGTGTTTAGTAGCATGGTTTTAAAATGAAAGATAAAAAAAGTGATGTCAATTACTTACCATGACAACAAGAAGATTCATTTGGAAATAAAGAGCTGAAAGTCAGCAACCGTAAAATCACCTGAAAAAAAAAGTAAAAAATAAAAACAACAACGACAACAATAATCATGCCTAATTCAAATAATCTTGTGAAAGAAAAACAATAGTTACAAACAAATATAATTTTTCCTACTCTCTTTCATTCAAATCATATTCTACAGATTTTAACAAGTTTATGAGACAATGAAAGTTCAATGCTAATTCATTGATTTGTCAAAAACTTGAGATATTACTCATTAACAAATTCATTATCTATTCCATTCAGAAGTCCATTACATTCTGGTGAGCTCTGACCCATTATACAGAACACAGAAAACTATGTTATAAAATGTCAACTATATCATTTATGTACAGTTAATAAAAATTGTTGACTTCAATCATATTTTTGGGCCTTGGATTATGCTAAAAATTTAGATATATTTTTGTAATGTTAAATGGTAAATATTAAAAAGGTGGAATTATGTTCTTATTTGCATAATTTAATTAAAACTCTATGATTATTATTAACATAATATAAATTGCTCTTATGGACTGACAATTTCAATTGATCAATAAAAACTTAGGATGTGTATGATGGTAAGACGAAATCAAATTTTACAAGCCTTTATTGGCTTGTAAAATTTGATTTGATGCAAGAGTTTTGGGGTTTTTTTTTGTTTTTTTTTTAATCTTTTAGCTTCCTCCTGGGAATCTAATGAAAATATATGTAGATTTAATCTATTCTATTAAGAAAAATATTCTGATTTTGATAAGATCAGCTTTGGAGTTCTCCAACCATCGTGTGTGTGTTTATGTGAAATTTTTATTACCCACCCTCAAAATAATGTGCAGAGTACCCTGGCTCAACTGATATATCAGGCAGAAGAGAGACACACACATAAATGCAAATCATTAAATGTACAAAGTGTTATTTTGCCAAGCCAAAGTAAATTTGATATACTTCATCAAAGTCTCACAACAAACTGAATTCTGATTTTCCCCACTTAGACTTTGGTAACAGACCTTTCTTAAGGCAACAAATGAAATAATGATTTACTCTTTATAATAATTTATATAATCTTTGCTCAATAAAACATTAGTTTGGGATGAATGGTTAGCTTTTATAAAATGATATTAGGATGATACAAAACTTTTAATTAAAATTTTATTATATTAAATATTAAAGAAATATTAAAATAAAATAAAATTCTTCCTTTTCACCAATAGTGGCAGGTTTTTTAATAAATGGAGCCCACACATAAAAATAAAAGAAATTAAGCACTTCTTTTTAAACTGGTGAATAAAACTTAAATGAATACTGAAGGACTTAAATTTAGATATTTCTATTATTTATTTCTAAATGTGAAAAACATTAGGATCTGATTGTAAGAACTAATTTTGCTTTAATAAACAAAACAAGAAAATTATACTCCCAAGAAAATTATTACCTTAGGTTTAAAATGATTTTTTTAAAAATGAAAAATTTTCTTGAAGCTTATATTTTAGTTTTAATTCCAAGCCAATAGATTAAACAATATTTCCAATAAGCAAAATACTTTGTTGTGCGAGAACTGGTCAGAAGCACAGACACACAAAAAAAAAAAAAAAACTATATACAAGTCCAACAGATCCAACAGGTAAATAAATCAATTCCACAATTATCTCTGTTCTTCAATCTCAAGTATGCAACTCCTTGTCAGAAATGAAACTCCTCTTGAATGAGAATACCATTCTTTTATGCACCTGACCCAGCCATTGCTCTGTCAATGGGCGCCCAGAACCAGCCAATAAAAATGGCTACAAGCACCACTTCTGCCTACACAAAGTGCTGCCCGATTCACCTTCAATCTGAAGCTCACCAATTCGCCATCTCCACACCCCATTGCAAAACATGCACGCAACTCTGGCCCTTTTGGGTTGCCATGGTAAGACTCCACTATACCCCCCCCCCGATCTCAGCTGATGCATCCCGGGGCAGGTCTCTTCTGTCAAGTACTCATTCAAAGAGGAACAACGCAAGTCTTATTCTCAGACAAAATACTGCCTGAAGGATCATTGGGTGCTCTGGTATCACACTCTGAACTGCTGGAATGGGAGGAATCACTTGGCGAACTTGATTCTAAGTACATGAATCATTCACTCTCTACTGTGGCACTATCAGAGTCTGATGATGGATATGACCCCTGAAAAGGACATAAATTTTTCACATACTGTGGCATCAATGTTTTGTACCCAGATATTGTACCTATGCAGCACGTCGATTGGTGCTGAAGAAGATGAAAGGCTGTCCTTGTGAGCTACATTGTGCCAGTAGACCGCCTGTGGCAATGAACATTTCTCTCTGGCTATGATGGTCTTGATACTTCTATGACTGCGTTTGATGATCCCATTGCTAGCCAGTGTATGGGTGCATCGGAATCTCAAATGCCCCCCACCAGTTACTTAAAAAGTTCTTGAAATGCATACAAGTGAATGCAGTGTCATTATCAGTTAGCTGATGAATGACACTAATGGAGTCCTGTCCATGCCCAGGTAGCCACCTGATTCTCATTCAATCTGCTCCCTACAGTGGCGCAGCCTTCTGGCACTGGCACTTCTCCTTGCCTATGTAAATCCAACCACATCCATGGCACTTGGGTAAAGCAGTCTGCATGGTTTAGACAGGTTTTCACCAGCATCATATCTATTGTGAAGGTGTATTCCTCCACCAATGTTCGTAATATCTCTAAGCACTGCCTTACCAGCATCTCACCACCTGCCTTTGTGTTCACTTGTGCCTTACCAGCATCTCACCACCTGCCTTTGTGTTCACTTGTGTCTTACCAGCATCTCACCACCTGCCTTTGTGCTCACTTGTGCCTTACCAGCATCTCACCACCTGCCTTTGTGTTCACTTGTGCCTTACCAGCATCTCACCACCTGCCTTTGTGTTCACTTGTGCCTTACCAGCATCTCACCACCTGCCTTTGTGTTCACTTGTGCCTTACCAGCATCTCACCACCTGCCTTTGTGTTCACTTGTGCCTTACCAGCATCTCACCACCTGCCTTTGTGTTCACTTGTGCCTTCCCAGTCAAGGTGTTAAATATCCATCGGTGCATGCATGCCGAATCCATAACCAAATGTAACACTGATGCCTACCATTGAAGGGCTAGATTTACAACTTTTACTGCTGCATCAAGCTCCGCCAGATTTATATGCTTGGCATCTTCAGTTGGATGCAGCCAACAAGCATCCTCTGTGATGCTCCCATTCACTTCTAGTGTCACTCCTGTGGCCACAGAACTCATCTCATTACTATCCACCAGTCTCCTCTCATGGCCACTGTTTCCGTTAGCATGCAACGAAGGAAGACATCCATTCATTATGCTGCTACAATAGAAGTTCTTTCTTGTTTACATCCTCAGGTCAGGCACTGTGTATTCTGGCATTTTATTTTTCAACTCACTGGGTGTGTGACCACTAATCCATTTCCACGAGGTGGTCCATGTCTTATTATTTTGCTCAAATGTCATGCTGAAGTCAGGCTTGTCAATAGAAATGGTGGCACATAGGTTTAGGTTTCCATCAGGAAAGTGCATTTTGCCTGATCTGGTTAGGTGTACGCCTCCAAGTTCCCTGATTGCATCAATCCCGAGAAGATCAAATCCCAACAATTTTCTATCTACGTCCCAATAATCACAGGACAAGCCTGCCTGATGCCCAACTTGATTTTGCCGTACACACGGCACTTCAAGGTTCTCCCATCAACTGTTAGCACTTCCACTTCCTTCTGTCTCCAAAGACGGCATACAGCTTTGCTCACCAGTGTCTGTGAGCACCCAGAGTCCTCCAGAACAGCACACTTCTGTCCATTGACAAATAGTTTGTTTCTTTAACTGCTTGGGAAGAAGACTGGCACTGACGTCCTTTTCCCTCATGTGTTTCCCACATACGTGCATGCAGTCTCTGGCCATATGGTTAGAACCAGAGCACCTATAGCAAATGACAGCCCCTCTGCGTGAGTTAGCGAGAAGAACTTCCTTGTCTGCAAATGTTGAGCAGACACAGCAATGGATTCCTCATGCTCCTTGTCATCAGTCATGATAGCCCGAGCCCAGGTTAGTAACTGCTCTACAGTTATAGTATCCATCCTGGATGATGCTCAGAGAGGCTGTCTAACATGTTGTGGCAGATCGGATACAAATGTGCATGCCATCCAACATTTGGGCAGTGATACTCCGACCAGTCGTGCCAGGTGATGCAACTCAGCAAAAAATTCATCTACTGTCCCTTCTGTCGAAGTCGGCATGCCACAAACTGGTCAAACACAGTGAATGCATCTGTTGCATATGTGGTCATAAGTGCCTGTTTGATTTCTTCCAAATCTGCCTTTTGCTCCTTACTCCGTTGCCAGAGTGAGAAAGTTGTAGCGGCAAGACACATTTGACTCAGTCTGCAAGTTTTGTGCCATAGACAAACTCAATGTTTTTCATTCATTTTATGATCAGCAGGCCAGCTGTGGCACCGTTGAACTCTGGAATTAGCCAGACGTTAAAGCCCTTGTCATGGAAAGGAGAAAAAGAAAAGTGCTGAAATACCTTGTGTGAGAATTGGTCAGAAGCAGATAAATATAATAATAATAAAAAAATAAGATAAAAAAATACACAGGTACAATAGGCAAATCAATTCCACAATTATCTCTGTTCCTCAATTTTAAGTATGCAATTCCTCATCAGAAACAAGACTCCTTTTGAATGAGTGTACCATGCTTTTATGCACCTGACCCAGCCATCGCTCAGTTAATGAGCACCCAGAACCAACCAATAAAAAAGTGCTGCCTAATTCACTGTCTCCACTACAGTTGTATTTCAAACTAATTTAAATTGACTAGGAGTTTTTGTTTTGAAATTGTTAAAAATTGCTGATTTTAGTACTATTTTAGCCATTTGTTAGTTACATTAAAAAATCTTTCAAAAGTAAAAATATATTATGCTGAAACTTTTATTTGAAGAATATTAGCCGATTTAAAGTTTAATTAATCTGATTTTAAACAAATATAACTTTTTTGTTTAAAATATCGCAGAAAAGCATATTTTAACACAGAAATAAGGTGTTGACAGCTTGACTGACAGACTGAAGTTTATCTAAAATTTTTTCTACAGTGGACATATCTGTAAAAATTACTTGAGGAATATAATGTGTGATTTTTTTAATATCATTTTTAACAAACCAGTAATCTTAAAAATTTAGAGAAATATTCTCTGTAATATTTTATTGAATTTTATGTACTTTATGCTTTAAATTTACTACAGCTATTGCTCTTTTCTGATAATGTCATGGATGGATGTGCATATTTACAAAAACTGGCAAATTTTGGTAAAAAAAAAAAAAAAAAAAAATTGACTGAACCATTAACATTATTTGTGACATGTTTTCTGCTCAAACTAAATTGAAAAATACCAGGGAGAATTTAAAAAATGATAAACATGGAAAATTTAGTCACAACAAAGCAGGTAATTGTAAATGAAAATTTTTTGATAAAAACTTAATTGATTGTGAATAGTTCAAATGCACTAATATTTTTTATATAGAAAATTAATTCATAGAGAACAATTCTTGAAGTATGATAAAAGTTATTCTGAGCATGAAATTACTAAGACAATTTCCATGTAAAATTATTTAAGGTGATTGTTTGAATAGTCATTATTTTTATAAAATTATAAAATCTGTTTAATTTGTTTTTATATTCATTTTTTAAATTTTAATATTTTAACTTTGTTACAACCAGTACTACTTGCCTTAAAAAGATTAAATTGAGCAAGATGAATATTTATTTCCAAAACGTTTCAATTAAGTTTTTATTGTGCTATTAACAAGTATAAATGATAAGTTAAAGTTTGACAATTTAAAATCTTTGGAGGGGAAGATTTTAATTATTTTTGAGGTTGGTTTCAGGACAATGATAAAAAAAAAGATTAGATTGCCTGACTTGAACATACACATCTTACTTCTAGGATCATATGTAAGCAAAATAAACTAAAAACAAATTATTGTGAGAAATTAACTGTGGGCCTTACGTGAATTAACTGAGTACTCATTCAGACATGAAGATTGCATTCAAGCATGAAAGAATGTCACTGCTTGGTGCCGACTTCAGTGTCCAATTTAGTATTTAAATACAGTATCTCTGATATTGAACACTTTTACCCATAAATATATATATATATATATATATATATATATATATATATATATATATATATATATATATATATATATATATATATATATGCAATAATAAAAATAAATAACTTACCTCAATGCCATCATATTCATAGAAAATCTGAGCAAATTTATCCACACTGTCATCATATAAATCATCAGCTGCTCTTCGGGGATGAAAGGAAACAAGGCGGCCAATAACTTTCTAAAAGAGAAGTAGAGATCAAAGTTCATATAAACTTATTCAGACTAATTTGCTTATTATTGCAAATAAACTTTTTTTTAAATCATAGTAATCAGTTATAGTCCTTCAAAGAAATAAAAATTACAAAGGCTACACTTGTTTTAAATCAATGAATAAACAAACAAAAAAGAGAGTTAAAAAGAGAAAGGGCTGCAAGAAATCTCAAAACAGATTATTACAAGCAAAATTGAGGAAAAATCACCTGTAATTTTCAAATGATGTTTGTCATTTACAAATAACTTTGCTAAAGTCATTGTTCATTTGTAAATTTCTGTCATAATCAAATATTTAAACAAACAATTATTAATGATTCACATTAATAAACATTTCTGAGCAATATGTTTTTTTTTTTTTTTTTTTTTTTAGCAATAATGATCCACACATATTTTGAGTCTAATGGTTTCAGGACAATGATAACAAAAAAGATTAGATTGCCTGACATTTCAAGAGGCTCTCTTTAGAAAATTAACATTTCCATAATCATAAGAAAAACCATGTTTTTTTTTTTTTTAATTAAAAATCTTCAGTGAATTTCATAAAAGTCATTATAAAAGTTTAATGACATAATAAAGTGTCTACTTGGATTAATATGGAGTGTGAAGTCTACAATATATGATTTGCTCAGACATAAGAAAATGCTAATTTTTTCATTTAAAAATATTTTTAAAACTAAATGTAAAAATGAAACTTGACAATGAAATATCTATATTTTCAAGAAGGTATACATACCTTAAGGACTTCAAAGCACTTGTCTGTGTGCTTATCAAGTAATGTACTGTATTTATCAAGTTCAACAATATAAACCAAGGCTTTTTCACAGCTTAATTTGTTTCCTGCTAACTGAACAATCTGAGAAGGGAGCTGAAATTTAAAAAATATTAATCAAATAAATAATTCATCAACATGCATGTGTAAAGTGTGACTAAATCATTGTGTGTCATGAAATACTGGTAAAATCATCAAGAGAAAGAAAACAAAGGAAGCCACATTTCAGTTTCATTGATGATTTGCTTTAAATGACAAACTCAACATATATAATGTAATATTGAATAAATTCTTTGAAAAATTAGTTGTATTATTGTCCAGTGACCATAATTAACATTCAAAGAAATTTATAATAAACTCAGCAATATTTTTGGAGGTAGAAGCAAGGTGTTCTTTTGCCCTTTATACATATCTTCGAAGATTTCTTTTATTATCTAAACATCTCGTATGTACTCTGATCATAATGAGATTCGCCCCATCACTATGCCATATCCCTCAAGAAGTAGATAATCATGGCTTTCCACAACTGTCTTTTATGCCAATTCTTGCTTCTTTACAACCTATACTTGTTTTTTTCGCAGTATTTGTCTTGACACCATAAGTGGTAATTGCAGATTTACAGACTTTTGATTTTAACATTGTCATTTTTCACTCTTAAATGTTGTAAAACATATAATAGCAAAATGGATGCTTTTTCTATACAGAAAATTCCGTACGAATACTAAAGCTATTATATGCATTGGAGATACAAGCACATATTTTTCATTTAAAAAAAAAAAAAAAAAAAAAAAAAAGGCTCATATTTATGTACTGTATTTGATGGCATATAAGGCGCACTTCTTTTTTTTTTTTTACTAAAAATATCTTTTAAAACTCCCCTGTGACTTATATTGCTATATGTAGGTTTAAAATTTGCAATAGTCAGCCAAAATTAGCTACTTGGCAACTCCTATTAGTTTAGACTTTATAGTAACTTTTATATACCGATTATCATTTAAAAGGCTATTATGCAGATTAAAAGTGTTATCATCGATAATATTCATTATATTAATTTCATCATGTTTAATATTAGTACTTTGTATCACTAAAATTATATGCAATAAATTCAAATTATATGTTTGTAAAATATATTTGTTTCATTAATATTTTTCTTGCAATATTTTCCAGTTGCATTGGTATAAATACAATCAGAATTTTTATATCCTAATTACTCCACTAAGACGTTTACAAGATGCAGATTGTACAGATAATATAAAGGAAAAATTTTGACTGAATTTCACTCCTTCAGATATGACAACAGCAAGAAAGAGATTAGGCTACACTGTTGTGTACAAGCTTCATGTAATAAACTATACTAAAAAGCAGCTGCAAAATATTTTGGCCCTCCGCCTATGTTACTGGCAGTTGCAGGAAAATAACCTATGGGCAGCGAAGAAAGGAAACTGTAACCTTCACCACCCAGCCCCACACTGGCCTGAAATTGAAGAGGAAATTAAAACGTGGGTTGTAGATGAGAGGAGTACAGGCAGAATCATTACTGCGAAAATGATAAGGAACAAGGCTAGAAGATTAGTGAATGAAAAGGGGATTCAAAACTTTATAGGAACAGAAAGATGGTGTTATTGTTTTATGAAATGGGAAGGTTTGTCAATGTGTACAAAAACTTCAATTGCACAGAAAATTCCAGCTATGATGACAAAATAGTAAAATTTCATAAAGTTGTTATACATGCTCAAAAAAGAACTCCTTTTGAACTAGGCTAGATAGGAAGTATGGATGAAATCCAACTAACGTTTGATGCACCATCAAACAAAACTGTGAGTATTAAGGGATCCAAGACTATTACAATAAAAACCACAAACCATGAGAAGACCCATTATATGTTCATTCTTGCATGTTGTACTGATGGCCCAAAACCACCTCCTTTTCTGATTTTTTAGAGAAAAACTACACCGAAAGATAAAATACCAAATGGTGTACATGTTCATCCAAAATGCTGGATGGACGAAGCTGGTCTACAGTTATGGCTATGAGTAGTATAAGACTGACGTTCTGGTGGACTATTTACGAAAGCCCTCTTTTTTGGTTCCAAGCGCATAAGACTGAATCCATTAAAAAACGGCAGAATTGAAGACAGAGATAGTGGTTATTTCTGGTGGACTAATGAGTCAGTTGCAACCTCTGGATGTGTTTTTGAATAGGCCATTCAAGCAAAACATGAGGAAGCAATGGAACATGTGGATGGCAATATCTGATCATAACCTTACACTTACAGGAAGAATAAAGTCTGCAAATGGGTGAAGCAAGCTTGGGATAATATTAGACCAGAAATTGTTGTAAAATCTTAACAAGTGTGACATTAGCAATGCTCTCAACGGAACGGAAGATGATGCATTATTTAACGACTTTAATAGTAGTACCGAAAATGAATATCAGAGTTTTGATAATAAAGAATTTTATAGCTTTGAAGATGAATAAAATTTTAATGGTAACTGTTTTGCTTAATTGTAATGATTGCTTGATTTTTATTTTGTTTTTTTTAACCTTTGGATATAATAAAGTTTTTATAGGTTAGTGTTTTTTTTTTCCTATTATTTTTCATTTAATTGTAATCATGGCTCGTTTAACCAAAATAATACATCATAAATATAGCCTAGGCTGTACCATTTACTAATAATTTTACAAATTACTAATTTTTTCTTCATTCGCCCTGCTGAAATTGGGATACACCCGTGCATCTTCTATGCCATCAAATACGGTACTTACAATTAAGACTTAATAATTCTGGTAAGTTAACTAAAAGTTAATTAAAAAAAAAAAAAAAATCATTGAAAGTGACAATAGAGAAAAAAATTACAAATTGATTAACTGAGTGAGGAGCTATCACTGTAGTTAATTTATCAACATTTGTGCTTTGCACTTCATTTCTTCATGTAGCCAATCCTATAATACACTGTACACATTCACTGGTTAACATTGAAATGAAGCATATAATGAAAGTATGGCAAAATAATATGCAGTCAGTCATTAACCTTTATCACTCTGTGATTTCATTTGCTGTACAAAATGTTTATCTTGCCACTGAAGGTTGCTGATCCCTGAACAATAGTGCATTTGAATTTCATAGTTGTATTATCAGAAAACAACTTTGAGCGAAATTAACAATAAGGTTACTGCAAGTGAGAGGACTTTGAAGAAAAAAAAAAAAAAAAAAAAAAATAAAGAAAAGAAAACAGTGAAAAGGTAAGTAATATTAGTAGTGTTAAAATTTAAACACTTATTCTAAGGACCTCAAATGATAATTATCTATCTTGCACATAAAATCAACATTGTCTTCTAAGAACGATGTAATACAAAGCAAAGCTATATGGTAGTGATACTCGGGTTCACTCTCCATTAGATTCTCTATGAAAATAAATGCTTAACTGAATCAAAGTAAATTAATATCCTCTTTTCATTATTTGTTTGACTACCATAGAAAAAAATTAAATTGTTAAAATATTTATTACATCTTTGTAAAATACTGTGAAAGATTTTTTTTTTTACAAAGACTTTTGTTGCTTTATAAGTAATACTACAAAAAGGGGCAAATATTTATCCTAAAATTGTAAAAAAGCACAAATATACTTGATGAAAAAGAAAATAGAGTTATACAGACAGCTGAGAACTTATATTTTAAACTTGCATAGGTAGGGAGGTGGAGAACACAAATATTATAGGTTGATTATTATTAATTCAAATTCCAAATGCGACAGTATGTGTTCATTTAAAAGTAATGCCTTTGGAAAAGGTAGGGATCCATTTATCTGTTTCCACCTGTCAACTATCACTTAAACAGCAGGGTAGCCTTGGTTGGCAATCAGTTGAAGAGAAAGACAACTCTGAAATTAAAACTGGTGAAGGAAATGGAAAACATTCCACTCTGTTTCCCAAGAACAATTATAGCAATGCACTGTTTACAAATATAAAATAAAGCCGTGGTGGACTATGATTGATTATATCTTGAAAGGACATGACACTAAAAGAGAAACACACCAAGACATAGCCAAAAGCTTGTTTTAATTTTGTCATTAGATGGTATTAAGAACATTTACTTTTAACTACATTTAAAATGATCACTTCTGATTGTGACATGTCATATCAACGTGCATTTTTTAAACATCAAAATTTATATAATTTTGTTTGATTTTTAATACTGAAAATGGAAGAAAATAAAGCAACATTTTCAACATATACATTTTTATTTTAAAAAAAGGTAAATATGCAATTGAAATGCAAAATACAATTATACAGCTTATGTAGAAGGTATTGTGAATTATTAAATACATCACAAATGGTTTACAAAGTTTCATGCTAGAGATATCATGTTGAATAATACTTCAAAGTGAGGGAGAAGTTAAAAGCAATTGAATCAAGACAACATGATAGAGGAGACAGCTAACATACTCAAAATATCCAAATCAAGAATTTAAAATCACATACACTAAATTGTTAGTCATTTTGGTATGTTGCTTCCAAATAAGTTAAGCAAAAGGAAAAATAATACTTAACAGTATTTCTGTGTGATTCTCTACATGAATCTAATGAAAATGGTTAATTTTTGAAAGAAATTGTCATTGGGGTTAGAGGGACAATGAAGAGTGGATACTTTAGGACATTTTTTGGAATGCAAGAGATCCATGAAGCAAGCAAAATGAAACACCATCACCAACTATACTAAAGATGTATTGTGGGACTGGAAAAGAATCTCTATTATGAGCTCTTTTCAGAGAATGAAATGATAAATGTGAACAAGGACTGCTCTCAATTAAACCAGCTGAAAGCAGCAACTGACAAATTCAGAATTAGTTGCATATTTTTTGGATGACCAGATAAAAAATTGTTATGGCTATATTCAACAAACATGGAAACTTTGGATTATCATTTGTTTCGGTCAGTTCTCTTAATAGGTGAAGTTAACTTTCCTGAAAGATAGCAAAAAGGTAGTTAGAACAGTTTGGAACTTTTTCTATTAATTCACACCAAAATAAAAAGAGTTAATATTTACTAAAATTCACACCTAATTCTCCTAGAGTGAGGCCCTTCCATAGCACACCTGAGTTGCCCACATTTGTGGTGATCATAATCACTACAAATGTGGGCAACTCAGGTGTGCTATTTCTAACCATGCCCATCCCAATAAACAAACCAAAAAAAGGATTTTTTCTTTTTCTTTTTTAATTGCAAAAAATTCCTTAAACTTAACTTAAGTAACTTAAATATCATCCACACTTATGAATGTGAATAACTCCCTGATTTTTAATAATTTTTCATTCTGAGGATTGGAGTTGTTGCAAGCTAAACAAATTTTGATTTAAAATTTATAATTTCTTGGGGTGGGGGGTGAATTAATATTTGCAATAGGTAACTTTACATTATTTGGGATGAATTAACAGAAAAGATCCAAACAATTCTTTACCAAGATAAAGAAGATGGAATTATAAAGTTGCCTGAGAGATGGTAAAAGACAGTGGAACAAATATGTTATTCAATAAAGTTAACATTGAAAATAAAAAAATGTTTAATATTTACAAAATAAACTTAATGAACATTTTGACCACTCAATAATAATGCAAAATGTTAAACCATGTATACAAATAGTTAATTAACTGTATACAGATTTCAATACTACTATACCTTCAAATACTACTGTATTTTTTGGCCAGTTAAGTTGCTTTTCTGCCATTTTTTAATGTGGGGAGGGTTCCATAGTAACATTTTTGTTTATTTGTATAAATATATATATATTTATTCATGCAAATCATGGGGTTATTTTATGATGTAAATAAAAATCATATTGTTCATCTCCTCCTCCACATGTTTGTAAAAATTGGGGTATTAGTTTAGGTATTCATGGAGAGAATGTATTTTGGTGATTGTGACATATATGTTTTTTATATAAATGTGGTATCATGGTAAAAGGATTATTATAAGTATGATTGGAGCAGTGAATATGACTAGTTAAATTTAAGAAGAGTGATGACCTGCTTTTCTCACCCATCCCCTAACCTTGTGCTACATTTTATGTATTTTATATAGATACTCTAGAGAGACCTTCTGATGCTAATCAATTTTGAAGTTTTTAGAAAAACTCTTTTCTCATACCATGTTCTTTATATAAAAAAAAGCAATGTATAGGACATATCTAAATGTTTTGAAATTTTCTATTTAGGAAAAAGAATAAAGGTTGAACATGTTAATTACAAACAGGATAATTAGGAACACACACAAACATTTTTTTTTTATATTTCTCTACTTAGATGACTAATAAAATGTCTATATACCTTTCTTAATATATGAAAATCTATTTTTTAAATGAATAAAAAATGAGTTGTGTGCAGAAACAAATGTCAAACAATATGAAAAAAAGAAAGTGAAACAAATTTTTAAAATAGTCTAACAGTGTATTTTAATTTTAAGCACCTGCTTGTAACAACTGACGTAACACTAATCTAAAACTTTGATTACAATCTAGAAGCTAAGCAAGCTTGTATATCCTGCAGCTATTGGAATGTTAATATTAAAAAATAAATAGTGTAAGTATTTATTTATTGATTCAAGTTTGAAACCACCAATAGTCATTAAGTACACATCTGAATAAAGGTAGCAGAAGCTTGTGTGTGGATGTGTGTAGCTAGCATGATTGATAAGGAACTAATAAATTTTACTTTCTATGAAATTCAAATACTTTTATTTTGTGAATTTTGCATTATAGCGAATTAAGCAACTATTTTTACTTTGTAAATAAACAGTAAACACGGAGGCTAGCTATAAAAGCGCAATTTTTTTTTAATAAAGCCATTGACAAAAAAAGAAAAAGAATTGAGACTGATTGAGGTCATTTAGTCTACTCATGAAATTATCTTTTTGAATATTTTTAATAATCAATTATTTTTTTTTTTAATAACATCTTAAAATCCATAATTAAACATATGGTCAAATTAAATGGATCTTCTTTATTTTTCAAATTAATGTTACTAAAATTAACAAATTCTCATATTTTAAGTAATAAAATTGATCAAGAAATTGAAATAATTTTTTCGAATATGGAAATTAGAATTCTTAGCAAATAAGTCTCTCAAACAGCAGAAGCTTTTTTTTATTGATTTTTTTTTTTTTAACTAAGAATAAAATAGATATTTAGGAAATAATATCAATAAAAATAAAATTGTTCTAATTAATAAATACCTTTTTTCAGATATAAATTTAAAAAAAAAAAAAAAAAAAAAAGAGATTAAAAAAAGTACTGATGTTGAAGACGAAAATTTTTTTAAACATTTGTCAAATCAAAATGGGAAAATTGAAAATAAATTAGCATTTGAAAATTTATCTTCTTTTTTTTTTTTTTTACAGAAATTATTGATCGGTTATAAAATTGTCATTTTGGTTAAATTAAATCCGGCTAAAATAAATTAAATTTGTTAAAAACAAAAGAAGATTTTTTTTTCCTTCTGTGGGAAGATTAAAGAAAAAGTGGGGGAAAGCAGTTATGTCTTACTTCGGAAGTGAAAAGTTATTGTATGTAAAGAAAAAAAAGAAGAAAGAAATGTAATTCTGTAGAAATTACGTGTTTTATTATTTCAAATCAAAAACTGTTGAAAAGCAGAAAATTAATGTCTTAAAATGTTTAGCTTTTTTCTTTCTTTTTTCAGAAAAAACTCAAGTTAATTGAAAACGGCAACATTTTACGGCTGCTGTGATAACCATTCAAACTCGACTAGTTATGCCTAGCATCTATTATTGTTTTACTTTTATTATATTTTTATTTATTTAAAAAATAAATTTAACTTTACTGAAACAATTCTGGAAAAAAATAAAGCTAAAAACTCTAGCCAATGCATACAATATTATTTTATTTTTATACTGGTTAATATTTTTTTTAGCTGTGAATTAAAACAAATCATCAACAACATAGTAAGAAACTTAAAAATAATACTTTACTTTTTGTTATTATTTAAAATAAAAATAATAGTACAGAAAAAAGGAAGGCGTGAATAACGAACAATCTTTTTTTTTAATAAAATAAAAGAAAAAAGCACCAAACTAAAATAACGTTTCATGAAGCATTTTATTTTTATTTTTATTTTAACCAATTTAAAAATCTGTTATCATCATTGGAAAATAAGAAGAATGTTTGATATTTTGTTTAGAAAAAAAGAAGTTAAAATCAAAATCAAAACTGAAAGATTACAATCAACTCATCTTTGACGAGCTGATAAAAAAAATAAATCAACTAGAAAACTAAAAAAAAAAAAAAACAAAAAAAAACAACTATAACAATAAATTTAAAAAGTACCTGACAAAAATAAAAACCATTAAAAAACAGAAAATAAATTATCAACATCAGGCAACAACATTTACTCCACATATTGGAAAATAAAAAAAAGGAAAGATAAAATAAAAAGATCAATTTGGATTTTTAAAATAAACTGTCAAAATATTTTTTTTTTAAAAATCACAATAAAAAAAACAAAAAAAAAACTTTAAAATTTAGGTCGAGGATTAATGAATGTAACTTTTCTTGTCAAAAATGCAACTACCATCTTCTGTTTTACCTTTTTTTTTTTAAATATTGTCAAAAGAAATATCAGTTTTCTTTGTTATTTTAAAATGAAAGAAAAAGAAAACTTAATTCTGTAATGGACTATTTATGATCAAATTTTATAAGAAAAATAAAGACTAAAGAGTATTCTTTTTTTAAACACATAATTTTCCGACTTCATCTAATCAACGAACTTTACTAAAAAACGTTTATTTATTTATACACTGCAATAACAAATATATTTCCCTACTAGTTAACTTACTAATCTTTAAAAAAAATTGAATTTTTCTTTTCATAAATTTTATTCATTCTTTGATCTCACGAAAGGAAGTTGTTCAAGAAATGTCAAATTGTCATTTCACTGTTTTAGTTTTAGATTTTTTTTTATCTCAAATCAAATCCTATGTTTACAACTCTTAATTTATTTACATTAGATTCATTCAGAAAAATCTACAAATTATTAATTATTTAAATATGAATTATTAGTTTTTTTATTTATAAAAAAATAAAGCAAATCAAAAATTTCTAATTTCGTAAACTTCTCTTGCTTTCTTCCGGCATAAAATATAAAATAATAAGAATTCAATTTATTTACATCGTTGTTTTTTTTAGAATTTTGTCTTTCAACCCGAAAAAATAAAATAATAGATTTCTCATCTTTCAGTTTCATTTTTAATTTTGACAACCTCCCTAACCAATTTTTTAGTAGTAGGCATCAAGTTGAATTTTTTAAGTTTGTTTCTGTACCAAACTCGAAACATATAATTTAATTTTACATTTTTTCTAATATTTTTTTTTAAATAAATATTTTTCTAATGTTAAAAAAAACAATAACATCCCCGCCTCTGAAGCACCGAAACGAAAAAGGTAAGGTAAGGAAGTTGTGTATACTTAGAAAACAAAGATAACGATAATCAACGTAATGTTAAATAAACTTTACATTTTATTATTGCTTGACTATTTTAAAACAATAAACATTAATCTTACCTGTGCCAATCGAGTATATCCATTTCCAGAATACTGACACTGAACTAATGAAGAGAAAATATATTTCTTGTTAGTCCTTTTATGATGGAGTGGTATGAGCATGATTCAAAGGCCGAAACCTTTTCTTTTTCAATATCAATCAGCGACAATGTCAACTGGTGGCAATAGAAAAAATCCTGGCAAACATTAATTAAAAAAACAGCACTTTGCTTCTTTTCTCAGCTTTCTTAGCTTCCTTTCGCAAAGATTTGCGACCAGTTTTACATTCGTAAACGTTTCATTACGCATTTGCTCTCCGGGGTCGCTTATGCACACAATCAGCCAACTACATAAACAATACAATAAAAAATAACTATGTGTCGAATAAAATTTATCAAAATTATTTACTAACAAGAAAATACTTTAAAATAGCCCATATATAAGCGAAAGTAATCATTGACTTGAAACGATTTAAAATTCAATGAAGAAAAATGATGATTTCTGACATTTTCAGACAACTTTCGACTGTAAAGTGCAATTTTTTTCGTATCTTTAAGCGGTCATACTGGAACGCCACCATGCGTTAATATTTACAGTAAGAATGGATGCAATTTATTATTAAAAATAATATTAAGGTATAAATAAAATTATATTTATATTTAATTGGTTGCCAAATTAATTTCCTTTGCTTTTTGTTTACTCTAATTTTTTAAAAATTAGGTAACATTTATATAAGCGACCTTTAATGTCCGTGCCCGTTTATTATTTCGTATTGTATGATTACAATAAAATGATTTATTTTTAGCACGATGATATTTTCTTCAGTTTATTTTTCAGTGATTTTGCATTAGTTTTTCTTTTTGTTTAATAAAAATGTGAAAAAAAATAATAGTCATATTAATTGTTAAGTATCTAAGCGACTATTACTTGTTGTTATGGTAACAGAATCCATGCTCTTCTGTTTCCCCCTTTTTTCCATGTGATTTTCTTGTTTTGTCTGCAACTAAAAAGGTAGACGTTTTCGTTTATAAAAAAATACAAAGGAAAAAAAAAAGAAGGGGGAATCCTTTACAAGAATAATTGGCATTTATTTTCAATTCCCATCTACTGATCCTGAGCTGGTTTGTCTCGTTTTATTACTTTCTTATTGAGTGTTGGAAAAAAATAGTAACCTAAACAAATTGTTTACACTTTTTTTTTTTTTTTAAACACGGAATACGCGACAATTTTGAAAGTGTTTTTTTTGTCTTTAGAAGAAACTAATTCTTTTGTTCCTATGATCATTTTTCTTGTACAATCCAAATAATAAATACATCTTTAAAAACCTTCGACTTTTTTTTAGTAAAAGCAAAAAGAATTTAATTACAAAAGAAAATACAATATTTATTTCGCAAAAATTACTTGTCCTTTTGCTATTAGAAAAAATTATTTTTATTCTTTAATCAATAACAATAATCAATTTTGCATCGATTTCCGTATTTACTGACTACTTTAAAAAAAAAAAAAAGACTCTTAATTTTTAGAATAAAGATGAGAAAAAAAACTCATTACTTCACAGAATATTTCGAAATTTGTTTTCAATTCAATTTTATTATTTTATAAAGTACATATTTTGTCGCACAATTTGATAAAAAATATTTTGCATTAACAAAAAAGGTGGACATTGCTGTATTTTCGCCTAACGAATATTAAATTACGTTCCTTACAATTTTTTAATCTGGTCTCTTTTTTTTAGTCATTTTCATCCGAAATAAAAGCAAAAAATAACGTCCAATTTATCCAATTATTTTAAAAACTGAAAAAATCTAATTTAATCTCCAAAGAAAAGATGATGGATTTACACGAGAAGAAAAGACATTTTCGACCAATAAATTCACAGAAGCAAGAAAAAAAATACACTTCTTATTTTTTTGACTATGAGGAACATTTTCCCCGATGTGAATAATTCTTGGAGAGTACCATGTTATTTATTTATTTTTTGTTCCTGGTTTCTTTTTTGCAGTGATTCCATGAAAATTCTACACTAGTCTTTGGGTGTGTATATATAGCCACAAAATTTTCTTTGTGTCTAATAACTCGGTAATTCAAATGCGAAACAGGACTCGGGATATGAGGCTAGTGGGAATATGCGAAAAAAGATAATTCAGTTTGTTACGTGAAAATTGTTTAGAGCCGCTTATTCATTTAAACCCCCTGCTAGAAGTCTAAGTTACAAGAATCTTTTTGTTCAGTTGTAGTTATTGCCAAATACTATTAAATGAAGTTTTAAAAACTGCTGTTCCTCCTTAAAATTAGTGTATGAAAGTCTATTTTAACGTTTCAAACTATGCTAAAAACACTACCTTGCCTTTATCTCACGTTTTTTATTTTGAAACTTTTTTCTGTTAATTCACCCCAAAATAAAAAGAATTTTTATATTTACTAAAATTCACATCAAATTCTTCCAGAGCAAGGCCCTTCCATTATACTCCGGTTGGGTTGACCTTTGCGAACGCCCCCAAAATGTGGGCGATTCGGGTGCGCTATTTATAAGTGTGGGATACGTTTGCGCTCACTATAAACAAGCCAAAAACAGATTAAAAAAAAAAAATTAAATTGTAAAAAATTCCTTGTAATGTGAATATCTCCGATTTTTGGTAATTTTTCATTCTGAACGTTCGAGATATTGCGAGACAAGACAGCTTGCTTGCCTCGCATCAATTCCATTTTGTTTAAATTTTTAAGTGCCAAAAATCAAAAGAAAAACAACTTTGATTTAAAAATTTATAATTTCTTAGGGGGAATTATTATTTGCGATAAGTAACTTCACATTATTTGGGGTGAATTAACAGAAAAGATCCTTTATCAGTTTCATATGCCAAGTGACTTCATTTAAAAACAAACACTAAAGTGTAATTTAATTCAACATTTCTTTTTACCAATTTAGAAAACAATAATAAAAGCTCGGACTTACCTGCACCAGAACTAAAGCAAAAAGTCCCGGATTAAATAAAATTTGTGTCAAATTTAAATGAAATTATATTTTTTGCTAAAATTCAAAGAGTTTTTTTATTAATATCCACCCAATAATACAAGGCTCAAGAGCAATTCAAGGTAGAGGGTTACTGTGTAGAGCGCAAGAAAGGGGTAAGTGAAGTTCATGGGACCTTGCAGGAAAGATAACCATTTTTGGTTTTTCAAATTTCAATACTAATTTGATTTACTAATAACTAATTTGACTAGTAGTCTTTCTTTATTCACAGAAACAAGTTACTTACAAACAAAGTTGCATTTCGAATGCCTCTTTTTTATGTCAAACTCAAAAAAGAGAGCCCAAAATTTATGACTTTTTTTTATTCAAGAAATTTAAATGATAAATGGAGATAATTAGTTTGAAACGCTAAAATGGACTATACCCGAATTATTAACTTCTTTATATTCTTCTTTTACAGTCTTACTCGTATATTTATATAAAAATGACATAAATTGTCGACATTCCTCACTAAACGAACCAGAACCTTACCATAGTGACTCGGTTGAATGCACCTTTTTTCAATGCTTTCTTTCAACAACATTGTTGTTAGATGTTGTACATTTCTAAAATAATTCAATATTGTAAGTACCACCACGGGCTTCTTTTAAAAATGCATTTTAAATTTAAGAAGGCTAATCCGTATAAAAATAATTTTTTAGACATTTAAAAAAAACATTTACGGTCACTTATCGTAATATACGAAAAATGAAAACAAAAATTATCCTAAAAGTAACTTATTTCAAAGTAAATTTAAGGATTGTAATTGAATTTTACAAAAGTAATTCTTACTTTTTGCCTAACACAGTTAAAATAGCGTTTATTTACGTACAGTAGAGTGGTTGTCATCAAGGTCATAGGTCAAAAACAGTTGTTTTCTACTACTGTCACTCTCAAAGTGTGCCAATTTTTTTTAAATCAGTATGAAATGAACTATGAAGGATCCAAAACATAGTCTACAAATTGATATGCTTAGATTGCCTTTACCTTAGTTTAAGAACCTAATTCTTTTTAGACGTTTTTTTTTTTATGAAACTTAGAATTCATTTTTTATACATTTTATTAATTAGATTCTAAATTTTAGAATCAATATAAAAAAATGTAACAAACTCAAAAGTATAATTTAACTAGTTCAGTTAAATTATACTTTTGAGTTTAATTCAATGCTTTTAGATTTTATTTTTACTTGTCTGATGACATAAAAATCTCAAATATTTTACAATTATTCAATTGATTTTAAAATTTATTAAATTAAAAGGAAGTGCTACAAAAAAAGGGGCGGGTTGGCACTTATTGCAGTCACAAAATTATTTCCTTTAAATTTCGTACAAAAAATAATCTAATATTTGTGAAAAAAACATTAGGAAAATTCTTTTATCATATAAAAAAAAAAACTATTTAAAAAAATAGCAATGGGATGAATATCAAATTCGCACTGAAGAATTTTAAGTATTTTTCTTGTCAAATCTGAAAGAAAGTAAATGGTTTTTATTTTTGGAGCACTAATTTTTATTTTGTTTTCTTTGTTTTACATTTGAAATTGCAGGACTTTTTTTTTTAATAAAATCAAATAGCTTCAGGAATTTAACTGTAAAAAAATCTCGAACAACCTTCAAAAATTTACGAAATGTCAAAAGTAGGCGGGGGTGTTAAACTGCCCTTCCCAATATTTCTACAATGTTTTAAAATAATCTATTATTCAATATATACAATCATCGTTAAAAAACAAGTACTGAAAAGTTCGTTTAAATCGGATAATTCAGTTTTTGGTAACTTTGAAAAAGACATGGGGTAGCGAAATTTCTTTTTCATTTCGGACAAAATAGTTTTTTTTGTTTGGTCTTGATACCTTAAGTAAGTTTAAAATTTATTTTGCACAAGGCTCAACCAGGGGGCACTCAGACCTCGCAGACCATTACTAGTGAGCACCTTGAGATAAAAGCTAAAACAAAATTCAAATAAAACTTAATTTTGGAAGAAAATGCAAAAATAATAATAATAATAATACAAATTATTTGTAACAAATATGGCACAATGAATGAGAATTTGAAAAACAAAAACCTGCTTATTTCGTTGCTAGTGTTGCAACAAATGTATAACCACAAATTCACAATCCTTAGGGAAAAATGTATGACAACGTGGAAAAAGTTTTCTTGTGACGTTTCGTCCTTTAGGACTTCATCGAACCTAAAGGACGAAACAAATCACAAGAAAATTGTTTCCACAATATTGTTTTTGATATGTTATTATCTCCATCAATTTTTATTTTTTACACAATATTGATTCAATATTGTGTAAAAAAATAAAAATCAACAATAGTGGCAAAATTTAAAACTGCAATTTACATTTTTAAGTTTTCGAATAATTTTTTTTTTCTTTCCTATTTTGTTGTGGATAAATCTACACTGGTTAAAACAGTCTCATTACGAATTAATTGAAATGTTTAGAAAGGGACACGTGACTGATGAAGGTAGAGAAATCCAGGCACATATCATTGCTTACAGAGGTGAGGTGGGGGAGTTAAAAACAACAATAACCGAAAAAACATTGAGAAGCTGGCATGTATGTCTTCTAGTTTCAATTGTCGGTGAATCTTTTGATGTTTTTTAGTTTTTATTTTAAGGAAATAGTCACTTGGCATAAACACACAAAAAATTATTTTTAATTATTGTAAAAATCTTTGGGGTATAGTTCTTTTATTAAACTTTTCAGTTTTATCGCTTCACTTAAGAAAGTTAACCGTTTTATTGTGGTGTTTAGAAAGAATTTTAATTTTTAACACATTTTTGAAACTTTATAAATTAATTAAAAATAAAGATAAACGCAAACAATTCTTGTAAAAATTCATTACTTATCGCAAAAATTATTTTCTTCAGACTGTAATGTCCTTAAGCAATTAAAAGCTTATCTAATTAAATAATTACATAATTTTATTGCAGTTTTTATTTTACGATTTCAAGAAGATTTTAGAAAACTTCATATAAATTAGGAGAAAAATAATTGATTTTCATTCTCCAAGGTGTCATGCTTTTAATATAAAACTGTTTTATTGTGCTTTTAAATTCTAGAAAATTTTATGAAATTAATTAAGGGGGGGGGTTAACATGTAAAAATATTTTTACCAAGACTTTCTAAAAATATTTTCAAAAATAAATTCATTCATTTGTTAGTAAGTCCTAAAAGTTGCATTCAAATCCGACAGTTATTTCATTTTTGCGAGAATTTCCAAATTAATTAATGTTTTCAACTAAAAAAGCGCGAAAAAACTAATCTATATCTAATTCTCAAAATGTATGTATGTATGCATGTATGTGTGTGATCGGATGTTTTTTATGCATTTCCACAGTTTTCATCCGATTTTGATGAAATATTTTTTGTTTGATAGATAATTCTTCAGTGCCGGATTTGAGTCCAAATTGTTGGCGACAGTGGCTCTCCACTACTTCCTGTACATTATAACTCTCAGCAACGTTTTTACTACAATCTGTTCTTGGATCTTTAAATTTATAAATAGCTTAAATTAATATTTATTATATAGTTCCCTTTTCAGGGTCCCCCCCCTATTCAGATTGTTACCTCCCCATTTGGGGATGTACCTCAGTTGCACCCAAATGTTGTTACTAATATTGATTTTCGGGTGGGCTGACTTTAAAATTAAACTGCTCCAATTGAACGTCAAAAATTCCCAGTAATGAAAGATCTGGTCAAAGACTGGTTACTGCTGACGAAAAAAACAAATTTTTTAACCAATATTCTGAACGTGCTAGAAAGGATTGAAAAAATTATGAAAATAATTAAAAAATACTTTGGTCTTCCCTCTTAACATAAACATTTTTTTTTTTGTAATAAAACTTTGTTTTTATTAAGTTTGGGGCCTTTTTCACCATGACCGTTTTTTCGGCGAATTAGTGGAGGTACCTAATTGAATAATTTCACCATTTCAGACACCCGCTAAAAATAAATCTGCTTTGTAATAATTACCTCCTAAGATAATCACTTTATAAAGAATTCTTAATAAAAGATAATTGAAATATTCATTATTCAATGAATGAGGATGAAAAATTAGTTTTTTCTTTTCTTTCACTTTCATCATCATAGCTGATTTTTGAGAATTATTGAATAATCATTTCGGAGTTACAAACGGAAGAATTAGAATAATAAAATTGTTGAAGGTGTTAAAATTTAAATAAATAGGAAATAGTAATGAATTTGCTTAATAATTTTTTGTCCGATCGCTTACAATTGTAAATAAAAAATTCTTGCTTGTTGATTTTTTAAACGCCTTTCTCAACTGACTGCGTCTGATCCACGGGAGACAATCGAGTATTTATTCAGTGAAACTTAGCTTTTAGCACAAGGCGACCATAAATGTGGGCAGTACCGTGTCAGCCAAACTCTGCCCCCACCCCTGTTTGTTTTGAGGTCCATCTCTAAATTCATTTTCCTTTAGGCTTAAAACTTTAAACAAATCTGGGTCTAGGCTATTTTTGACAACTACTTATGGAGTCAAAGTGGTTGTAGAAGTGAGTGATGTGGATAAAAAAAGGAATTTATTACAAACAGCCATGAATCACATTTATTATGAATTAAATTGTTGTAAATCAGACGATTATAAGTATTTTAAAAAAAGACAAATTCTTACTGCATAATTCTGCATCTAAGCATTTATTAAAATGCATGTATTGTACAGAAACGCACAAAATTATAACGCTTGGTATGATAATTAAAATTATCAGGTGAAAGATAGTTACTACATTCCTCTTCTCAGTAACTAAGCATGCATTTGTTATCAACAGAAAAATTTTCGATGAGCAAAAGTATCAATAAGGTGATCATCTTTAAGATTTCGGGCACATGATTTTTCAAATTGACAACATAGCTATCACCTATCGTTGTGAATTTGTGAAATGTTTTTATAAGTTTCAGATTGTTGAATCTTCTTTCAGAACTTGTCAGTTCCCATATGATCACAAAAGTTAAGCAATGTTGAGCATGGTCAGTACCATGATGGGTGACTGCTTGGGAATAGCAAGTGCTGTAAAGTTGGATGTGCAGATGGTGTAATGGATAATGGTTCAGAATTGTTAATTCTCGTTTCAATTCTTGTTGGGTTTGATACGTATGAATTTAACTCTTCTCCTCTAGCTATGGGCTAATTAGTAAGACACTAAATTATCTCAAAAAAAATCCTTGGAATCTAAAAAATATTTTCTGGCTTTAAATAATCTACAATAAGCCATAGAAAATGAATGAATCAAAAAGCACTTGCAACTGTTACAGGGCACGTTAATAATGAATGAAGGCAGTTGAGACATTCATCTTTTAATTTATGTAATTTAGAAAATCATAGGACGTTCTCAAGCTGTCTTTATTTTGCATAATGATCTGAACAAACTGTTTTAACTCTGTTTCAAAAGGGTCAATATCTCCCCTCTTTTTCTGATAAATCTGACACTTGGTTAGAAGAATATTGGGTGCTACTATAGTGTGAGGTCTACCTCAATATGTTGTGCCCCTTCCCTTAAGTGGCCATCAGATCAAGCGAGGTCTAACATGGATATTTATATCTGTTTCACATTTTCTAAACACGTGAAGTGGGAGGTAGACCTCACGTTATATTAGCATCTGCTATTGTCTCTGAATGTGTTAATAAGCTCATCAGCAACATTATACATCTGTTATAACTGAGATTTTACAGATTGCAAAGCATGGTCCATCAGTTACAGAAAGAAGTCACTGTTGAACTGGTCTTTGGTTGTAAAGATTTCATTTTTCCTTTCTTCTAAATGAGAGGAAAAACATAATCAATTTTTAGGTCTTCTGCAATTTCCTTAGTTTTTTTTTTATCATTTTCTAAAATCGTTTACCTTAGTATGATTTCCTTTCTCAAGACATTCAGTAAGATAGCATAGGATTGCATCATTTTACTAATGATGCTGATTTGAAAAAGAATGTCATATAAAATGTTAAATGACATAATGAATGAGCCCAGTGGTTCTTGTTTAAAGGCCCTCAAAACATCTACCAAATAGTACTGAAGTAGTTTTATACAGATAATTCGATTTTACTAACAAATCTCTGATTGAGATTTAATTGACAATTGCATATTTGCCTTTTAAATACACCAGTGCTGCATGTATGGAGAAAATATGGTGTCAGAACACTAAAAAATATCAAAATTTAGGTAACTTGGTGCTGTCAGCAACAACCAGATTCAGTGAATATGACACATATAGAACTTTAGGATTTATTTTGAGAATTTGTGATTGAATACCAATCTGTTTCCCTTTTTATATTAACTCTTCTTATCATATGACTAATCCTGACAATTTGAAAGATTTAGTTATAAGTATTTTGATCATTCCCAAAATATGTTCAATAAGCTATTACTTAAACTGTTATTAACTTGAAGGTAACCATAAAAAGCTTCCTACACTGAAAAATATTTTACCTAATGGAATTTAAATAAATAAATTTTGAATTTAAAATAAATTTAGATGGAATTTAAAATAAATTTATTTTGAATTTAAATTCAAAACAAATACTTCAGTTTGTGTACTTCCTGTTGATATCTTTGCTAAAAAGATATAAACATAATCAGAACCTATATCTCAAGAGTTAAAATCCATAAAATGTATTTTGTAGCAACAGAAGCTTCAAAATTTATATAACATAATTAAATTAATAGAAAAGTATAGGAACCAAGAAAAATATTGTTCTTTGGAATTAAAAAAATAATTTTAATCAGTAAGTATCCCAAATTTTTGCTATATGTCTCAAGAGTCTTTTTCAAACTGAATTTGCCATCAATTTTGTTCAGATCTGTCCTTAAAGCCTCCATCCTAGCAATAGTATTAACAAGTGTGTTGGCATCAGTAAACTCTAAGGTTGACCTCACATAAAATGTTGTTTTATTTTTTTTTTTTTTTAATAGAAGAGATTTTTGAGATTGAAAATCTAAAGTAGTATATCTTAGGCTTCTCATCAATTTCGCTTCAACACAAGAATTTTTATCATAGCACTAGTGTAATATAATATATATAATTGACACAATGTTTATTTCCAATTTGAAACAATATTTCTTTTTTAATGAGCTGAAATATTGCCCAGAACAAAAAAAAAAAGGGAAATATTTTTAATGATTGAAAAACTTTGACTATTAAATTTTAGAAAATACTTCATAAAATGTTTAGCTGCTTGTTTGTTCTGGGTCTCTCTAGTCATTGAAAACCCTCTTCCCATGGATTGATGGGTTCAGTGGGGCCTAACTATATCTCTGATTATGGGGCTCACAGTGAGGATCAAATTTTAATACACAGTAGTAATGGTGAACTAGACTAACTCATACACAATTACCCTTCAGTGAGACACTTTGCTGACAACCAAATGATGATGGTGACGATGAAGATGACAAGCTCTGGTGCAACAAACTACTTTGTCTATTACTAGTGAATTCTATCCTCATTGGGTGTTCCACTGTTGTGGTTTTGTGTTACAACAGGTGAATTTAAGTAAATATCTTCCTTTGTATGAATTTAGAAATCATTGGGGGAGAAGTGGTTTTTACCGTAGTTTCAATTCAGATTCCTATAAAAATAGAAAAAAATATTTTTGTGTCTTTAATGAGGTAAATGTTTTGACTTTTTTTAATGATTAATATTCAGAGTCTGTCTATATTTCTGAGATAAGGTATTATGTACAGTATTTACATTAGTCGGACTATTGTCCTCATCTTTGTCGTCATATTTGTCACAACATTTTGGCTGTTGTATGCTCCGGCCTTCTTCAGGTGGTTGGAATTTCAAACTGAACCCTTTATTTCGATCACTGGGGTAGACTGTTCTAGTTCCACGTGCCATGTTTGATGGATGTCAGTTATCAGTTATCTCCTGCTAATTTTCCCTCTGAAAGTTCTCCACTGCCTTAACCAGCTATTGAACTCTAACCAACACCTTTATCCACTGTGCCATGTGTCCTTGAGGACATCTGGGTATGAAATTCTGAGTATTATAAACCTAATGTTTTCAGCATCATTTTTTACCAGTGCTCATATTGCAATTTTGCTGTTATCATTGCATGTCTTTACCAGAGTTCATATTGCAACTTTGTTATCATTGCTTTTCTCTGGCACTCCTTATTACTGGTTCCCATATTGTATTTATTTCTATGCTTGGTCGGCTCAGGAGATTTTTGTGGCCTAGTATATGTGCTGATTCCTTAAGTTTACCACCTGAAGAAGGCCGGAGCGTACAACAGCCAAAACGTTGTGACAAATATGGCGACAAAGATGAGGACAATAGTCCGACTAATGTAAATACTGATTAATATCCACTTTACTAAATCTGATTCTACAAATACCTATTTATCTATAAAGAAAATAATACTGACAGTTACCTGAACTTGTAACCAGTGTCATTCATTTCAATCTTTATATCACAGTGCTGTTTACCTGTTAATTGAAATAAACAGTATATATATATTTACAGTCAATGAAAAGAGACAATTTTAGTTTATCCTAGTAGGAAAATCAAACAGGTATTTTGTTTTAGCCTTGCTACCTGTTATAATAGTGGTTATAATATTATGTTTTGCTTAGGCTACCTACCATAATGTCATTAGAAATTCTCCTCAACTGACTCCAATGAAATTTCCTTGATTCATTTTGAATTCTTTATTTAAGGCATCTTGCCTAGTTCATTTGTGTTACCAGGGGTGTTTTATTTACTCCACAACACTACCCAAATTAGTAGAAATTCATCAAGCAAACAAAAAAAAGAATTTGACTTAAAAATGTGACTTAGGGCTTTTATACTATTAGTTATTGTTCATTTGAAAATTTACAATAATCATATTAGTTAAAAATATCTATCTATCTATCTATCTATCTATCTATCTATCTATCTATGTATATATATATATATATATATATATAAATAAAACAAACATATCTATTTATGAGCATAATATGATAATTATCATCTTGAAGGACCTTACACACTATTTTTGCAATTAGTACTGGTAACAACTACAAGATCAACAAGGAGAAAGATAATATACTGATTTTTTTTTTTAATTTAAAGAACCAGTTAAAAAATCAGATAGCTCTATTATTAAAAGTTGTACAAATGTTAAAGTATTTCCATTAATCAAGGATTTTAGGTTTTAATTTTAAACAATTCAGAAAAAATGCTTCTATGAATCTTAAAATAAGTTAATAATTGTGTTGAAAATTTAATTGTGTACAGTTTTACAAAGATTTGAACAATTTAAATCCCCATCCCCACACCTCCAAGTACATAGCAAAAAATCTAAGCTAGTTGACATTATTAGTCCATTAGTCAAAACTATCTTTTATCACTCTTGTGCTGGGACCTTTCTTGCACAAGCTAAAATCTCTTCTTATCTATGGAATTGTCTGCTGAGAAGAATTCAAGTAACAGTGTCTGCATAGACAGATAACATAACTGTCTATGTATCCAGCCCCAAGACCAAAGCTGGGTAAGCTCAGTAATAGGTGTGGGTGGGGGAAGAATAAACAGAACCAAATTTGTAAATTTGAATCTGAGAGTCTAGAGAGGAAGAGCCCTGCCAAGAACTTTTTGCTGAACTGACAGACCAGCCTACATCTTAAGGTAGTATTTAACCAGTCTCCCCACAAGATCAGGTTTAATGTGGGGTACCTGAGCAGATACACCCAAGCCAAGGACAAAAAGTGCCCAACCTCTGCAACCATTGGTTTCGCTGGCATGGTTATGACTATCAATTCGTCTTTACTAGTGCAATGAAGTGGGTACAGCTACAGGCAGATGTTCCCCTGGACCAAGCACCTCTGAGTATTTTTTCCCCAGCTGCATCTCTGTCAGCCGAGTTGCACTCTGCCCAAAGACAGAGACAAAACCAAGAGATGATAATCTTACCTGGCATGGGCAATGTATCTTAAGGTATTAATTTGAGTCCTACCTCCAGCTCAGAACCTGGGCAGAGTTGCAAGCCAGAGAAAATACATCAGTGGAAACACAGGCACAGAGCAGATATATGTG